ATAATTAGTGATATTTTCATGAGCCCATATCAGAGCTGTGGAGAGAAGAGTTCATGACTGACCCATCTGTATTGGACCTGTTGGAAGAACAAAACTGAAGCATCATTGCTGTATACACACCAAGTCAGTGATCAACATGAATGAACATTAATTATTATGATTGCTTGATAAAACCTGTCTGTTATTTGAACTGCCAAGGAACCAGTGGCTGTCTGGGGCCCCAACTTTTAATCACCAAACAACAAATAACTGACAAAAAAATCCAAGTGACAATAATACAGTAAATACAGTCAGTAATAGTCAAAACAGCCTTCATTGTCAGTTCATTGTCAAAACAGTTCATTGTCTCATGTTAAAGTATGGTAGTTGTTTATCGTTTATCCTATGGTAGTTGTGTTATTGTTGTCATATTCCTTCTGCATCTTGCATCGTCTCACCGTTAATGCACTCACCTAAAAGATTATTAGGAACACCTGTTCAATTCCTCATTCATTAATGCAATGAGATATAATGACACATAATGCCATAAAATGTAATGATGATTGCGAGATTCCTAAAAAGTCTGATGTATCATATTAATTTGGTAACACTTTATTTTACGACCGCAAACAACTGTATAAGTACACTGAAATTACGGTGTACGTTTCTGTAATTATAATGTACTTCCGTGTAGGTATAAGGGAACAATATGTTAAGTTTGGGGTAATAAAGGGGTAACAAACAGATATACAACCTGCAAATAACTTTGTAAGTAGACTGAAATTACGTTGTAAGTTTCTGTAATTTTAGTACACTTCCGTGTAGTTATAGGGAACAATATGTTAAGTTTGGGGTAATAAAGGGGTAACAAGCAATACACGCAAATTATTTAATTAGTTAAAAAATAACAGGTACCTATTCTGTTAATATATTCCAGGCAAAAATTGTACGTCTGTTGTTTATAAAACATATCACATTTCTGACAAAATATGTTCTTGTGCAATGTTGCAGAGTAATTTTGACATCTGTGGGTTAAAAATTAAACACACACACACACATATACACTGTATATATACTATGATAAAAATTAAATTTATTGGCATTTCTTACTAGATTACTTAATGTTAAGTCAAAATAATTTGTTTTTGCTATAATTTTAATTTAGACCTTACCATGTGGTAATTAGTAATAGTAACTTATCCCATTGAATTGCAATGACACTTAAATGTCATGGCAAATATAATGTGTAGCCTAATTAAAAGGTTTTTTTTTTTTTTTAGATAACAGTACATTTCTCTGTAATTATTACAGTGCGTGTTGTTTCGTACTGCTACATAGTAAGTAGCGTTTGTTACCCCCTTGTTCTGCCTAGTTACAGGGTAAGTGTAACTCCTGCTGGCTGTAAATTAAAGTGGTGCTTGATACCCCTTTATTACCCAAAACTTAACATATTGTTCCCTTATACCTACACGGAAGTACACTATAATTACAGAAACGTACACCGTAATTTCAGTGTACTTACACAGTTGTTTGCGGGTCGTAAAATAAAGTGTTACCTTAAATTTTTACATTTGACACAATTTCAACATGATTTAAAAAATAAATAAATAAAATAATGCATTAATAAACAAGTAAACGTAAGTTGCTTCAGATCAGTCGGTGTTCTTCTTGAAATATTGCTAAAATATAAAAGTTATTCTTATGTTCACTTCAAAAAAATTAGTAAAAAATGTACACAAAAAAGGCATTTGCCTCAACCTGAAGAGGGACATTTTTAGCATTAATAAAAGGCCTTGCTACAGTGAGCGTATGAAAGCGACTAATGAGTGGATGAGTTTCCCTGTTTGGTGTGATGATATTTAATATCCCTGACCGCTTCTGTAGTCCCATTTAGCCACTTGTTAGCAACCACGTTTTTCAAGCGAAGTAAAGACGTTTTACAAAATCACAAGGCTTTTTGCTGCAGTTGTAATACCATAGAATAAATGTGAAAATTTCTTGAGGTATCAAAATATCTCAGACATTTTACCAAAAACCAATAAAAAAGGCTAAAATGCCAGAAACTGGAGATGCTAAAATGCTAACTCATGCAGGAATTTAGCCTAAAATACGCCATCCCTGCTGCAAAAAGTGGACATGTTTTTTTAGCAACAAAATATGTACTGTGTGCTTCGTTTTAGTGATTTCTTCTTCAGTGTAATTGTCATTGTAGTAGCAGCTATATACTGAAGTTCTAATTAGGATTGGGACAGTTACCGCAATATCGCAACACCGCGGTCACTTGAAGCCTACCGTGGGTCTGAGCTCGTCACGTCATCACCGCAAAAACAAAAACAAAAAAAAACATTGGCCTGCCCTGTCTAATGACATAGATTCATGGATTCTAATGACATGGATTATGTATAATGACATTGTGTCTTACATGGATTCAAGGTTGTCTAACCAAAACTTATGGCGCTTTTCCACTGCATAGTACAGTACGGTTCGGCTCAGTACGCTTCGACTCGGCGCGGAACAGTTCGGATCGCTTTTCGTTTCCACTGCAGTAGTAGTACCCCTTCAAAGTGTGTGGGACTGATCGTTATTTGCGCGCGCCTCTACTGCCATGACATCATCTTAAAGGGTTAGTTCACCCAAAAATGAAAATTAAGTCATTAATTACTCACCCCCATGCTGTACCAACCCCGTAAGACCTTCGTTCGTCTTCGGAACACAAATGAAGATATTTTTGATTAAATTTGAGAGCTGTATAACTACCACATTGGCTCCTAAAGGACTGCCTCTTGACGGCCCAGAAAGTCAATGAAGAAAATGTTTAAATATCCCAAGTGACTACCGTGGCTCAACTATATGTTTATCAAGCGACGCGAATACTTTTTGTGCGAAAAAACAAACAAAAATAACGAGTTTATTCGACTATTTCTTTTCTTCCTTGTAGGCCAGAAACGAGATTTCCTTAGATTTCCACGACGCATACGCGAGAAATGCGATCACAGATCGCAATTCTCGTGCATGCGTCGTGGAAATCTAAGGAAATCTCGTAAATGAACTCGTTATTTTTGTTTGTTTTTTCGCACAAAAAGTATTCGCGTCGCTTGATAAACATATAGTTGAGCCACTGTAGTCACTTGGGATATTTAAACATTTTCTTCATTGACTTTCTGGGCCGTCAAGAGGCAGTCCTTTAGGAGCCAATGTGGTAGTTATACAGCTCTCAAATTTAATCAAAAATATCTTCATTTGTGTTCCGAAGACGAACGAAGGTCTTACGGGGTTGGTACAGCATGGGGGTGAGTAATTAATGACTTAATTTTCATTTTTGGGTGAACTAACCCTTTAAAAGCGCCACATTTTCAAACCCACAACACAGGAACAATGGAGACTATCGAGGGGATGGTGTTCCTGATTCTCGGTATGTGGTTGTTTTTAACTGCTAGACGGAAAAATGTGTTTAAAATGAGGCTGATGGCAGCAAAACAAAAATACTGCTAAAAAAGTGTCTCGTGTCGCAAATCCAATGACGCTAGTAGTGACGCTGGTAGTGACGATTCTGTCTGACCAATCAGTGATCTGCAGTGTTTCACGTCACATTTTAGTACCGGTACGGTACGCTTGGAACCTCAACAGACCAGGTACCATTTAAAGCGACCCGAAGCGAACCGTACTGTACCGTACCATGCAGTGGAAAAGCACCACAAGTGAGACGTACCGAACCGAACCGTACCGTACTATGCAGTGGAAAAGCGCCTTTATTAAAAGATGGAGCAAATCCGACCTTTCGCAAGCACAATGTTTCATGACACATAATAATATTCCATTCGTATTAGAGATGTGCGGATGGGCCGTTATTTAAACCGCAACCCCCCCATCACAAACTCATCATCTGTACCAATGTTTTTTGAAAAATTTTCAAAACCGCCATCGGCTGATTGGTCTATGGGCGATGACAGGCGCTGCTGCCGTGAGGCTAGAAAGCTCTTGGCTGTTCTAGAAATGAGACTGATTCAATGCAGCACAGATATTTAAGGCTAAAGTAGTATAGCCTTATTGGCTATGTTGTATCCCCAGAATATCAGCAGTGAACTCCGTCTCCGATAAATAAATAAATAAATAGCTTAAATACAACGCACATCGGCAAACCTGACCTTACCTGACTAGGCCACTGTACAATTTTATCATTTCATTTTGAATTTTGTTTAAAAGTAGACATTTCAAGCTTTCTATTTATTTCTCCTGTCTGTGAGGCAAGTAGTCTATACGCTGAGTTTCGTTTCATTTATAAGACAAACTCCAGGTACAGTATTTGACGCGGTTTGTACCGTGGAAATTTCTTTCTTTTCAACCGCGGTTAAAAAATCCATACCGTCCCAGCCCTAGTTCTAATATTGTCAGTATGTGGGGTCCATTTTCTTGCCCAGGGCCCACAAGCCCCTGCAAGCAACCAGCAAGAACACAAACCACTAACAACCAGAGTCTCTTTGTTTTTACTGTAATTTGAGAACATTGCCATGACAAAGATTTTTTTTAAACTTTCTCCTTATTTTTATTGTGCAGAATGAGCACTCTGTGCTGCAAAAAGCCTGGCTTACCTGGAGAAAGAGACGCATCAGGAACAGAGTGTCAGCTGATCACTCAGGCAACTTTAACAACATGCTATTGGCCCAGGTAAAGCAGACACAGTCCACAACCCTTTGAAATCTCACCATATTTGCACAAGATAAACAGGGTCACTATACACTTAGTATCTCTAATAGCTATTAGGTCACTGTAATCTGGTCTGTGCTTAATCAACCCAGTGTGCCTATGAATAAACGCATAAACATTGACTTTCACCCTTATCGTTCACACTGTCTTATCAGTGTGTAGCAATGTAGAGCAAAATTTGAGCTTTTAGATGGAGACTAAGGCCGCCTTGAGAAAAAGAAGTGCGTTTAATTGTGTTGAATATCCATGAGTAGTGTACTTTAAATCTTAATATATATATATATATATATATATATTATATATTAATATTAATTAAAAGAAAGTAATTTTAACCAGTGTGCTTTTCAAAAAATTACATTTAAGTTCAGTATTCTGTTAAGCATATCAGTGAAGGGAACACGTGCCACACAAATGACACCATTATCTAAGATTAACCCATACAAACAGCTCAGATTGATAATAATGTTTTTTATTCCTACTCTGTTTTATTGGAAGGTTTTGCAAGTGTGGTGGCAGCGAGTCCATGGATCAGCCTTTGAGCCCTAACCAGTTCTGTTTGTTTACAAGCAGAGTAGATGGAAACCAGCCAGTGCAGATCATAGCAGTAACTCCAGACATCACAACACATCTACATTTCTATCATTTCATTCTGTGATGTAAAGTTCTCCTAAATATTTATTAACCACCCCCATCCACATTTGAATCAAAAAAGAAATTATTGTATTGATCAACCCTAGTGAAACCTACAGCAAAATGTATTTAAAATACTACATACTAAGTATACTACAAATAATAAGTATGCATATACTAAGCATACATACTTACTGACATATCGCTTGAGACTTACTGATATAAATATTATAATTAAACTTTATTTAGAGTACTTTATTGCACAATGCACATTTCTTAATATAAAGCCTAAAATGTGTTTTAATTTCACTATTAGTAAGGATAGTATGATCTATGTATAATATCAGTTTTTAAATGCAAGATAAGTGTACCTAAAGTATACTAGCAATATACTTGAAGTCCCCCTGTGGTGGAAATCAGGATTTTGTCGTTGTTTATATGTCTATGTGGTGTTTTTAATATGAATTTGCACATGGTTTGTCTTAAATAATGTCAACACCATTGCTGAGTATTTTCTCTTTGAAACTGCAGTGAACCAAAGAAAGTCTCAAAACCCTGGTTTGAGATCGCTGGTGTTTCTGACGTCACAAACTACCTTGTTGTAACCAATCACGAGTCGACAACGTGATCATGAACAAGTGGATCTCTGAGCCAATCTGAGTTAGTGGAGGCAGGGCTCATTTGCATATTCGTGTAGTTACATTCAAGCTATTTTAAGGCATGAATCTTTTTTTTTTTAAGGAAAAAAGTTTTAAATATGTATTTTTGGTGATAAAAGATTCGTTTTAAGGGTCAAGTCAAGTCCATCTTCATTTATGGCACTTTTAACGATGTAGATTGTTCCATATATATAATAATAGGAAATTAAAGTACAGAGATTGTTTTGGCTTTACGACAGCTCTAGAATAAAGTCATTTTCCAGCTAAAGTTAGTTTTAATTGATTCACTGCTGTCACAAACGATCATTAGTTCCCTTTCGAAGGGAACTCAACAATACTTTATTGACGCTTTGGGGAAACGCCTCAGGCATGAGGTGTCTGAAATCACTATCAAATCACGTCAATCACATTGACCGGCGACAGCCCGTGAATCATTAATGTGAATGATTAACGTGCGACCTGGAAGTATATAAGGGCGCCTTGCAAATATGACAAATCACCTTATCGTCTGAAGGGACTGTACGGCAGGCAGGCCCCGAGGCATGGCAGGGAGACGTATTGTCTCGTTCCCTATTCTCAGGGAACATAGGTTACAGTCGTAACCTGAGACGTTATTAACACAAGACCGTTTTATCAGAAAACTCTTAAGTTTCTCTCTACCCAAACTTTGAAAACTCGAACCTGTGAGAACGCTGATGGCGTAGAGTTCATTCTATGTGTATGCGTGTTTGAATATATGTTCGCAGGCATGTAGTCCTTCCCAAAAAAACCAACCCTCAACAAACCACCTGTCTGACCTTAAAATTTATAAAACAGAATTTTATCGCTTCGGCGTAGCCACATTTCCGGAATTATTCAGACAAAGTTTTATCTGTACAGAGGTAAAGGGAAGGAGGCCTTTGCAGGGAGGGACTAGTGACACTTCAGGACTGTGTTGTCGTCGTGTCCAGGCGCAGGTCTTTCATCAGATCTGGATACGGCCTGGATCCGACGGACTGCGGTAAACATCGGGATAAACAGAGAGACTAATATTAGCATAGATGCCATTCTTCGTATGATGTAACGAATACATCAGGATTTATGGGAAGTGTTCCCGGGTTTAGGGTGACCTAATCTATGCAGCGTAACATTAATTAATGATTTATATCATGAATCATGAATTATAGAAGTCTATAGTGACCTTATTGACTATAGGTTATTAATTTACTATACGCTATAAGTTAATAAAATTATTGACTTTAGATGGACTTTAAGTATATACACTACTTCCCGATAACTAAAGTGCATTAAAGGTGCTGTATGTGAGTTTTTGACTGTAATCAAAAAAAAAAAAAAATACCATAATTTGTTTGCAGATATGTAGGAAACATGCTGAGTTCAAATACTCTTTTCTCTGAAAAACAATTTCACAGCCAGTTATGTCCGTTTTTTTGGGGTCTATATGATCTCGCCCACTGCCAGTTTACCCAATAGTATTTCGACACCTCGGGATACCAGTTGGCAGAAAGTACGGCATATTACAGCCAGCAGACAAACTGGGTCAGAGATCGCAGATTCTACTCCCCCTAAAAAGCCCACCCAACCCAAGTATACAAGAAGTACAATTCCAGGTTATATTAAAGGGATAGTTCACTTTGAAATTAATTTTTGATATGTTTTAGCTTACCTCAAGGGCATCCAAGATGTAGGTGTCTTTTTTTCCCACAGTATTTTCAATTTTGACATTTTTCAGTCAAACCGTTCTTGTCGATCAGTCATACACTGGAGGCTAAGGGGGTCCACCAAAAAGCATGCACTGAGAAGTCAAAATTAAACATGATTTAATGACTCGTAAATGTAAGTACACATTGATGGCCTAAGACACAAAACGAGCGGTTCGTGTAAGAAAACGAACAGTATTTATATAGTTTTTTACCTCGTGTAATCACAGTGACGTCCAAGTGATCTGAATCAGTTGTGCAATGTCCAACTGAACCGAACTGAATCAGTTCAATGTTACGGCGGAAATGATCGCTTGCGTGTGACGTCACTCAATATTTACATGGAGATTTCGGAAGTTTTACCTTTTACTAAACATATTTAGATATACCGAAATCGTCTTCCATTGTGGTTTCCCGTACATCTAAATATGTTTAGTGAAAGGTAAAATTTCCAAAATCTCTGTATAAACAAAGAGTGACGTAGGCGCGCAAGCGATCACAGCGGCGCATACGCAGACCGAAGTGCCCGTGCCGTCAGATCATTTTGTCATGGCTATGATTACAAGAGGTAAAAACGATATAAATACTGTTCGTTTTCTCACACAAACCGCTCATTTCGTGTCTTAGGCCATCCATGTGTACTTACATTTACAAGTCATTAAATCATGTTTAATTTTGACTTCTCTGTGCATGCTTTTTGGTGGACCCCCTTAGCCTCCAGTGTATGACTGATAGACAACAAGGGTTTGACTGAAAAATGTCAAAATTGAAAATACTGTGGAAACAAAGACACCTACATCTTTGATGTCCTTGAGGTAAGCTAAAACATATCAAAAATTAATTTCAAAGTGAACTATCCCTTTAAGTACATGCATATGCAAATGTATTTGTAGTTTAATTAGCATAAAATAAATGTATTTCAAATACATTATAGAATATACTTTTTTTTTTTCTAGGGTATACTTTGATCTAAAGCCCCCTTTTGATCTACCACCCCCCCCCCCCCATCTAAAAGTAACATCCTCCTTAAAAAACTGCATGATTTGAGATATCATTCTCTTTAGCACAAACGGTGCATAATCAAAAATCTAATTGGTGTATTAGTGGCTGCAAAAACCCCTATAGCATAATAGTTTCACTCTTTCAACTACTGTTAGAATGTTCTTAAAAAACCTCTGTAATTCGTTCAGTGTTGTAAATAAGCAGTATGTGGTTGATTAATTCTAACTAATTGTGACACAGTTCACTAAATGTTCTCATTTTCTACTAGATAAAACAGTTTCAAGTACTCTGACATTCTGCCTGGTCAGTGCGCTTCACTCTGTAATATATCTATCAACACGTGCACACTAATATGAGAGTTCCCAGAACTTTCACGAGAAGCGCCAGCGGTTCACAGGGTTCACTTATGTAACGGCCCTATAGTGAGCATATAGAATGAGTGTCAGGTCACTGACTCCTCCTCCTCTCCTCATGTGGAATGAGCACTCAGCGGAAGAACAGTCTTTCCTTTTCTCAGTGGTTTTTAGAAAATGCCAAGCTGCTAAACAAATTTGATATATTTCATGTATTTAAATCAAGTATTGATGTAGAATGTTGTCATACCTTCTTTGTCCAATACAACTCTTAAAAGGAGTAATTATTTTCTGATTACTGGATTTAAAAAAACAATAATTTTAAAGAGATATTTCAAACCTTTTAAAACAGTGGTTCTCAACTCCAGTCCTCGATATTGTGTATGTCTCCCTTATTTAACACACCTGATTCAGATCCTCAGCTCGATAGGATAGACTCTATGAACTGAGTGTGTCAGATAAGAGAGACATACAAAATGTGCAGAGCAGTGGGTCCCAAGGACTGGAGTTGAGAACCACTGTTTTAAAAGGATAGTTCGCCCAAAAATGATAAAATCTGTTATTTACCAGTAGAATTTCTGAGTTCCGTTGAATGCAAAAGAAAATACATTGAAGAATGTGGTTGACCTTTCTTGTCCCCATTCTTGTCACCATTTTCATACTATGGAAATCAATGGGATCCATCAGCTGTTTGTTAACCACATTATTCAAAACATCTGATTTTGTGTTCAGTGGAACAAAGAAACTCATATATATATGTTTGTTATACATGTTACATTATTAACCCTTTATTTTGAAGGTATCCTTGTTACATTCCACTATGCAAATCAATGGGATCCATCAGCTGTGTGGTAAACCACATTATTCAAAACATCTGATTTTGTGTTCAGTAGAACAAAGAAACTCATACTGGTTTAGAACAAATTGAGGGTGAGTAAATGATGACAGAATTCTTATTTTTTTTGGTGATCTAGCCATATATATTATATATATATTAGGGCTGTGCAAAAATTAATTGCGATTAATCACATCCAAAATAAAAGTCTGTGTTTACATAATATATTTGTGTGTGCTGTATATAATTATTTTGTATATATAAATACACACACATGCATGTATATATTTAAGAAAATGTGTTATTCATATATAAAATATTTATATTTATATAATATAGATTATGTATTTATAAATATATACAGAATTTAAGCGCAAATAATTCTTAAATATATACATGCATGCATAGGTATTTATATATACAAAATAATTATATACAGCACACACAAATATATTATGTAAACACAGACTTTTATTTTGGATGCGATTAATCGCAACTAACTTTTGCACAGCCCTAATATATATATATATATATATATATATATATATATGTGTGGCTATATATATGTGTGTGTGTGTGTTTGTTATACATGTTACATTATTAACCCTTTATTTTGAAGGTATCCTTGTTACATTGTATTAAAAGTATTAAAATATTAACAGTAAATTGTGTATACTGTAACTTACAAGCAACTAACTTTAAATCAAATCCTAACCTGATCATTAATATCACTCAGCATAATTACAATGTATAGGACACCAAATTTTGCTTTAGAATTTTCCATGATTTTATTTACTTTATTACTTTTCATGATATTTACAGGCCTGCAAATCATTATAAAAATAACCTGATGTTTCCAGGTTTTCTATGAAAGTGAAAAAGCTGTAGCAAAACATAACACTGCAATTGTTAGGGATGATTGAATAAAATGATTGTAGAAGGCATTTTTTATTTGGAAATATTTATTGCAGAATAGAAGTGTAACAGCTCGAAAAACTCTTATCAATGTCAAGAGCGTTTAAAACATAAAAATGTCTGAATTTGGATACCAGCTTAAAGACACCACAAGGTTTAATTGGTTTTTACTTGTAGACAGAGAAAACGAGACAATCAAAATGCAAACTGCACCAATGAGAAATGCAAAAAAAAAAAAAAAAATGAACATGTTTAAGCAATGACATTTGCGCATGCCTACTCAAGCAAAACCGAGGTCAAGTTCATGCTGTTGGCTCCCTTCCAACAAATATCATGTTTCAACAACTGTCATATTTCATCATCTGACTATGAGATAAAACAATGCACGTGGATTCGAATCTTCACCTTTATCAATTATCCAACAGTGGCATGGACTTTGAGATATAGGTGAACTCCAAAAATAAAACATGTGAATCACAGGCAAACAAATCATGTGATAATGATAATGTCAAACTTGGACATGTTTGCACAGGGGGAAGAGCGCAAATTACTCCACAAGTATCATTTCACACATGATGTTAGAAGACTAAAAGAGGGAATTATATCCATTACAACTATACGGAGACCTGCATATGACATGTAGACAAAAATATAGACCTATACAAGTATATTGTGGCCACTCATCCTCTCATTTTAGGAAATCGTGGCCCCATGTTTTAAGTATATTGTGCATACGCTATAATAATCTGTTCCCTGGTTTTACTAAAATGTACGCCTGATTTAATAATTTGTTCCCTTGATTTAATAAATTGTGGCCATGTTGTACAAATTTGTGACGAATTAGTAAAACATGCTGACACATTAGTAAGTCTTGGGAACGAATTTTACATTCGTGGCCATGATATATATATATATATATATTGTCCACATGTAATATGTAAGGCTCTGTACATTTAAACGTTCACTCCCAATTATTATCGTAATATGGCAAAATTTCAATTGTAAATTATTTATATATCATGGTTGTAATTGTTTTTGTACTACAGTAATGGACATCAACATCCAAATGCAATACGGTAATGATTATTTAGAGTGAAAAGCTGAATTGTCAATGAAAAAAAGAAGACAAAAATAATTCAAAATCTTTAGTGATAGTTCACCCAAAAATGAATGATCAGCGACCAACATGTTCAAACTTCAAAAAGTACTGTACATAAAGACATCAAAGTTTTAATTTGAGTCTTGTCCATACTTGTCCATCAATGGCCTTACTTGTTGCATGAGAACAAACCTCACTGCTTAGCTGAAGATCAAATGTGCATGGTTGACATATGCAAACTTCACTGTTCCTCGTGCATCAAACACTTGACCACATGTATGCATGTTGCTCAAATGCTTATGTGGATAAAAATCGAAATTAGATCTGTTTAAAATATAAAGTGATTGTATCTCATCCTTATTAATTACTTTTCAAAGCTTGAAACTTATGGTTGCTTGAAAATATTTTTGGGATTCGTTTTTCTCTTGAATTCAGAGAGACAAATAACCTGTTTGACATAGGATCCACCTATAAAGTCTAAGTGAAATACAGTAGCCAAATACTGTATTTGTGTCCACACATTTGACCTGACTTACAAGAGTTCATTTCATATATTGAACATATGCAGCATCCAAAACAATGTATAAATAGTTAAAAATATAAGAAAATGGCACTCAACTCTAATCCCTTTAAGATTAAAGGAGAACTCCGGCGAACAATGAACCTTTGGTCTAATAAAACATCGGTACCTAGTCAATCGTTCTCTGAGTTTTGTTTTCATGATAATCGAATGTAAAGAGTTTTATCTCTAAAAATTGTTTAGTGTATAATGCTAGTAATAGGGTCATTGAGTAAGTAAAAAGAAATCGCTAGTTTATACCACTAACAAGGCTCAAAATAGCCCCACACTAACACAGTAACATAATGAGGCTCCATACATGCAAAACGAAGCATTGAGAACTTTGTAAGTGTACAGACCGTTTAATAAGAAGATACTTTATGAAGACAGTTCACTTCGCGTATACAGGCAGGAACCATCTTAAAAAATAGTCTCGATAAGTCGATCCCCGAACGCCGTTCATACAGTTCAGAAGTTCGTTGAACTTCATAGAGTTCAGATCACTCAGCACGATGTTCGTGGTTTGACTTATCGAGACTATTTTCTAAGATGGCTCCTGTCTGTATACGCGAAGTGAACTGTCTTTATAAAGTATCTTCTTATTAAACAGTCTGTACACTTACAAAGTTCTCAGTGCTTCGTTTTGCATATATGGAGCCTCATTATGTTACTGTGTGAGTGTGGGGCTATTTTGAGCCTTGTTAGTGTTATAAACTAGCGATTTCTTTTTACTTACTCAATGCCCCCATTACTAGCATTATACGCTAAACAGTTTTTAGAGATAAAACTCTTTACATTCGACTATCATGAAAACAAATCTCAGAGAACGGTTGACTATGTACCGAATGTTTTATTAGACCAAAGGTTCATTGTTCGCCGGAGTTCTCCTTTAAGGCAAATCTTCTTGTGTACTGCTACGTTTGCAAAAAAAAAACAATTCCTATATATTGACTGTGATGGCAAATTAAACTCTGAAAATGACTAAAAGTACTGCGTCATCACAGTTAAGTACTCGGTGTGTTCGTTGTGAGGTCTCTGGATCAGATAGCAGCGCTTCCAGACTTTTTGAGTTCTGTGGTGCTACAATTCCCTTCCCTCATCCTGAGTTCCTTGAGGAGAGTCCAGAAGCACAAACATGTCTTCAATCACTTGCCAGAGGCAGTTGTCTAGCGGGAAGTCGTTGTCCACGAGGTTGACGAGGTAATAGTTGTCGTGGATGTACTTAATGATCATGCGGGAGGGTGATTCGTCCTCGTACAACTTCGCCCATTGCTCGATCCAGAGCGCGAAAGCCTCGTCCTGCGGGAACAGAAAGAATTGAGCTTGGTTTAAATCTATTTTATCTTTTACTACAGCACATAATCACTCTTATCATTAAGACAAAAACGGTGAGTGTGCCTGTGAGCATGCCAAGGTTGTCTAAACTGGGACAGTGTGAGAATGTAAGGTCAGAGGGTTTCTGAAGTGTCGCGCTTGGATGAGCAAGCCGTTTAAATACCTCATTCAGGAGATAATCGGTTTAAAAGCAAACTGAAATTTGTACCTTCCAAGACATAAAGCTGACTGGATCCACCACGGTGGGCTGAACGATCTCTCTGCCTGGGAATATCCCCCATGTCACAGCGTTGGGCTGCATGTCAGGGGCATTTGTGATATTCCTACCCTAAAAAGTGGAGAAAACATTTCAAATTGCCAATTTTAAAACCTGGAGATTATATAATGTAATCTGGCTCTTGTTGTAGTGGTACGAGTGTTTTACCTGAACGTTGACAATGTGGTAGTTCACACGAGGTTCATATTTCTTCAGCACTTGCAGAAGTGCAGTAACATTTTCACTTGATGTGAAAAACTCCAAATATGCCTGTTGATTACAAGAGGTAAAAATAAACACGATGAAAGAACTATTTCCAAAAGTCAGCCAATTCCAAAAGCACCTAAAATAACACAAAACAAACAAATCACCAAGTGCACAGTTCCCACAGCATATCTAGACCTGGTAAACTATGAATTTGTACTTGGAATATATTTAATTTATTTCACTTTGATATTTACTGCTATCATTTTAATTTTATTTACAGTTTTAGTCATTTTGTTGTGTATTACATCTATTTTTAAATATAATTAATTTTTCTATTTTTAGTTCTGTCAATGTCTGATTCAATAAATGAATAAATACAAGTCTTCATTTTATATATATATATATATATATATATATGTGCACACATATACACAATTGCTCTTGGCCACAAGATAGTAACTCGTGGCCACAAGATAGTAACTCGTGGCCTCAAGATAGAGTTACTATCTCGTGGCCACGAGTTACTATCTTGAGGCCACGAGTTAGTATCTTGAGGCCACGAGTTACTATCTTGTGGCCACGAGTTAGTATCTTGTGGCCACGAGTTACTATCTTGTGGCCACGAGTTAGTATCTTGTGGCCACGAGTTACTATCTTGAGGCCACGAGTTACTATCTTGTGGCCACGAGTTAGTATCTTGTGGCCACGAGTTACTATCTTGAGGCCACGAGTTACTATCTTGTGGCCACGAGTTACTATCTTGTGGCCACGAGTTAGTATCTTGAGGCCACGAGTTACTATCTTGAGGCCACGAGTTACTATCTTGAGGCCACGAGTTAGTATCTTGAGGCCACGAGTTAGTATCTTGAGGCCACGAGTTAGTGTCTTGAGGCCACGAGTTACTATCTTGAGGCCACCAGTTAGTATCTTGAGGCCACGTGTTACTATCTTGAGGCCACAAGTTACTATCTTGAGGCCACGAGTTAGTATCTTGAGGCCACGAGTTACTATCTTGTGGCCACGAGTTAGTATCTTGTGGCCACGAGTTAGTATCTTGTGGCCACGAGTTACTATCTTGAGGCCACGAGTTACTATCTTGAGGCCACAAGATAGTTATAATAAAATTTTTTTTAGATGCGTTCATGACGTCAAGACTAGATTATTGTAATGCTCTACTGGGTGGTTGCCCTGCATGCTTAATAATCAAACCTCAGCTAGTTCAAAACGCAGCAGCTCGAGTTCTTACCAGAACCAGGAAGTATGACCATATTAGCCCGGTTCTGTCAACCCTACATTGGCTGCCTATTAAACATCGTATAAATTGTAAAATATTGCTGATTACTTATAAAGCACTAAAAGGTTTAGCTCCGCAGTACTTGAGCGAGCTCTTAACGCATTATAGTCCTTCACGTCTATTGTGATCTCAAAACTCAAAACAGGAGATCCTTTTCCTATTTAGCACCAAAACTCTGGAACAATCTTCCTAACATTGTCCGGGAAGCAGACACACTCTGTCAGTTCAAATCTAGACTAAAAACACATCTCTTTGGCCTAGCATACACATAACACACTATAGACTTCCTTAATTCACAATTAGGCTGTATAGTTTACATCAGCCGGAACCGGGAACACGTCCCGTAAATCTTGATGTACTTGGTACATCAAAAGAAGGATGGCGTCTACGCTAATATTAGATTCTCTGTTTATCCTGAGAGACCCTCTATGGTGGACCTGCGCCTGGACCCATCCCAACTCATCCTTAAGTGCCGGGCTCATCGACATGACAGCCATCGGCACTGATCCTCAACATCTTGTCTCCAATCCGGCGTGATTACTTCAACTTACAAATAGATGGAAATGGACAAATTCTCTTAATGTTTCGATCCAATTTGTCTTGTAATGCTACCCGAATCACACTGTTCCTTTGTTGGCCTGAGGAGAACTGAGACTGAGCCTGCTTTCTCCCAAGGTTTTTTTCTCCATTCAGTCACCTGATGGAGTTTTGGTTCCTTGCCACTGTTGCCTTGGCTTCTGGCTTGCTTATGGTTGTATTATTTAGAAACCGTTAGGATTCTTTTTTTTCCCTTTTTTCTGCAAAGTAAGCGCCGTTTTCGCGGCCGCAACATCTCAAAAACTCACCAAATTTGGCATGCATGTCAGGACTGGTGAAAATTTTCGTATTTTGTGGGTTTTGCGGATGGGCATGGCAAAATAGCTCGCTAGCACCACCTAGAAAATTGGAAAAAAATTACCCCCTCGTCCACATTCAACCTACACGCACGAAATTTGGTGGGGACGTGTATCATTTCAAGACGCACAAAAAAGCCTCAAGAACCCATAGCCTAAACTCGACAGGAAATCCGCCATTTTTAATTTGGCGGCCATTTTGGGAGGATTTACACACCCCGTACTTTAACGAACTCCTCCTAAGGATTTAGTCGGATCGACTTCAAATTTCTGCAGTGCCTTCTAAATGCATTGATGATGTAAAGTTGCGCTATCTGCGCGTTTTCGTCGATGGGCGTGTCCGTGGCGTCAATGATTCGCCATGAAACAGGAAGTCGTAGTAACTTGGCTGTAAATGCCCATATCTGCACAAAATTTTACACATTTGACAAGAGTCCTGAACAAATCTACATGCCGACATTCACCCACAGTCATAGCGCCACCTGCTGGAAACAGGAAGTGACTTTTAATGAAGCAGCCCCCGCCGCACGTTTGACCTACATGTACGGAATTTCTGTGGCACATGGATCATGTCCATATGTATAAAAAAAGCCTCTTGGAGCAATACCCTAAATCCAACAGGAAGTCGGCCACTTTAAATTTTACGTCAATTTTTGGGTGATTTGGATGCATAGCAAATTCACAGCCGCACCGGCTGAGCTCCAGAATATGCAACGCGGCCGCCTCACACCCCGACGCGCTACAGGTGCGAGGGCCCGCCCATCGCTGCTTGCAGCTTTAATTTCATGTTATCACTGTGAAGCTGCTTTGATACAATCTGTATTGTAAAAAGAGCTATATAAATAAAGGTGACTTGTCTTGATTTACTTTTAGATATATTTTAGTTTTAGTTAACGATAATAACCATGAAAGAGCAATTGTAATGAAACATGTTTTGATTTTTTGAAATAAATTAACGTGAGTAAAGTTTAATCCTCACGCAACGTCACTATTATGTTTAGTTAATTTCAGTTTTCATGAACTAGTTTTTCATGTGTTCCTTTGTTTAGATTCCCGCCACTCGTTTTTTTATGGTTACTGTTATTAGCTAGTTTGCGTTCATCTCGTTATCTTTAGTATACAAGTTCCAATGTGTTCCCTTTGAGTTGGTCAGGTCACATTTTGGTTAAGTGTGTGTCTTCAGCTACCCATTTGGATTTGTACCTATTTGGATTTGTATATTAAACCTTGTATTGGAACCTAATTCGTCTTCATCAGTCTGCGGACACACACGCGTTACAGATGATAGGACCGCAAATGGATTTTACCGTGAAGTTTGCAGTGGTGGCTCAAATGAGTCAAGACTTTTTTTGTGTTAACCAATCAGTTCTTTCATCTTGCCATCACCTGCCCCTACAACGACGAGACCCTGAAGTCGTTGTTCTGGATCAGGGCAAATTACTACACTCCTGTTGACCTCCCAGACACCACCGGATTAAACTGGAGAGAAGCCATCATCCAGTGTCTTTGAGAGCATCTATCCCCAGTTCAGAACACAGATGGACCCAGACCCTAAATCACCACATGGGACCATAGAAATATCGCATGAGCCCCTCGCAGATGGAGAGCTACCACATGCCGGATTGTGTCAACCAGAGCCCGAGGACAAGTGGACAGCCTTGATCCTCGCCTCGGAAGAGAAGTTCCCAAGTGAGTCTGACCAGGGGTGTGAGCCCACGACATCGGTGGCTGAGGGTATACTGGTGGAATTAGTAATTGAGGACTGGCTGATAGATTTTCATACGGAGATATCATCGCCCACCCTATCCCACCTCTTTTCTCATTCTTCACTGCTGTTTTTAGACAGCAGGATAGTCTGTTTGAACTGGGACTTATCAGTTTCCTCAGAACCCTCATTGCCGTTTCTAAACAGCGCAGAGATTTGGACGGACTATACATTGCCTTTAACACTTCTCAGTCTCCGTCAGCCTCCGTCGCCAACCTTCTGCCCGAAGGTAGGCAGTCCTGCAGCCCGACTTCTGCTGGAGGTTTGCAGCCCCTCGCCACCTCATGGAAGGCCTAGCCAGGACGTCGAGCCTCAGGTCCTACAACCTTATCCAGCAGCTGAGCGATCCCATGGCTCCGCCTCTGATCGTCTCAGACCTGTCAACTCAATGGCTCCGCCCACCTTCGGCTCCACCAGACCCCCTCGGCCGCTCGACCTAACCGGGTTCCCTTGTCCCAGTGGCTCCCCCTTGGTCAGTCGTCATACCACCTCCGCCGTGGACTTGCGGATCTTCAGCTATGCTCCGTTCCTCCACCCCTACGGCTACAGCGGCTGCTCCTTCCCTTCGGACTTGCTTCGGTACGCACACTGATACGGCATCGACTCAGTCCTTGGGTACTCTGGCTTCTCTTTCGACTGTCATCGCCACAACTTCGCCTAGGCCTCCGATGCCAGCGATGTCACTCTGCTATATCGGCTCCGCCACCGTTGGACGTTTCCCAGATGTCAAAAGTCATATGACCTCGTCTCCACCGGCTGTCGTCACTACCAGGCTTTAAGTCCGGTAGTGGGAATTGGAATTGCCTGGGAATTGTTATCTTCCCATCACCACTCCTCTGGCGATGCCACTTGCACCACACCTTCGTCCACCTCCAAAACCCCCTCCATCAATTCCTCATCTGCTTTCACGGAGCAAGGTCGCACCTTGTCGGAGGGGGGTGTACTGTCACTGTTATGTTCAGTTAATTAAGAGTTTTCATGGACTTTTTCATGTCACATGTGTTCTATTGTTTAGATTCATGCCACTCTTTAGTTTCTATGGTTGCTGTTAGTTTGTTTTCAGCTGTGTTCACCTCATTATCTTTAGTATATATGTTTCTATGTGTTCCCTTTGAGTTGGTCAGGCCAAGTGTCGGTTAAGTGTGTGTCTCCTGCTACCTGTCTGGATTTGTATCTTAAACCTTGTATTGGAACTTTGTCATCAGTCTGCCGACGCACGCGCGTTACACACAAGTCACACAGACTACATTTATGGTAATTTTTTTCGAGCTCAACAAATCTATTACCTTTTCCTCTTTCATTTTATGGAAAAGAGCAGTTTGCTCATTCTTGAAAATATCTTATTTCACATACACACTGTTGAATAGTGTTTTGCTGACCTTTTGAAAGACGTATCCCCCTGGAGGGCCCCAGCCTACAATGGGGTCGGATGAGGCTTTACCGTTAATGTTGGGTTGAGAGTTAATGGTGAGAACACCCCTGCGGTTCACCTTCTCCAACTCATCCTTCAACAGGTTGGTCTCTGTAGCCAGAGGGTCGTCGTTCCACGGCAGACACATGATCTACAAAAAACATTAAGATATAAATATTCCATGCAATATTTTAGTAGTATTTATTGGTCCACTTTATATTAAGTGGCTTTAAGTACTATGTACTTACATTGAACAATAAGTACAATGTATTATTGTGTTCCTGCTGTATTGTAAAACACTTTTGCTGCTATTGAGGTGTGATCTTGGTAAGGTTAGGGACAGGTGTGGTGGTATGGGTCGGTTTAAGGGTAGGTTAAGGTGTGAGGGGAGGGTCAACTGTGTAATTTCAAATGTAATTACATAAATTAATTATAGCTGTAATTACATGCTGAAATTTTAAAATGTAAGTACAGTGTAAAACCTTGTATGTACACAATAAGTACATTGTATCAAATTATTAATTTCAATGTAAGTAAACAGTACTTAAAGCCACTTAATATAAAGTGGGACCAATTAACCAATATTATAAAACAGATGTTCTGTCTGTAAATTTTTTTGCTACTTTTTGAATTCTATATTCATAAGAAAGGTGTGCCTAATTGTGATGTTGTTTGACAACCACAATTATCTTTCCTTTGTGTTGTTCCAATCAATAACATGTCCTTGCTCATCTTGACTTGTTCTGCATGTGTACTACTCTGTGTTCCTTCACATAAACCAGTCATACCCACACACAGGGGCGCAACTACCCAGTTTCAGAGGGGTATGCAGCAACAATTTTAGCACCCCCCCCCCCCCCCCCCCAAAAAAAAAAATAAAAAATAAAATAAAATAAATGTAATGTAAGTGTGCTGTGTAATAAGTGAGTAGGAAGAAATGAGAGCTAACAGAAAAAATAGTCGTTTATTAACACAATTAAACTATAGCTACTCCACCTTGATGAACCCCCCCAAAGAAAACGATAAGCTCCATTGTAACAGCAATACCAGTGTTTCTCACAGGATTTTAGGTAAAACTGTGGTAGGTGGACCTCTGTTTCTCTAGGGGGGTTCGGGGGCATGCTTCCCCGTAAGAAAATTTTGTGTTCTGTAATGTTAAATTCAGCAGTCTGGTGCACTTTGAGAGTTCAAAATTAAAAGCTCCAACCCATATTCAGGGTGCAAATTAAACAGAGAAAAATTTGATCCTCTTTTAGTTAGTGTCTGTCTAAATTACACTACTACAAAATAATAGTTATAATATTAATCCCATGATAGTAATTGCCATAAAGGCTATTGTAAAACAAATGCACAGAAAAATAAAGGAAACTTTCATAATTAGTTTTGCACTAATTTCTATACTTGAAAGATACTTGCACATAATGACATATTTCATGGGCCAGTGTGTCAGAAAAAAAAAACTAAAGCTGACTTTTTTTGACCAATGCATTACACCAGCACAGCGCCGCCAATTAAGCAAAAAACAAAACAAAAACAAACAACAAACAAACAAATGGGCCGCCGATGTATGAGTTTTGTGGGCCGTTAAGACAAATAAATTAAAAAAGGATGAAATGTATTGTCTGAAAAGCACGTCGGCCCAGCGGGAATCTCAGTTCCGATGGCCACCGAGATATAGATAGCCATGCCTGGATGTCACATTTTAAATCCTACCTGTTGGATTACAGCAATGCATGCAGTTATTTAGCTGCTGTCGCATCAATTGACATGCCATCTCCTTTTCTCTCTTTCTTTTTCTATTTTGAGCACCACAGCATTTTGTTTTATCCATCTTTTTCGACGACAACTCACTGCTCGTACCTGCTCGCTCAGCGCTCACGGCGCCCCCGCCCGCTCGCGATATTACCCGCCCCCCTTCTCCATGAGGGCGCCTACTCTAGCCTGGCTGTTAGTCCTCTAAAATTTTATATAACATTGAAGGAGTGCAGAAATGATTTAGAAACGCACCACGGCAGCTACATATAGAAATAGCTGCCGTTATAGCCTATATATAATTTTTTTTTTTTTACCATCGCTTTGGCGCCCCCCATTGTGCTGCGCCCCATGCGCCGCATATAGCGCATACCCACTTTTTGCGCCACTGCCCACACAAATACATCTACCACAGTATAGCAGAACTCTACTGGTACTTTTACCATCATACTGCCCAGCCGTACATTGTTGTATACTGATCCTGGCTGTACCACTCTACCTTGTGTCCTTTGGAATTGGTTTGCCCCGTGATGTAGTTGGTGAAGACTTCATAAACACTCTCCTCGCTTGTTAGTTCCTCACCCCACATCTGCAGCAGGGCCTCTTTAGGAGACTTACTCTTCAGGTAAAACAGGTAGTAGTCTGTCAGCTCGCCAAAGGCTGGTGAGGAGGAGTTGCCCCTGATGGCGACACGTTAATTAACATTTTTGGTCTCTACATCTTGAACGAGCCACATAAAGCCCAGAAATGAGGGAGGAAACATGTTATGTACCATCTTCCGTTGGGGAAATCATCCCAGTCCTGTGTTCTGTAGATGTAGCTTTTGGGTCGGGAAGCCCAGAATATTGGCCTGACGTCTTCTTCCTTACGCTTTGGATGGGCGCTGATTGCCCAGGGCAGAGGTCGCCTAAAGTTCACATAATATCAATAAGTGAACCTCATTAAAACAGTCAGAAACATGTCTTTATTTTACCCCCAAATAAGAAGAAAAGAATAAGAAATGATACATAGTATATGAGACTCTCAATCTACATTTTGTCCTAACCAGTCGTGCCGGCAATACATGACAATTCTATTTAAAGGGATACTTCACTTTTTTTGGAAATAGGCTTATTTTACCACTCCCCCAGAGTTAAACAGTTTTACCGTTTTCGAATCCATTCAGCCGATTTTCGGAAATTTAGAAGAATATTAGTAAACAGACAGTTTCTGGTCTCATTGACTTCTATAGTAGGAAAAAAATATACTATGAAAGTCAATGAGACCAGAAACTGTCTGGTTACTGATATTCTTCTAAATATCCGAAAATCGGCTGAATGGATTAGAAAACGGTAAAACCCAAATGTTCAACTCTGGGGGAGTGGTAAAATGAGCCTATATCCAAAAAAAGTGGAGTATCCCTTTAATATGTAAAGTTTTCTTCCTAGGTAATCACGATTGAATCATGATTTCTTTTTTTTTTTTTTTTTTTTTTGTTTGTTTGTTTCAAACAGCGATCACGATTGTCCCACGATTTTGTACTGACAACTAAATAAAATAACATGTAATTTACTCTGAAAAAATATTAATTGCTGCAGTTTAATGCATGATTAATGAATCTGAATGCATAATAAAAAATAAAAAAACAATTGGTTTGAATGAATGATTCAATGACTCATAAGTACATCACTTTCATTACTCAATGGATTAGCATTTTTGGAACTAATCTCTAGAATGAATGATTCGAAGACAAATCGCAATGTAATCAACATGATCGTTATTTGAAGCACCAAGTTGCTTTCAAAAGGTGATTTACTCTATTTTGATTGCTTCAGTAGACATCATTGTTTATATCCGAACTATAAAATTGTATCCCATTTCTTCTGTTATAATTTGAATATTTGTAGCACAGAAATAACAATACTGTGTGGTTGAAAAGGACTGTTTGTGAAGCTGTTTCATACAATGACAAATGCTTTCTCTGGGTCAGCGGCAGCGGCGATGCAGGTTTGATTGTTCCTGTGTTCTTCTGTCAAAGGTTTAATACACACAGGCAAATTGTTGTCATTAAGGAATGAGATTGCATGGGTGTTTGATTTGAGATTGCAATCTTTTAATAATGAATCGTTGCCAAATTCCAGGAAAAAATGATTATGCATAATTCAGGACTTTTTATTATAAGCAAACCATTATACAAAGTGACTCTTATTTTGAAATGTTTATGTCTTTACTACTTTTACCTGCTCTTGTAAAAAGATTTAGGTAGAATATGTAATGTTAACGCTTTGCATAAATGTGCAGTATTTATTGATTGAGGGCCTTATCACAATTCCTGGTTTTCTGTCCCCATATAAGACCTAAAATGATACTTTTGTTATACCATTTAAGATATTTAAGACTTTTTATGGCCTTGAATATGGACCCTGATTACACCTGCTGTTGTTATATAAAATCAATACAGCACTCAAGTCCATCACAATCCATAATCACATGAGAGCCGTTATCAACTTCAGCATTTGCTGTAGGCTACCATCACCGAATAATAATAATAAAAAAAAAAAAAACAGGGGCAGTTTCTCAGAATTAAGGTACATTTCAGAGCCACTCACCGTGGATCCTCTACCCATAAGCCTAGCTGTCTGAGAACTTCCATGGTGGCCACCTCTCTATTGAGTGTGTAAAAGTGCAGGCCTGGGACCTCTCCACTGGCCAGCAGAACCTTGCACATCTCCACCGCCTGCTGGATGCCATAGTTCCGAATGGCGGCGTCGTTTTCTTTAATGGGCTCAATCACCTGCTTGATCTCCTCTGGCACTTCAAGTTTGGAGAGTTTGACCAGCTGACGGAGTGAGTGGTACCCCTGTGCAAACAACGGAAATTCCAATTTTAAAGAATGCACAAAAAAGCACAATAAAAGTCCTTACAAAAGACTTATGAGTCGTGTGTGAGAAATTTGACACTGAAATCGAAGATGTTACCCTCCACAACATTTTATAGAAATCTGGTGATGTGACGAGTCATATGCATAAATTAAATTCGAGAGTTAAATCGGAGAGAGACTTTTTGTAGAAAATTGGCTTAAACTTCAGGATATTGTATGACTTTAGAATTTTTGAAATAGAGCATGTCATATGGCTCATTTTATGGTGTTTTTTGCTTAATGCTTTTGTTGCATAAAGATGAATGTAAACAGTGCGTCGCATTCAACGCAAATTGACATATTTTCGTAATCAATTACAGAGGCATCCCTAGTTCACACTATGTCACTAATTACTAGAAGACAACCCAGACATTGTACTTTTAGCTGTTAACATCCTCTGACTGAAAATGAAGCATTTCAATGGCAAGATTATTAATGCCAATAATGAATCTGTGTAATTTGAGTAATCCATACACAAAACCATACAAACAAGTAACTGTCGTTAAAGTATTAAAAAAAATACTTTTATTAAGCAGGACATTAGATCCTTTTCTAATTGCATTAGGCTGGATTGTATGTCTATTGTTTATTTTAAGATAATTCTCTTGACAAAAGTTAACAATTAACAAAAGTCTCTTATAGGAAGCTGCTGCCATTTTTAGATTTGATATTACAGAGTACAAGTCAGAGCTCTCCAATAATTCAGAGTTTACGATTTGTGATTACAAGTAACGTGACCATTTTTTCCGTTCAGTAATTAGGGCTGGGTAATAAATATCGATTTCTCGATATTAATCGATTCTCATTTTTATGAACCGATATCGATTCTTAAATCTCAAGAATCGATTAGTCATCCTGTTTCATTTGAATGAATGGGACATTGTATTGCGGCTGCGAGCATCCAAAAAAAAACGCAATAATCTTTGTCCTTTGTTACTATTGATATGAAACAAAGTCTCAATTTTCAAATTACGTCCATTTTCTTTAGAAATTCACAAACATAAATAGCGTTGTGGCGCTGTGGCGTGAGATCGCTCTGGCGCAGCTCAAGAGAAGCAGCAGCGCTGATCTCTCTTCCGGGTTAATAATACCATTTACCACGCGAAATAAACATGAATGAGCATCTGAAAGTGTGTTAAAAGATAGAGTACAACTTATCTAAATCCGTATCATGTCACAATGATTCGCTTAACCGAGGAAAGACGTCAGTTAAACAGCTTGTAATCAATGTATCGTCATATTTACCTCAGAAAACCCACATAAACTCGTTAGTCAGCTAGAAAAAAATAACTCCAGAGAGGAGCATTTTGCTAAATGTATACACCATATTACATATGCATTATAATCTTAATGTTCTTCAATATTTAATGCATATTTGAATAAATCTGGCAAGTTTTTATGACAGCCACCATTTAAATGTTTATATTTCATATAATCTTCTTATTATAAAAATAAATAAAAGTGTAATTTAAGTGTTTGTATGGCTACAAAACAGTTCATTATTAACTTCATATTAGGCTAATGAAGCCTAGTAGGCTACAACTAGACTCCCATAGTTTACAGCATTTAAGAGATTTGATTCCCTTGAGAAAAATGGCCATTTATTGTAACTGATATCCAAAATAATCGATATTGAATCGAATCGAATCGTAATCGAATCGAATTGCAAGCTTGTGAATCGAAATCGAATCGAATTGTGAAATTTGTCTCAATACCCAGCCCTATCAGTAATTCTGACATGGCATGAACAAACCTCAACATGAGAATGAATAAATGACAGAAATTAGATTTTTAAGAGCCAAATGAGCTAAGTGAAGTAATGTAAAACAGACAGAAAATATTATGTGGTGCAATAAATACATTAATCACATCATTGCATTCAGTTGGTCTTTTGCAATGATATGACATCATATGTCAGTTTATACAGCAGTGTTTGGCTGATAAGAGAATTGGATGACTTCCACATCATCAAGGTGCAGTGGTTGGTCAGTTTATGTGTTCATGTACCTGAATAGGGAAGATTCCTGGGAGAATGGGGCAGGTGATGCCAATGGCCCGACAGTCTTTAGTAAACTTAAGGAAGTTTTCTGCCCTGAAAAAAAGCTGGGTGACGATGAAGTGAGCACCAGCATCAACCTTCTCCTTCAAGTGCCTGAGGTCATCTTCATAGCTCTCAGCCTCTGGGTGACCCGTGGGGTAACCTATCATTACATTTGAGAGGGGTTTGAGCTGGTGAATTTTAGAGTTCCATGCAAAAATCACACAACTAGAACCAGAAATCTAGAAAATTGCTGTTGTTGTAAAGTATTTTGAGTGGTTACTGGCTTAAGACTCTACTTGGCACTTTATCATCAACCAGGAGAAAATCTGTGAACAATGGTAATATGCCTTAGCAAACACCAGTTGCTTGTCTGTCTAAAGCTCACCTGCAACACAGATATCAAAATAGTCATCGAATTCACAGCGAATGTGCTTGACCAGATCTGTAGCATAGTTGAAACCTCCATCTTCCTCCACCCAATCTTCCCCAATAGGATCTGCAAAAGACAATCAGGGTCAAATCAGGTTCACTCAACCGAACATCCAAAACAAGGGCTAAATGTGCTCGCTGTATGCGTGTAGTGTGTGTAGACAGCAGTATTGGTCCACACCAGTATTCGGATGGCAACGTTCACAATTATTCAAGTGAACTGCGCAAACAGAGCAATCGCACCAGGGTTTGTTTTCATTGGAAAAAAAAAACATGGCAAGTGTGAACACACCCAAAATACCTAATTTTGGCCAAATTCTACATCACTACTGCATGTATCCTTCATTGGGAAGGCAATCCTAGTTTCACAGACAAACACAGTTGGAAAAAGAAATCCAAGATGGCAGATGGACTAGAGAGAAAAGATCATTATAAGCTATATACTTAAATCTCACTCAGTATTGAAAAGTTCAGAAGTTTAAACATAGCTAGAAGTTCAATTTAATAAAAAAAAAAATGGGCAACACTTTACTTGAAGGGGTGTGCATGAGACTAAGATGATACCTTCATAATCATGACATGACATATGTTATGAATATGAAGTTTTATGCATGTTTGTGACAACTGTCATTAAGTGTCATTCGCTCAGTTATGACATTTTGAATGCAAATATGACATTGTTTGAGATGTCTTTGTTATGACACCTTGACATAAACCAATCCATCATAACCTGTCAGTGTCTTTGTCATGCATTACTAAGACAACACAATCTGTCATAAACATGACATAGCAGATTAATGATCAAACTTAAGAAACCACTTAGCTTTATTGGTTAACATTACATTAAACTGTCAGGTGGTTGGTTTTGACATTGGCTGTTGTTACAGTGGAGGCTCCCGCTCCGCCTCCTCTCCGCCACCAGAGGGAGCCTTCACCGGAGTATTGATCATTGGACATAAACTCAAATTCCCATCATACCTCTTACCTGGGACTGATTGCGTCACACACCTGCACCGCATTAGCACACACACATAAAAGCCACCTTCACACACACACTGTTGCGAAGTCTTGATTTGCCCCGGTGATCATTTCTGAGCGTTATTCCCTGTTTCTGGTTTTCTGGTTTTCTGGTTTTGACTTTGGACTGTTGGATTATTCTACGAGTGTTATCTGCCTGGCCTGATCTTGGACTGTCTTTGGATTGTGATTCTTGCTGCCTGCCCCGAACTCTGCCTGTTATCTGGATTATCCCTTTGCTCTGCCTGTATTGCTCTGTCTGCCTCGTCTTGACCCTGCCTGTACGACTCTGTTTATAATAAAGCTGCAAATGGATTCTTCCGTGTCCCGTGAGTCCTTACAGAAGACTTCGCCACCAACTAATCCAGCAGCCGTCATGCAACTGACCTCCGAACTCACCTCCCAAGCTTCACGCCTAGATCTACACCATCAACAGCTCAGCCATCTGACTACTCTCACCGAGCAGCTAGTACAGGGAATGCAGGAGCTTCGTATCGCTGTGGGTACCGCGCCTCAAACGCCAACTACACCACCACCACCACCGAGTGCGCTTCCCACTACTGTGAGTACTACAGTCAATCCACGACTCGCTTTCCCTGACAAATTTGATGGTTCTCCAACCAAATGCAAAGGTTCCTGTTACAATGTACACTCTTTGTGGAGCAACAACCAGCATTATACTCCAGTCATGGGAGTCGCATCGCATTTGTTTGCTCTCTCCTTACCGGCAGAGCACTAGAATGGGCCACGGCTGTCTGGAAACCAGAGGGCAACACGTTTTCTACATTCCAAGAGTTTATCAATCAGTTTCGTCAAGTATTTGAACATACCACGGAGAAGGGTGATGCAGGCGATCAACTTTTAAACCTCACTCAGGGAAAAGAAACTGCTGCGGATTACGCCCTCACTTTTCGCACGCTAGCTGCACAAACGAACTGGGTGGAGGATACTTTGAAGACCCTTTTCAGGAGAGGACTTACCAATGAACTGCAATCTGAATTAGCCTGTCGAGATGAGGGGAGAACTTTGAATGAATATATCACTCTGGCCATTCAAGTCGATAATCTGATGCGATCCAGACGTAAGCCCCGGTTACCAGTTCAATCCTCACTCGTAGCCACTAACCATCCCGAACCCATGCAACTGGGACTCACTCACATCTCGCCAGAGGAACGCGAACGTCGAATTCAACATCGGCTTTGTATGTACTGCGGTCAATCTGGACACATGAAGCTCTCCTGTCCTGTTCGACCCTCCAACCATAACCAGTCGGTGAGTGCCCGAGATAAATCCCACAATCCTGTTACCAGTTTCACACTGCCAGTCCGTTTAACCATTTATAATCAATCCATTGACACTTCTGCTTTCATTGACTCTGGAGCTGCGGGAAATTTCATATCTCAAACATTTGCTGAACAACACAACATCCAACTAAAACCGTGTCCTTCTTCATTGACAGTGGAGGCGCTAGATGGACATCCCATCGGAGAGGGGAAAATTCAGCGCGTCACGGAGAATGTTCAATTGCACATTGGATCTCTTCACTCTGAAAATATCCAGTTCTATGTCATTCACGCTCCACATCACTCCATCATTCTGGGTCATCCTTGGCTACAAACTCACAATCCTCACATTTCTTGGAAGGAAGGTCAAATCATTCGCTGGGGTGAAGCATGTAATAACCGCTGTCTATCCAAAGTCATTCGTGTCTGCAATCCCGAATCAGAATCTGATACTTCAACACCCGAGCCGGGAGATTTGCCTTCTGTTTATGTGGATTTGAAGGAAGCCTTCAGCAAGGAAAAAGCCGCACAACTCCCCGAACACAGATCAACGGATTGTGCCATAGAGTTAATTCCCGGTGCCACACCTCCCAGAGGAAGAATTTTCCCTTTGTCAAAACCAGAATCTGAGTCTATGAAACAGTATATAGAAGAGGAACTCGGAAAGGGCTTCATTCGACCCTCCACCTCACCAGCAGCCGCTGGGTTTTTCTTTGTAAAGAAAAAAGATGGGGGACTCAGACCCTGCATTGATTACCGAGGCTTGAATGAAATCACTGTCAAATATCGATATCCACTACCGCTGGTCCCTGCCGCCTTAGAACAACTCCGTCAGGCCAAATATTACACCAAACTCGATCTACGCAATGCCTACAACTTGATTCGCATACGAGAGGGTGATGAGTGGAAAACTGCCTTTTCCACCACTAGTGGGCACTATGAATATCTCGTCATGCCTTTCGGATTGTCCAACAGTCCTTCTGTCTTCCAGGCCTTCATGAATGATGTGTTCCGTGATATGCTGGACAAGTGGGTGATTGTATACATTGACGACATTCTGATCTACTCCAATTCACTAGAAGAGCATATTCAACATGTCCGGTCTGTACTTCAACGTCTGATTCAGTTTCACCTCTATGCTAAAATGGAAAAATGTGAATTCCACCAAACCAGCATCTCTTTCCTCGGATACGTCATCAGTCAAGAAGGGGTCGCCATGGATGAAAAGAAGGTGAAGGGTGTAGTAGACTGGCCATTACCACAAACCATAAAAGAACTACAAAGATTCCTGGGATTTGCAAATTTCTACCGGAGATTTATCAGAAACTTCAGCCTCATAGCCGCCCCTTTAACAGCCTTAACCAAACGTCACAACCATCGCATATCCTGGAACCCGAAGCCCAACAAGCTTTTCACGACTTGAAGAGACGTTTCACTACCGCACCTATCCTGCATCATCCGGATCCTGAACGACAATTCATTGTTGAAGTCGATGCTTCAAATACAGGGGTGGGGGCTATACTATCACAACGCCAGGGAGACCCAGCCAAGATGTACCCATGTGCGTTCTTCTCTCGCAAACTCTCTCCAGCTGAACGTAATTACGATGTGGGAAACCGGGAATTGTTGGCCATGAAGTTGGCCTTGGAAGAGTGGCGTCATTGGTTGGAGGGAGCAGCAGAACCGTTTGTCATTCTTACAGACCACAAAAATCTGGAATACCTCAGATCGGCTAAACGTCTCAACCCACGTCAGGCCAGATGGGCACTGTTCTTCACCAGATTCAATTTCACGGTTACCTACCGCCCAGGAACCAAAAACACCAAAGCCGACGCTCTCTCTCGACAATCTGAAGAAACTGCCCAGAACCACAATCCCGAGAATATACTGGGTGAGAAATTGTTAGTTGCTCCTGTCCAATGGGATATTATGACCGAGATCCAGCAGACCAATCGTCAAACTCCCATTCCTGCAGAATGTCCAGCCAACCTCCTTTATGTACCAGAAACTTTACGAGCCCGTCTCCTAGATCAAGTTCATTCAAGTCCCAGCTCGGGTCATCCAGGTATCACTGCCACGGTCCAGCTTCTACAAAATCGTTTCTGGTGGCCCACACTTACTCCAGATACCATTAACCACATTCACAACTGTTCTCTCTGTCAGACCTCAAAATCACCACGAAAACTACCTGCTGGTCTACTATGTCCTCTTCCAACCCCACAACGACCATGGTCCCACATCGCAGTAGATTTCATCACCGATCTTCCCAACTCACAAGGTTACACCACCATTCTCACCATAGTGGATCGATTTTCAAAAGCTTGTCGACTGGTTCCTCTCACCAAGCTCCCCACAGCCTTCGAAACTGCCGAACTCCTATGTAATCAAGTCTTCAGATTCTATGGGTTACCTGAAGACATCGTGTCCGATAGGGGACCGCAGTTCACGTCCCGAGTTTGGACCGCGTTCTTCAAGAATCTTAACGTGAACATTAGCCTCACCTCCGGGTATCATCCACAGTCCAACGGACAAACTGAACGTTTAAATCAAGATGTAATCCGCTTTCTACGAACCTACTGTCAACAGCATCAACAGGATTGGAGCAGATACCTGTTCTGGGCTGAATATGCTCAAAATTCTCTGGTAAAACCTGCAACTGGCATCACACCCTTCAAATGTATCCTCGGTTTCCAACCTCCTCTCTTCCCCTGGTCCGGCGAACCCACAGAACTACCATCTGTCACCGAATGGCTACACAAGAGCGAAGAGGTCTGGGATCAGGCACATACTCACCTAAGGCACGCCGTCAGACGTCAAGAACATCAGGCCAATCGTCACCGTCGCCCCGCTCCAGAATACCAGATCGGCCAATGGGTTTGGCTGTCCACCAGAGACCTAAGACTCAGACTTCCATGTCGCAAACTCAGTCCCAGGTATGTTGGTCCCTTCCAAATTATTAGACAGATTTCACCAGTTTCATTCCGATTAGACCTGCCCGCTAACTACCGTATTTCCCCTACTTTTCATGTTTCTCTGCTGAAACCTGCTGGTGGTCCGAGGGGAGAAGCGGAGGGAGGGACCGCTTCTCAGAGCCCTCCACCCATTCTGGTCGATGGCGAGGAGGCGTACCGGGTACATAAGTTACTGGACTCCAGGCGTCGGGGTAACAATCTCCAGTATCTGGTCGACTGGGAGGGGTACGGTCCGGAGGAGCAGTCCTGGGTCAGTTCAAGAGATATTCTGGACCCCACTCTCACGGAAGAGTTCCATAGGACTTACCCGGAGAAACCGGCCCCTCGACCCCGTGGTAGACCCCGACGACAATTGCCTCCTCGCGTCAGGAGCCGCTCGCAGGGGGGGGGCTCTGTTACAGTGGAGGCTCCCGCTCCGCCTCCTCTCCGCCACCAGAGGGAGCCTTCACCGGAGTATTGATCATTGGACATAAACTCAAATTCCCATCATACCTCTTACCTGGGACTGATTGCGTCACACACCTGCACCGCATTAGCACACACACATAAAAGCCACCTTCACACACACACTGTTGCGAAGTCTTGATTTGCCCCGGTGATCATTTCTGAGCGTTATTCCCTGTTTCTGGTTTTCTGGTTTTGACTTTGGACTGTTGGATTATTCTACGAGTGTTATCTGCCTGGCCTGATCTTGGACTGTCTTTGGATTGTGATTCTTGCTGCCTGCCCCGAACTCTGCCTGTTATCTGGATTATCCCTTTGCTCTGCCTGTATTGCTCTGTCTGCCTCGTCTTGACCCTGCCTGTACGACTCTGTTTATAATAAAGCTGCAAATGGATTCTTCCGTGTCCCGTGAGTCCTTACAGCTGTCATGAAGCCATTATAACTTTTTAATGACAAATTCAATTAGTACCACTCTAGTTGAGGTTATGAAAAATATTCATGACACAGTTATAATGCCTCATGACAGCCAATGTCAAAGCCAACCACATGACAGTTTAACTTAATTTTATGTCAAGTTGTCATGACAAAGGCACTGACAGGTTATGATGTTATGTCAAGATGTCATAACAAAGACATCTTAAACAATGTCATATTTGCATTAAAAATGTCATTACTGAGCGAAAGATACTTAATGACAGTTGTCATAAACATGCATAAAACTTATGAAGGTGTCATGTCAGTCTTATGAACACCCCATCAAGTAAAGTGTTACCAAAAATTGTCTATTTTACCAAATATCATACATACATTACAGTAAACTGATGCTGCCATTCAAAAGTAAATCAAGTCACTCACTTATGAGGATCCGTAACAGTTACGATGCTACTTTAGAGAGCAGTTGAATATGTAGACATCATGACCTTTTACTAGGTTTTGAAACTTTTTGGGGGGTGGAATGGCACATCAAAATGTGTTGTTTGAACCTATAAGTAACTCATAGATTTCACATGAGCCAGTGTTCATACCTCCTCTGAGGGCCATGATATTCTTTAGGCCTAGCCGCTTGGCTTTATTTAAATGGGCTGATATTTTCTCTTTCGTCTGATTACAGCATGTCAAATGCAGGACACTCTCCAGGCCGCAATAATTGACTGCTGTGCTTGCTATCATCATGGAAGACGTTTCTTTGTCTGAGCCCGGATCTCCAGCGGGATGCCAAGTGATGTCAATGAAGAGAGGACCTCCAGAACCCATTCGGTCAAATCTAACACACAGAGAACAGAAATATAAGATATATAATGATAATTTGGAAGGAAAATATGATTGATTTTCAAATGCGTCACAATGGTGTATATATACAGTCGTGCTCAGAATTAATGGGACCCCTGGTAAATATGATGAAAACTGGCTGTAAAAAATAATTCTGCATTGTTTGTCCTTTTGATCTTCCATTCAAAAAATTGGCAAAATTCTAACCTTTCATTGAAGCAAAAGAATTGAAAGTGGGGGTAAATCACACTATGAAATAAATGTTTTTCTCCAAAACACTTGTTGGCACCCCAATAATTTTTTATGAGAAAAATATCTCTGAAGTACATTCCCATTAATATTTATTTTTTTTAAGCACATCAGGGTGACTAGGAACATGAAATTGTCCAGCTATGACTTCTTGTTTCAAGGAGTTTAAATATGAGGAAGCACAAAGGTCAAATTCCCTGAATCATGTTTTTTTGGTGGAGATTCCCTCAATAACAAAAACATAAAAACTAAATCAGCATTTTTTTTGCTTTCCTACCTAGAGATAAGATTGACTGCTCCAGAAGCTGTGCGGGGTGGGAAGAACTCTAGTGAGAACCAGTGGTCCCCAGACTCGATCCGCCGTTTCATCTTGTCCCGCAGCCGGTCAGTGCGGTCGGCGTCCAGTACAGGGGTTGAGCACCTGGAGCTCTCTTTGGAGCTCTCTCCACTGTAACTGGCCCCGCTAGAGTCGCTCTTCGAGGACTGCCAACCTATGTCAGCTCTTTGGTTCACCATGTTTCCTGTACTAAGTGCTGAATGTCACCCTGAAAAAAAAAACAACAGAAAACACGATCACTTTGAGCTAGGTTGACTTTTTTAATGTTTGTTTGGGATACTAATGGGACTTTTTTTAAATCGCAAACAAATTACACTGATGGCACTGACTATGTTCAGAATGGAATACTAGCTGCACAAAATTTCTGTATTCTACTAATTAAAAAAAAATAAGAGAGAGAGATGATGTAAAAAAAAAAAATGCATGTAATAATGACTTCACAGTGAAAATGAAAAGTCGGGCCCACTGTCTGTACTTTGAGATATACAGTATCCAGATCACTGTTCTTAAACTGTGCACGTGACTCTTGAATCTTTAAATTGTGTACAATTATGTAACATTATTTCAATAAAATGTACGTAGTTAAAGAGATAAAAAAAAGCACATTATCATTATAATGTTAACTTTTCATTTAAAGTTTACTACTCAAACATGTTACTGACAGCTATATTTAGTAGCATATGAAGGTGATGCGTTACGTGTCTTTCTCAAATATTATGGCATATACAACTCATCAGCAGGCAGATTTGTAGTACTGCTCACGATCTCTCCTTTATCATAAACTTGAATGGGGAAGTTTGATAAAAATAAAAAAAAAGATATGATGATCCTAATAGCTACCTTCAGTTTTGGTCACAACGGGTCTCATTTGACATAATAATGAAGACATGCTTATGCAAAAAGTTGTGTTTCAATCTGGTTTCAATGCATGATTTAAAGCAGGCAATCAATGCAAGCAGCAAACATCGTTTTATATGACATAACTCAATTCAAAAATTATTTGTGCTTCTTTTGGTATTGTGCGAAAGGGTGCTCTAGACATGCGGGTCCGCGCGACTGCAGCCTATCAATAGCCTAACCGAAAGTGAAACATTCATGCCAGCTCTGCAAACGTGTAACAGTCTTTGCTTCATTACCTTCAACCTTTTCTCGATCCCCTAAGAGTTATGAGAGGACAGTACAGTTCCAGTTCTCCACAGCGTGTGCGAACCATAGACTGTAAAAAAACGAACACAGCATGGACGACAAAGAGGATGGTGTTGTGATGGACCACGCCCATTTCAAAACTATCCACGCCCACTTCTGTCCATAGGATCGTCCTATTGGCTGCAGGGACCGTCATCGTTTATGATGTAAACACACCACATGTACTCATGAATAGTTAAATGAGCTATATAACAAAATTAAGGAAGTATGTGATTTTCCCCAGTATTTGTTTGTCTTATGTCTAATCTGATGTAAAATGAAACTGTAGCTTTTATGAAAGTTGAATAAAAAAAAAAAAAAAGGAATAAGTGTCTTTCAAAAAACTCCACAGAAAGTACCCTGCTAAGCATGTTTTGGAAAGATTTAAGCCTAATATTCCACCTGTGACTTTTAAGCACAAGAAAAATAAAGTTTTGTTCACCTAAAAAGACCATAAGACAGTTGCAGCTCATACAGAACGCTGCTGCCAGGATTCTGAGCAGGACCAGAAAATATGAACACATCACACACCAGTCCTCAAGTCTTTACACTGGCTGCCAGTTACATTTAGGATAGATTTTAAAGTATTATTACTGGTATATAAATCATTTAATGGGTTAGGACCTCAATATATTGCAGATATGCTAACTGAATATAAACCCAACAGATCACTCAGATCATTAGGATCACATCAGCTAGAAATACCAAGGGTTCACTCTAAGCATGGAGAGTCTGCTTTTAGCCATTATGCCAGCCGCAGCTGGAACCAGCTTCCAGAAGAGATCAGGTGCTCCTACAGTAGTCACATTCAAATCCAGACTCAAAACACATCTGTTTAGCTGTGCATTTACTGAATGAGCACTGTCACTGTTCGTCCGACTGTTACTGCACTTCATTTTATTCTAAATGGTTTTAATTTACTGTATTTTATTTTTATCATAATTTTTATTTTTCATTATTTCTTATTTTTTATTCTAAACTGTTTTAATTATTCTGTTTTCTTTTGATTATTTTAATTTCTTCTATGTAAAGCACTTTGAATTGCCATCGTGTCTGAAATGTGCTATATAAATAAACTTGCCTTGCCTTGCCTTGCCACTGTATTTATTTTGGAAAGACGTACATGATAGATATCATATTTGTCTATTTGATGGGGTTTTTATACTCAGAATGACAATTTGGAATGCAAATTACCACATATTATACAGTTATTATTATTTTTTTTTTAGGAAAATACCATACCTACATAAAAAAGTGGGCTCAATCCAAACCAAATTTTTCACATTTTAAAAATGACTTTATATTCTATGTAAATCTTTTGTGGAAAAAAGTGCAGAAAACATGTAATGCTTTGAAAGCACTGGATTTTATGTGTTTTCTACATAAGAAAATACAATATGTAATACCTCTTGTTCTCATGGCATTAAATAATAATAATAAAAAAATAAACACAAACGAGCAATACTGTATGTGTATGTGGAGAAGGCAGGATAAATGCAGACACACGCCCACACAGAAAAAAAAGAAAAGAAAAGTCACAAGTCAACAATCAACATATTTATTAAAACTGTTCTTTAATCTTTGAAGTCTTTTGTTTTATTTTTTCCTGCAATAATGCACATCGACCTAGTGCGTTTAGTACACGTAAAGCTGCGTAGCTTGCGTCAGCTTGATTGAATCCAGCTTGTCTGCGTTAAAGTTACGCAGCTGGTGCGCACTCGAACGCCTCAGCTCTCGTGTGATGGTCATGTGATCAGGTGCGCTCTAGTGGCGGTGTGTTGCTGAAGATGGCGTGCTGTGGAGGCTGTTTGTGTTGTCACTGCTGCTGCAATGAAGGCGATATAAGAACACCAGAGGAGCTGGTATGAGGGGATTTATGTGTATTATCTGTTTCATAACTGAAAGCGCCTTGTTGAATGTTATGCGCGTCCTTTCTAATGCGCAAAATGATGCTTCATCTGTTATTCTCCACCCACATTCACTGTAAACAGCACCATGTAAATCAAGTGTACACTAACAATGAGTTCACCAATCAAATTGAGTGTACTAAGAGCAATAAAACTCAACAAACTAACGTTACTGAATTCATATGCATTATCACCGAACGAGAAAGTGTAACATTAACTGTTTCTGAATTTAGTGTGCTCCCTATCTAGAAGACATTGTTGGGCATAACTTACTTGGCCAGTGCAGCAGTTTTGGATAATATGTCATTAGGGCGTCATGCCATTTTGGAATTATATCACAAACATATTAAGCTTGTAATTCTTGATTTTATGATGATTAACCTCATTTAATAATTATGTAACGTTAAATGAGTTTCTTATTGTTGTAAAGACAAAGAAAGAAAAAAAAGAAAAAGAGATATGTGGACAAATCTTCTGATTCAGTCATTATTCTAGGTATAAGAAAATGACATGTCAGAAATGTACTGAGAAAGAGTCCTTCCATTGTTTAGAGTCGTCACATGCCATCTGTTCATTTTGAAGACTGCGATCATCCCAGTCTGGGAAACCTTAGAACCACCAAAAGGAAACCATCTGGGATTTACTTTCTAAACCATCTGATCTCATTTTCTGAATGTGTTAATCTGATTTTATTCTGGCTTTTGCTTGTTAGACAATACTGGGTGAAACCAGAGAAGATGATGATGATGAAATATTGCCAAGAAAAGACTATGAGGTCAGTGAATAATGGACATAAAGTAATTCTAAGGCTTGAAACATACTTGATATTTTGTCTTTACCTGTGATGTCTGAACAAAATGAACGCTGCATGTAATGTCTTCATTAATATTTTACATTTCAGAGTTTGGATTATGACCGATGTATAAATGAGCCATTCTTGGAGGTTTTAGAGGGGTTGGATAATAAGGTATAATGCATTGCATTATGTCATCATTTACCATATCCATTGATGTCAAGTCCTTGTTCACCAAGCTAATTATCTAATTTCTCTTACAGAAAGCCAGAAAGTATGAAGCGATAAAGTGGATTTTGGTCTTTGCAATTGGAGTATCAACAGGCCTGGTATGTTTCGGGGTGGTTTGTGCATCTAAAATGATTTCGATCAATTGCATAAGCTGTTTTTATAACATCTTGATATTTCTACTGTAGAGTTTGAAACTTATAGAGGATTGTAGATCCTGTGGGAGTAGAATATGCAATATAAAATTATAACTACAACAATATAAAATGAGAACCAATGTCTTTGTTGTGGTATTGGTTATTGGTATTGGTAATAGTATTGGTTATCTGTAACTTTGTTGTTTTTATATTTAGTACAAATATATTTAAACTGATGAATAAACTGATAAAAACTAGTGTTAGAAGACCATTAAGATTTTTCTGTTACACTTTATTTTATGGTAACTTCCTAGTTACACGTGTACTTACTATAGTAATAACTGTAGGATATTCAAATATTTGACATTTAATCTCAGTACAGTTTCTATGGTTATAAAACAAAATGTGATTTTTTTTTTTTTCTTCTCTTCTCTTTTTTCAGACTGGCCTGTTTGTGGATTTCTTTGTGCGGCTCTTCACTCAGCTAAAGTTCAGCTTGGTTGGAAAATGTATCTTTTCTGCTCAATCCTGCTTTGTGTTTTGGCTTGTAATTTTGCACCATTTGGTGATTGGAGTCCTTGACGTGTTGTTTAGCTGTGGAGGATTGCAGTGAGAATGGCTGTTTAGCTCTCTCATTACTGGAGCTGCTGGCTCTCAATATGATGTTCATATTCATCTCCAGTGTTCTGGTGCTCATTGAGGTAAGAACATACATTAAAGTTAGGGTAGGGAATTTCAGAGAGGCTAGCAATAGCAACCTAGCTTTGAAAGCATGAGATCCTACCCTCCCTTCACAGTGCTTTCCAAAGCCACGCCTCCTTCAAATCACATGAACACGCACAGCAGAGTCTACAAAGCATCCCAGGATGAAAGACTGTTAAATTACCCCTTAACTTGATAGTGTTGACATCAAGAAACGCATAAATCTGAGTCTGACAGCTCTGTGTAGATTGTCACCAGGTTGCCATCTTGTAAATAAGGTTATGACATGGCATGAACGTTTGGTTCAGGAGGAACTCTAAAAGGTGGCTGCTGTTTGTTTTTTTCGCTCTGTGGCTGTCTGTCTGCTACTCTGCATAACATGAAACGCTAATGATGTGTGATGTCTGAGCGAGTAGGGTGTGCGGAGTAATGGAAATACATGCGTTGACAGGCAGATAGGACATCCTATCATTGCGTTCGGACCGAATGCAATGATTGGACAAGCATTTTTTTGATCCTAAGACTTCCACACATGATATATAGACCATTTTGCTAGATGTAAACAACACTGGTCCAGAAACACTTCCTGTTTCAGTTTGTAACTGTTTTCTTTATTTCACATTTAAAGAAAACATCTTAAAGATGTTGTTTAACTTTTTAATTCAGTTTTACATGTTCTGTTGGTTGTATTTTAACCCAGCTTTTATGTAGTGTTAAAAAACTGAAACAGGAAGTGCTTCTGGACCAGTGTTGTTTACATCTTGAGAAATGGTCTATACAGTCATGGTCACCCCTGGTAAATATGATCAAAACTGGCTGTAAAAAATAAATCTTCATTGTTTATCCTTTTGATCTTTCATTAAAAAAACTGGCAAAATTCTAACTTGTCATTGAAGTAAAAGAATTGAAAGTGGGGGGGAAGTCTCGTCCAAAACACGTTGGCCACAATTATTGGCACCCCTAGAATATTTTATGAGTAAAATATCTCTTAATGATATTCCCATTAATATTTACCTTTTTTAGCACACCAGGGTGACTAGGAACATGAAATTGTCCAGCTATGACTTCTTGTTTCACAGGAGTTTAAATATGAGGAAACACAAATCATCCATCACAATAGAGTAAAACCAAAGAATATAGTTCTGATGTGCATAAAAAGATTGTTGACCATCACAAAATACAAAGTGGCTGTAAGAAAATAGCTAAAGAATTGAAAATACCCATTTTGACCATCAGGGCAATAATTAAGAAATTCCAATCAACTAAAGATGTTAGGAATCTGCCAGGAAGAGGATGTTTGTCTATATTTCCTTAAATGGACGGTGAGGATAAGTTTGAGTGGCCAAAGACTCTTCAAGGATCACAGATGGAGAATTGCAGATATTAGTTGAGACTTAGGGTCAGAAAGCAAAAAAAAAAAAAAAAAAAAAGAGGGAAAAAATCCTCCTCGCTCATCCAAGAACAAACTCCAGCAAATTCAGGTGTCAGACATGACTGGATCTTCAAATGGGACAGGCTTCTGTGGTCAGATTAAACTTAAAAAAGAGCTTTTTGGCAGCAAACACACTAGATGGGTTTGGTGCACACAAGGATAAAAAAGTACCCCATGTGTACAATTTAATAAACCGTTGGATCTTTAATGTTGTGGGCATATTTTTTTTTTTGCTGGAGGTCCTGGACTTCTTGTTCAGATACATGTCATCGTAGATTCTACCAAAAATCAACAGATAAAAAATCAAAACCTGACGCCTTCTGCTAGAAATCGTATAATGGGCTATGGTTGGATCTTCCATCAGGACAACGATCCAAAACAAAATCTACACGCAAATTAGTTACGGAGCACAAAATAAAGCTTCTGCCTTGATCGTCACAGTGTCCTGACCTGATGAGTGGTCTGAACTGAAGAGAAGAAGCACCAACATTGGTCTGGGAATCTGAAGGATCTGGAGACAGTCTGAATGGAGGAATGGTCTCTGATCTCTTGTCAGGTGTTCTCCAAACTCATCAGGCATTATAGGAAAATACTCAGATCTGGTATCTTGGCAAAAGGAGATTGCAAAAAGTATTTAATATAGGGTGCCAATAATTGTGGCCAACGTGTTTTGGAGAAAAACATTTATTTTATAATGTGATTTTTTTCCCCCCCTACATTCAATTCTTTTACTTCAATGAAAGGTTAGAATTGTGCTAATTTTTTAAAAGAAAGATCAAAAGGATAAACAATGCACATTTATTTTTTACAGCCAGTTTTGATCATATTTACCAGGGGTGCCATCAATTTTGACCATGACTGTATATACATGTTTTAATATTTAGACCACTTCTATTATTGATTGCTATCAGGATGTGAAGACAGTAACTGCTATAAACTGCTCTCATTTGGAAAGTTACAAGACACACACAAACACACACACACATATCATACATATATATCATTTACATATAAATGACATAAATATATAAATCATAAATCAAAAAAAGCTCCGCTCATTTAATAATTGTATAGTGTTTGTGTGGGGGAGTATATAATGAATCTTATTTTTTTTTTCCCTGTATATAGCCTGTTGCAGCTGGGTCTGGTATCCCAGAAATTAAAAGTTACCTTAACGGAGTAAAGATTCCAGGGATTGTGCGGCTGCGGACCTTCATTTGTAAAGTCACTGGTGTCCTGTTTGCTGTTGCTGGAGGTAATTATGAGAAATTTGTCTATATCTGCACTACAAAGATTATAATAAAGCCTGACTCTGTGCTCTAAATGACGTAATGGTGATTGCCAATTAAAACTCTATTTGGTTAAAGGTAGGGTATGTGATTTTCTTTTTTGACCAGTTTTTTCAAAATCACTTGAAATCCTATTCCTAACCCACTTACAGCCTCTGAGTTAGAAGCACTGAAATGAATATCACACAATTTAATCAACTGTGGAACGGGCAGGACTCAAAACTCCAGCCAATCATTTCCATGACCACCTAGAATCATTGGACAGTCAGTGCGTCAATCAAACGGTTGTACCATACCCCCATGTGTGTCCCCTTCATGTGCATACTCGTGACCCAGTCACAGTAAGTGCAAGTTGCCCCAGTACACAGAGTGAGAGAGAGAGTGCAATCTCGCGCATCTGAGTTTTGCAGATGCATGGTTGCGCGTCCATGTTCTTCGAATGGGTGGAGTCAGGGCCAGCATTGGAGGAAAGAAGGTAGGACCTTTTGAGTTGTGTATTTTCAAAATCTGCCGGCCGTTTTGCAAATCCCATACCCTACCTTTAAGGTTTTCAAGAAACATATGTGTAAACTGGCCTGATGCTGGTAATATGATGCTGGCCTTGCAGCCAGATGACAGTGGCAGGTCTTTTAAATGTTATTCCAGGCTGAATCAGTATTGTTTTTTTTTGTTTCAGGGTTGTTTGTTGGTAAAGAGGGACCGATGATCCACAGTGGAGCGATAGTAGGGGCAGGACTTCCTCAGGTACTCCTCCATATGCTGATATTTCCAACGTGAGCTGAGTAATACACATATTGAGTTCACTAATCTTTAACCTTTCTGCCGTAGAAAGAAGTTAAGATTGACAGTACTGTAAGGCTAGAAGCTTACGCTGCTATTTTGAACCAATAATCGGAAACAAAAAGCAGTTGAAGGATGATGTGCATAATTCAGTTTTTATCTGACCCCAATAAAGTTGTTATTATTCTTTTACCTCTTATTCTTTAAAGGTAAGTCTTTCTTAGAACTGATATCATTTCTGAAGTACTAGGGCAGTAAAGAGTTCTACCCCTATTCGCTCAGCCCTACGATACTTTAGATGGTTGATGATTTTGTGATCTGAATGTTACCTGGTAAGTAATTTATGCGTCATCTTTCCTGCCACATTCGAAGTTAAATATTTTGAACGCATGTTTGTATGTCTGCTTAGTTTCAGAGCATCACCTTCAAGAAGATTCGCTTTCACTTCCCATATTTCCGCAGTGACAGGTAAGTAATGCATCACACCAAACACTAAATCATTTATTACATAGTGCAAAATGAATGTAAAACAGCATTTAACTCCACTGGCTGGCTGCTACCCTTTACCTCTGTAATGTGGTATATTTCTATGTGAAAATGCAGTATAGAACATTGTATCCAGTGATAATTGAGTGAAATGCAAAATGTATTAATATTTAAAGGGTTAGTTCACCCAAAAATGGAAATTCTGTCAGTATTTACTCTTTTTTTCTTCATGTTGTTCCAACCCTGTAAGACTTTCGTTCATCTTCGGAACACAAATTAAGATATTTTTGATGAAATCTGAGAGCTGGATCACTCCTGCATACTAGTCCATAGGCTTCTTGAGGAATTGAAACTTGCTGGCCTCAAAGTTATTAAAGACATCGTTAAAATAGTGCAAGTGACTCAGTGGCTCAATCTTAACTTTATCAAGCGACGAGAATACTTTTTGTGCGCAAAAACAAACAAAAATAACGACTTTATTTCAACTATTCTCTAGTTCTCTAGTTCTATTCTCAACTTCCTTCTCTATGGGCCTCTAGTCAGTTAACGTAGTGTGATAGCGTAGAGCTACGTTACATGTAGGCTCACTATTGGCCGACGCTGGTCATGTGTGTGATGCGTGTAACGTACAACAACAGAAGCTTACGCTATTAAACTAGTAACCTGACTCGCGGCAGAGAGAGAAGTAAATGAATAGTTGAAATAAAGTCGTTATTTTTGTTGTTTTTTTTGCGTATCTCGTCGTTTGATAAACTTAAGATTGAGCCACTGCAGTCACTGACTATTTTAACAATGTCTTTTCGAGGACGTTTCAATCCCTCAGAAGCCTATAGACTAGTATGCAGGAGTGATCCAGCTCTAAGACTTCATCAAAAATATCTTAATTTGTGTTCCGAAGATGAACGAAGATCTTACGGGGTTGGAACAACATAAGGGAGAGTAAATACTGACAGAATTTTCATTTTTGGGTGTACTAACCCTTTAAAGCTAGTATACGGAAATAGTGTTTTTGTTAACATGATCCAATATCATGAGTAGCTTTTAAAAAAAAAAAAATACTTTTTTTGGTTACTCTTTACAATAAGGTTTCATTTGTTAACATGAAGTAAGAATGAGAATTATTATTGCATTAACTAATATTAAGCGAATGTTATTAATGTTAATTAGGCCTTATTGTAAAGTGTTAGCCTTTTATCTTTAGAATATAACTGTTGTATGATATTATTTTATTATAATTAATACATAATATATTTATTAAAAAAATAACATAATATATATATATTGCATCTTTAGAATAATGTGCACTGCTTAAATGTGCTCAATAAGACTGACTGTGTATTAATAACTGGGATATCAAAAGTGCCCTAATTTTTTTTTTTTGATTTATGTTATGTTGTGTTAAGGGACAAAAGGGATTTTGTGTCGGCGGGTGCAGCAGCCGGAGTTGCGGCTGCCTTCGGGGCACCCATAGGGGGCACACTCTTTAGTCTGGAGGAGGGCTCATCCTTCTGGAACCAGGCTCTCACATGGAAAGTGGTATGCTGATGTTTGTTGGGTTTTGGCAACAAACTCACTTCCTCAATCCTTAATACAACTATATTGGGAAAACCCGTATCACCAAAGACAGAGAGCGAGAGAATCCTTGTGCATGCGCAGTAAATGTATAACCTGTGGGGGAAAAGGCATTTTAAACCTTATTTTGGGGCAAAGTCATCAAACTTTTTCAGCGATTTTTATCATATTTTACTGCTGTTTGTTTCTATACAAGCAGTTTTATGTCCCAGTGACCAGTGAAAGTGCAGTTCTAACTCTCTGCCCATCATTTAGATAGAAACTGGTCTTGTTAGTCCGAAATAGCTGCCCGGAGGCGTTGCCAAGATGGCGGCCGAGTGGCATGACTTGACTAAAGCCTAGTTCACACTACGTTCAAAGACAGCTCGCAGACAGCTCGCAGACAGGTCACCGAGCTCAGAAAAATATCTAGCCTGCTAGATATCTCGAGCAGTCGCGCGACTCAATCTCAGTGATGTCATGAGTACAGCCAATCATAGCAACGCATGGGTTGAGGACACCAGGTAAATCTTACTTTTTCTTTTTTGCATTTTTTTTCTCAGAGCAGATCGTCGAGCAAACAGTGTGCAGCACTAGTTTCTGTCTGACGTCCAATTCGCGTGTTATGTTCTTCTCTGTAGTTTCGCGTCATTTCTGGTTCGTTTTATTGCGTGGTTTTTCGTTACAAAACATGGTTTCTAGACCAGATAGAATCGTGTTGTTGTCAACTCGTTATTTGTTTGATTATTTTCAGGATTTAGACCGTATACTATAGTACTGAAACAGCTCTCATTGAGTCACAAATGATATGCTCTTATCATCCGATCGTGGTTGTATCTCTATGCAGTGCGTTGTTAACTCGTGTAGTGAGTTACCTCCTGTTGTGGATCAATCACGTTGTGTTGTGTGGTGTGAACAGCTAAACAACTTGAACACTCATGATTTCACTGAGAGCAAGTCATGTAATGTGAACTGCACAGTTCAGCCCAACATTTTAAAATCATGTAGTGTGAACTAGGCTTTAAAGGACTTTGGTTTTGGTCATGTATTTTTGGTTTGTGCTCAAAGTGCTACTTGACCTTAATCCATTATAATTCCCTGTACCTGTCTATCTTCTGTCTTTTAGTTGTTCTGCTCCATGTCTGCCACTTTTACACTCAACTTCTTTCGTTCTGGGATCAACTTCAATAAATGGGGATCATTCCAGCTCCCTGGCCTGCTCAACTTTGGAGAGTTCAAGGTGAAGAACTACAGAATGAAAACATTAAGTCCCCTTTATTATATGCATTTTTATTGTGTTGATGTAGGTTAGGTCAGTGTTTCCCAACCCTGTTCCTGGCGGCACACCAACACTGCGTGTTTTCTTTGTCTCCCTAATCAAACACACCCGATTCAACCCATCAGCTCATTAACCCACCTGATTATGAGCTGATGGGTTGAATCAGGTGTGTTTGATAAGGGAGACAAAGAAAACACGCAGTGTTGGTGTGCCGCCAGGAACAGGGTTGGGAAACACTGGGTTAGGTGATAATATGGTAGTAAGATTTAAAAGAACCAAATCCTTTCATGTCCTCTTTTACGTTTAAATAGGGGTTTAACAATATATCGTGCCACAATATATCATAATGCAAAAATGCAACAATACGTATCGTGGATAGTGACAATATGTATATAGTTCACTCAAAATCAAAATTACTGTGTGAGGAAAAAAAAATGCAAGGTTTCAGAGTTTTAGTGTCAGTACTACATTAAACTACTGTATAATGTTGATTACAATGTATAATAATGCAATGGGGGAATATTTGTGGGTCCTGATAATGTCAAATGTCAGTAAAAAATGGCTTTTTTAATATATATATAATAAATAAATAAATATATAATAAATATATAATATATATAGTCAGTGACAGAGTGCAAGCATATTCATCTACAATAATTCTGTGTTTTCACCTTCAGAATCATGAATATTGTTATTCTGGTGTCACCATTGTCCTTGGCATGGGTTACAAGCACCAAGTCCAAGCATATTCATTTACACCCACAATGTAATATCAAAGTTTTAATCAATGGTACATTTTTTGTTAACCTTTTATCATATGTCTTGAAGTATCGCCATAATATCGTATCGTGAGTTCAGTATCGTGATGTGTATCGAATCATGGCATGAGGATATCGTTACTCCCCTACGTTTAAATATTTATTTGGCCTATTACGTTCTTAACCCTTAAGAATAAAGAGTGAATTGCATTTATTGAGTCATCAGAGATTCAATTACTGTTACACTTACATATTACATACCTCGGGTCACTAGCAGCAACCCTATACACTTTTCACAAACAAATTAATTTGCAAAAAGATATTCTTATATATTTTTTTTTACTTTAAAAAGACCCAAGTTATGCATTTAAGAGTTATTTCACATTCTTACTGTGAATAATTAGTGCACAGTATTTAAAAAAAAATTGTTATAATATTTAATAAAATTGTAATGTCCTTTTCACCTGTTTAGTTTAAAAAAAGTTAGAATCCAGAATGCTATTTGATTGAGCCTAATGTTATAGGTAATGCAGCTTTTTTTAATTAAAAGATAAATAATATTTAATGCAGTAATTTTAATATTAAGTCATAAATGCTATGATGCTCTTCAGGGTAAATTTGACCTTAAGCTTGCTGATTACTTGCGAATGCAGTTTCCTGTTGACATAAAATGATCAATGAATCAATGAAAGCAAACTCAAGCAGGTTTGTAGTGTTGCCTTATTTGTTTTTCTTTGCTATCTTTAGTGCACAGATGGAGATAAGTCATGTCATTTGTGGACGGCAGTAGATTTGGCGTTTTTTGTATTAATGGGGGTGGCAGGAGGTCTGCTCGGCGCGCTGTTCAACTGCATCAACAAACGGCTGGCAAAATACCGCATGAGAAACGTTCATCCCAAAGCAAGATTCATCAGGTGCCCGAGTATTGAATGAAACTTTAGAATTGAACTAACCAGGTATGAAGAGAGTAGCGTTCTCACTTGTACATATGGCAATATTTTATGTTTCTTTTATTGGCAGGGTGTTGGAGAGTCTATTGGTGTGTATGGTGACCACACTAGTGATCTTCATGGCTTCAGTGACTCTGGGGGAGTGCCGAGATTTAGTCTCCACCATAAATAACAACACATCGACACAGGTCAGACTGAGACCAGCTTCATTTCTCTTTTATAACTTCATTATTTTTCTCTCTTATAACTCTATTTTTCTTAGCTTCTTTGGTCCCACATTATATTAAAGGCACACTATGCAAGAATTTTACCTTAATATAACAGCTTTAAAATCATTTTGGTAGGGTGATTTTGGTAGGCTCATAGTAGGGTGAATCATCCTGGTAGTAAAGCTTGGGACACACACACACACACTGCTGGAAAAAACAGCAATGCAAGTTTGAGAGGAGCGCCCCCGACAAATCTCGCGAGAATCACAACATGCTTTACGGCAATGACGTCACACACATTAACCACAACATGAAGCATGAAGACACTTGCGCGCATTTCAGACATGATACTCGATGATGGAAAAAGCAAAGAAGACGCAATTGGATGAGACTAGGAAAAGGAAAAGAGAATGAGCCTCTCTGCTCAACCCGTAAATAAATGCATCAATCTGCAAGTTTTGTTTGAGTTTTTTAATGGTCTAGTGGTAGATCTTTTGCCAAGCGTGTCAGAGTTTACAGGTTTTAAGTTTTTTCTCTCTCATCAAAACTGAAAATGTTTGTCAGTGGTTACAGTCTATATCAAGCAGGGACACACTTTTGTGCATTTTATTTTGTGATTTCACCGGAATGAATAGAGAGTCTCCACAACCGCGATAGATTGAAGAGTGCGCCCGAGTGAAGACTGCGCGCGCACCACCACAAGAGACACTATGTATACATGACACTGATAGCAGCGGACACGAGCTTTCAGCTTGAGTTCAAAAACATATTTTAGTGTTAGATATTATTTAATGCAAAAAATGCACACTATGCAAGATTTGCATCTTAATACGACAATTCACCATGACATCACAACAATAATAGACGTTCTTCCGGGTGGCAAAAGCCGAAGCGTCCCTATGGTAACACTAGTAAATTGCTTGGAGGGAGACACACCGCCGACAGTAGCCTAATCTTACATTTCAAAAGTTGATTCGAAAACAGACGTGGTGGAAATTCAGACATAGTTAACATGATCTTTAGAGCTTAGATTCTTTGATCTAGAGACGTGCACTCCCAACGCACCAGACCGCATCTGGTGGCCGAGTGCGAGCGGTAATGCATTCACTCTGTGTGTGCGGATTGCGGGAGAATAAAACGATTCGCGGGACTCCTGCAAACTAGAAATATCTTTGACAGTTAATGTACAGAGAAGTCCAGATTAAACATTTTAATGACTCGTAAATGTAAGTACACATAGATGGCCTATCCCTTTAAATGGGATGAAAGATATAGAATGTATTGAATGTTAGCTTGATGTTGTCATTTTAACAGGAAACTCTGCTTCTAACCATAGCTTGATAGCTATAGTTAGAACCACGCACGTTTGTGTTGCTGTTTGCGAATGTTTGATGGAACTGTGGTTTCGGAAAACACCGTTGTTTAGCTTTGTTGGTAATAAGTTGCAACCATAGTTGGCTAACGATGATTTTTGGGAAACACACCCCAGGTCCACACTTCAGTTTATTTTTATGAGGTTACAACTTCTAATTTCTAAAAAGCTGTCCTTTTTCGTGTGCAATATGAATCAGACTGTTGGTGAAATTATGGTTTGTGTTTTGTAGGGTTCTGTAAATGAGGAGGTGAACTCAACCATACGACGATTCTTCTGCTACAACAACACATATAATGACATGGCGACTCTGTTCTTTAACCCTCAAGAGGTGGCAATCCATCAGCTCTTCCACCAGAATGGTAAGAAACGTACATGCAGCAATGTACTGTGTTTAGGTTAGGTGTTTTTTTTTTTTTTTTTTTTTTTTTTTTGCTATTTTGAATGTACTTCCCTAATTTACCCAAAATTTGATATGTATGTCATTTACTCCACCTCAACCTATTTTAGGACTGCACATTTGCATAAATAATCTTTTGGTCAATATTACGATTACTCAATGACTTATTAAAGGGCACCTATTATGCCCCTTTTTACAAGATGTAATATTGGTCTTGGGTGTCCCCAGAATGTATTTGTGAAGTTTCAGCACAAAATAAACCATAGTTAATTTATTATAACCATTTTAAAATTTTTCATTTCATTTTAAATTTTTCAACATGTCATTTTTGGGGCCTGTTTTAAAAAGTGCTGTTTTGGTGCATACGACCTTAAGTGCAAATGAGCTGCATATCCCCGCCCTGCCTTTGGATGAGGGCGTCACTTGCATACCTATGGCAGTCGGTCTAAGCAGAATGGCTGAGAGTCAGAGCCATGGAGAGAGAGTGAGAGACCAGCTGTTTTGTATGTCATTCAGCCGTACATGTTTGAATCAGACTATATATAAATAGTCTCTGATCAGACCCAGATGACGAAGAGATTTCGGAAGAATAAACACAAATGAGAATGGACCAGTACGTCTCGGTATGGTTATTTGATACATATATGTTTATAGAGTTGTAATCGCGTCCCCTTTGCAATTATGGAGGTGCAAAACACAGACACAGACTAACGTTGGCGCAATTTTTTGAAACTACTAACACATACTGTGATAAAGTTTGCTACGTACAAGCGAAATTACATTTATGCGAGGGACCTGTTGCGTCATGTTTACTTGTCATACAGGTGCTTCTGTGGCAAATGTGTGAAGATGGCTAACTTACAGAACAACAAATATATGCAGTTTTTAAAACAATATCTTTAAAATATATATATTTATAAACGTGTTGCAACACACACTATACAAACAAGGTTTAAATTAAATACACATACATCCTACGACGACGACGACAACAACTTTAGACGCATTTGCTTTTGAATTGGAATTGCCTGACATCGACTGAAATTACTATTTGCTCAAAAATCATAAAATACACTTACTGTTACTGGAGAGGTGACGGTGGATTGCAAACCGTAGACGACGATCGACAGTTGAGGATTAACTTTGAAGCAAGACCTGCTTTCAATTGACCCTCGTCCACAAAACAGTCAAACAGAAAATGATTCGCTCAAACATAAACTTATTTACGAAGGAAAAGCGCCACTTAAACTTCTAAAATACAATACATCCACTGTGTTTTCTGTGGCTCTGATGTCGGAAATAAGTGAAAACTACTATGTATGTCATTATTACATCCCATCCCACAACAGAACACTTATGATTCTAGGAGACATTACTGGCTGTCGTTGAAACAATGGAGGATGGTGTACAGATCACCGAGGGCGGGGTCTAGGCCACAACCACACTGTCAATCAAACCCCTTGCTCAATTCTATGTCACAAAGAGCTGAATCTTAGAACAGCTCATTCTGAGACAGGTGAATATGATTTATTGAGATTGTAAAAAAAAACATTCTAGGGTGGTTTTGCTCACACACTGCTAACACACATTTATGTTCAAACACCATGTAAATGTGAATTTTGCATAATGGGTGCCCTTTAAAGGGTCACTCCACCCCTGGAAAGATGAATGTGTATTTTAAATGGGTAATTTATGTAGAAGAAATGTGAAATCATTTTTGAATTTAGAGCTTTCTAGACTGACAAAGCCAGAAAATGTATTTTTGGCTTATGCGGATGAAAGACAACAACTCCCAGAATGCACTTGCTTCGCTGCCCTAGGAGGCCACGAGACGCACCGGTCTCGTATCTCTCACGGAGGAGCGGGAATTTTCTTAGCAATGTTAAAATGCACATCAACCGATCACTTGTTTAGCGTTCATGTAAACACTATATATTCAGATTCACCAATCAGAATGAATTCAGTTAGATTTAAACACATGCTGTGCATGTAAACAATGAATGGCGACTGCAGAAAGCAAAAGCTGAATCCCGGACATCGACGGCCGGACATGTCTGGGAAAAAGAGGATGATAACCCCTACAGTTACTACGCGGCTTTCTCCACAGAACAAAAGCCTGCTAGCTTAGCTTCCAAAAAAGATAGATGACACTATGTGTAATCCCAATCCTCCATAATGCATCCCTCTGCGTATTCAGTACCTTCATCCATATTTTCAAGAAGTTTCTGCCTGTGAAATCAGACGCACTGGCACTGATCTGTGATAGATCTGTTATGCAGGGGTCTCAAACTCAAATTAACTGGGGGCCGCTGGAGATAGAGTCTGGGTCAGGCCGGGCCGCATCAAGTATCCCCCCCCCCCAAAAAAAAAAAAAATGTATTTAAGTATTCCAAAAATGGAGCACAACTGATCCAATCTTCTCAATCTTTATTATTAATGTTTCCTCTGAACTGTTCCTCTGAATTTGAACATTCCTTTCAGTTGGAGTTGGACAGTTGGAGTTAATTTTACAAACTTTCTTTGTCTTTTTCTTATACACAACATCTTTGTTGTGATGATGGTCATATTTGCTTTTTATTTTCTTTATACAACACTATTATATTGAATTTTTTACCCCCAAAAGGCACATTTCCTTTTATTATACTTAGAAAAACAATTACTGCTTTTGAAATACAAATAATTCTTTCTACACATGTATAGTGTCTCAGGCAAATTACTGACTTTGCACATATCAAAGCAAACCTTCTTATCAACCTGTTGGACCAAGTTCATTACATGAACTAGTTCAAAGTTCAATTCACAAATTTTAAAATGAACTAGTTCTTTTTTTCCATATGTTGCTGCGAGCTTCTTTTTTATTATTAAGCTATTATTATTGCCACAGCCCATATACAACCACAGATAACAATCATTTTGTCGACGGGCAGAGTTTGCACAGACATGTAAGATTTTCCCATCCTCGCCGACCTCATAAAACCCTTTTTTAAATGATCTTTCGACGCCTCCTCGCTCCTCGGTTCACAAACACTTGAATGAACGAGTTCACTGTAACGTTCATCAGGCAGTAATACAGTAGGTTACGTTCAGTTCACGTTCGCCCAAAATATGAACGAGTTTATGAACTATCGTCATTGAACGCGTTCAGACACAACACATATTACAAGCTCAAAATGATTATTCTCACATTCATTGTTTTAGAGCAGGGATATCCAACACGTCGCTCGCGAGCTATCAGTAGCTGTGGCCTGATTTGGTGGTGGTAGCTCGCCTTATGCCTGTTCACATATCACGCTCACATATTTTGCACGCTCAAGTAGGTTTCAAATAGGCGCGCATCAAGCGCCGAGCGCGCTCATAATTGAAGCGACGCGCTCATTTTTTTCCAGGCGCAGTACTTCGTGGTTGTCTATGACAACTATTGACAACAAACCTACGGTAAGCTGTCACGAGACTACATATGGTAGCCCATAAGGGATGAAAATGATAATAATAAAAAAAAAACGCGGCAAACGCAACGGCGGGCCACACTAACATTAAACTTTAATATCAAGTAGGGGGCCACAAAATATCATCCCGCGGGCCGCAAATGGCCCGCGGGCCGCGAGTTTGAGACCTAACCCCCTATGGGCGGGTTTGAAAGGGTTGGTTCTAGTGCTTGTATTCTTTGCAGAAATCTATGACGCAAAAATCGTTATTTTACGTCATTGTAGGAGGAAGTGTAAGAGGCGGGGCTCTTACACTTTCTCCTACAATGACGTAAAATGACGTTTTTTGCGTCATTGTAGGAGGAAGTGAAAAAGGTAAATAGAGGATTTCTCTCTTCTCAGGGGAAAATGAGAGAGTGTTGTACAACCATTCAATAGTATATCTGGGTTTCTAACAATGGAAAGCTTAATGCAAATGGATGGAGTGTCCCTTTAACAATCCATTACAGATCAAAAGTTTGGAATAATTCTGATTTTTTTTTTATTTTATTTTTTTTTTATGTTTTTGAAGACTCGTTTGCTCTCCAAGGATTCATTTATTTGGTAAAAAAAAAATACAGCAGAAACAGTAATATTGTGAAATATTATTAAAAAAAATATATATATATATTTTAACATATTTTCAAATGTAATTTATTCCTTTGATGCCAAGCCATTACTCCAGTCTTCAATTTAATAAAGATTTATTGATCATTATTTTAATGCCTCCTTGCTCAATAAAAGTAATTATATATTTATCTTTAATCTTATTTTCCCCAAACTTTTGAGTTTGACCACCTCCACGATGAGACTGACTGGTGGTGGAAGACTAATCCGCATATTAGAATGATTTTCTGAGTAATGATGCTGAAAATTCAAATTCAATGAATTACATTTTAAAATATATTTAAATATAAAAGTTATTTTAAATAACATGTCATAATATTACCGTTTTTGCTGTATTTTGGATCAAATAAATGCAGCCTTGGTTAGCAGAAGAGACTTACCGATCTAAAACTTTTCAATGGTAGTGAATATTTCAAATAAATTATATCAAAATAAATGAGACCAAAATAATGAACTGTTGTGCATTTCCACACCTACTAAAAACTACTAAACATTCAGCGAGGGTGAAATCACACTGCTGTTAAAAAAGTAAAAAAATAAAAATAAAAAAAAAGATTAGAGCCTTACTGTGAAACGGTTTGTGGCACAATAAAAGTTCTATCTTGTTTTCATAAATGTTATAAACCAAATTTTCATTAAAACATCCAGCCCTCACCTCTATAATATTGTGGTCTATAGAAATCAATTTGAAGTTTCCTGAGATGTATATATGACTATACTAAACTCTATTTTCTAACCCTCTCTCTGTCTTTCTTTCTCATTTGTTCTGGCTTTGTTCACAGCTACCTTCAGTCCGGTCACCCTCTCGCTGTTTTTCGTGCTGTATTTCTTTCTGAGCTGTTGGACATATGGTGTGTCCGTCCCCAGTGGTCTGTTTGTCCCGTCTCTTCTCTGCGGAGCTTCACTTGGACGCCTGGTGGCCAATGTCCTCAAAATGTAAGATTTAATTCTGTTTAGTGTCCTAAGACCTATCAAGGTCACCGTTTTGGAACAGGACACATGTATTTAACACATCTTATTCATTTTGCATAAATGTAAAATGTTGTTTTACTGTGTAATTGCAGTAACTTCCATATGCAAATCTATTCGGGGACCTTTGCCTTGATTGGAGCAGCTGCTTTCCTAGGAGGCGTGGTTAGAATGACCATCAGCCTGACAGTAATCTTAATTGAATCGACCAATGAGATCACCTACGGACTTCCCATTATGATTACACTGATGGTAGGGAAACTGAAATCTGAATTTGGTGGGTTTTTTTTTGTCTTATAGGAAATCATCATCCAGGAAATTTGTGTGATGATAAATATTATTATTTGGACCGCTTGTGTGACTTTTCAACTATCAGACATAATTAAAATTTAATATGGTAAAAATATATAATATATCACATATAATGTTTCATTCTTCTCTTCGGTGATGACTAACCATTGTTTTTGTCAGGTGGCCAAATGGACAGGAGATTTCTTTAATAAGGGCATATATGATATTCACATTCACCTGAAAGGAGTCCCGCTGCTAGAGTGGGAAACAGAAGTCGAGATGGACAAGTGAGACCTTTTATATTACACATGTCGCAGTGGCTTTTTATTATCGAGGATCACAGAGACTCCAAGAATTTGAACTTTTAAGGCACACTTAAAAATCTCATTTCATAACATTATTTGTCAAATAATCCAAGTTGTAGGAAAAATATGCTATTTTGTAATGCAATGATGTTCGTAGATGATGCGTCGAAATGCTTTTGGCGCCACTTCATTCAGTCATTCATTCATTGCACTCATTCAATGCTTAAAATCCTTCTCATTTCTTGAAATTCATGAATTCAGTCATTGCTTAAAATCTTAAGTTAGGGTGTTTTTGAGGTTATAAGGTTGATTTCATGTAAAAAAAAAAGTCTAATCTTTAAGAAAAGTGAAATCTCTTAAAAAAATGTATTCACTCGCTGCTTAAAATCCTTATCTCCTGTCTTAAAATTCATTAATTAATTCAGTTATTCATTCAAATCTTTAGTTTATCTCTTTCGTTCATTCATTCTTTGCTTAAAATCCTTGGTTGGTTCGTTCATTCATTCAAATACTACGTTTATTTTTCAAACTTTGTTTAAATCCTTAGCTGTTTCTAAAAAAATCATTTGTGAATAAATTAATGCATGCATAAATTAATATTTCCCTTCATAATTTGTCTTGTTTGTTTTTTAATTAATCCCCATCTCCCTGTTAGATTGACAGCCAGTGACATCATGGAGCCCAACCTGACGTACGTGTATCCTCACACCCGTATTCAGTCTCTGGTCAGCATCCTGAGGACCACAGTCTATCACGCCTTCCCCGTCGTCACCGAGAACAGAGATAACGAGAAGGAGTTTATGAAGGGAAATATCCTCATAAGCAACAATATCAAATTCAAGGTACATCACAACATTTGTACCAGTATTTATCTACAGTGTTTTGACCACAAGATGGTGCAAATGGTCTACTGGTTTTACATCTCGCTCAGTAACACACAAATGAGCTTTGTTTAATAGAGTTGAAGTGACTTTTTGCCTGCCAGATGATAAAATAGACTATATTGAAGGAAGGAATCATAATTAGGGATCGAATTATTACAGAGACTAGGGGGTGTTTTTTTTTTTTTTTTTAATTTTTTTTACATTAACTTTCTTAAATCATCCTTGGTATTTGCAAACCAGTAAGTGTATTTCCCGAAACAATTCATACAAACTGCACAACACAATGAATTACCTGCTAAAAAGCCTGTAACTTGCTTAAATCTTTACATATATATATATATATAATACATATATACAAATTAATTTACAGTTATTTGCGATAAGAGCAAATATTGTTAGATGCTATTAACATATAAATAGTGGCAGATACTAACAGGATGCAGTAATAACATAGTGTAAATGACTATTTATTAAAATTATTAAATTGATGCCCCAAACAAGAATGCTTAGCCATGTTGTCGATATAACCGTGTACTCAGTCAGTATTTCCTGATGTAAACTATGGCTACAGTTTTGATGACAATGATTGAAAGTGCACAAGGATGCACATTATGTAAAGCATATCAATTTCAATGGTACAAAATGTACACATTAATGAATGTGGAATATTGATTGAAAGAAATTGAACAGGTTTTTCATTAACACCTTCACTGTTGGTCTTTTAACAAATTACAGAACAATGTCATTGTGATCAGTGTTGGGGAAGTTAAGTAGGGGAAAAAAGTAGTGTAACTCGTTACTTCTTTAAAAAAGTAATCCGCAACTTTACTTAGTTACCCCATATGGAAAGTAACTTTTTACCTTTCTCGTTGCTTGACTTAGTTTGGGCTGAACACACTATCTGTTCCTAAATGTGTAGGCCTACATAAAGTTCTACTATGCTAAATGCCATATAATGCCATAAATGCATAATGCATTTATCAAAATTTGTAATTTATGAAGAAATGCCCGTTACTGGATAGGCATATGCATGGGTGGTGCTAGGGAGGGGCTAGAAATAAACACCCCAAGAAAGACCAAAGCACCCCATCAGCACCCCCCAAAAATAATTTCTGGAAGCAATTATATTCAGGCTGTATTCATGGTGAAGAAAATAATAATATTATCGACATAATAAGGGGACATTCTTATCTGCATTAAGCCAAATTAAGCGTTCTTCTTATAATGGTTTTCTATGGGAGGAAAATGCTTAACGTGTAATTAAACGCTCCGTTCATATCTGATTTTTTGTACATAATATAGCCTACTTTATTATGATTTTAGTATCATAATGATTAATAAATGCATGCACAATTATCTGTGAATTTGATAAATGTTGCAGATATGTTTTACTACACTCTAAAAAATGCTGGGTTGTTTTAACCCAACTTTGGGTCAAATATGGACTAACCCAGCCGTTGGGTTAAATTTTTACATTACATTTTTAACCCAACATTTCGGGTTTGTCCATATTTGACCCAAAATTGGGTTAAAACAACCCAGCATTTTTTAGAGTGTATGCATGTAAACAAATGCCTTTCAACTTATCAGTGCAAAATTCAGAATTAAATGAATGCGAGCAATTTGTACTAATAGAGTCTAGGCCTACTATAGTATACGTGTTGTAGCCATTAAATAAGCACATTTAGTTTCATATTTGTTATTTTTGTCATCTATGTTGATTATGAAAAATGAACAGCATGAGTAAGATGGATGAGCAATATATCAGGAGACATTGAGTGGGACCACTTCATTAAGTTTTGTTTTGAAAAGCATTTCTTTGAAGTGAATTTTGTTTTGTATAAATTTTTATCAACCAATTACAGACAATATAATCATGACATGGAGGCGCCGGCACGGTCACTTGTTTTTTTTATTTTTATTTTTTTTATTTATTTATTTAGAAAAGGGACAGTGTACATTAATAAACATTCTTAAATGTAAATGTACCCAAATTAGCCCAAAGGCTAGTTTTCATTGGTAGTCCCTTTGCCAGATGTTATTAGGCTCTTAACTAGAAAAAAAAGAGTTAAAAATTACAGCAATACAACAGTCATAAAACTAGAAGTATACAAAAAGACAATGTATATACAGACACAATTAAACCAAAAAAAGAAAAAAAGAAAGAAATTATAAATAATTTAATTAAGTGTGAAAGAATAGGTCTAATACAATTAATAATAAGGTTAGTAATAATAATAATAATAATAATAGAGGAGCAGCGTTAATGTTCACAGTGTTGGTTATGTAGAAGCCATTTCTTAAAATTAAGCTTAAAAGAGTTAAATGATGAGCACTCTCTAATTGGTTGAGGTACTTTATTCCACTGATGTGAAGCTTTGTATGAGAAAACAGCTTGACCGAACGATGTTTTCCTACGTGGAATTATACAATCCGCTCTAATTGCACCTCTTGTAATTCTGTTTTCCACAGATTTAGATTTAATAAAATCTGCCAAAGGAGGTGGAGCCAAACCATGCATAATCCTATAAACTAAACAAACATTTTTAAATTTGATAAGATTTTCCCAGTTAAACAGATTATACTTATTTAAAATGTGACAGTGATGAAAACTAAATTATTTTTTATCTAAATTTTTAGTGCTTGTTTGTATAGTGATTCTAATGGTTTTAGGACTATCAAATGTGTGTTTGACCAGCTTGTCAAACAATATGTGACATGAGAAAGAATCATAGAATGGAAATATATCTTTGCTGCCTGATTTGATAAACAATTTCTAATAAACCTAAAATTAACCAAGTTAAATTTAATCTTTGTGCAAACTTTTTTTACGTGAGTTTTAAAAGCAAGATAGGAGTCCAGATGTACCCCTAGATATTTACATTCTAAAACAACTTGTACTCTTTCTCCTGAAATAAAAATGTCCTGTATGCGGGTGTTGTTGCGGGTGAACTGGAGCGCACCTCATCATTAATTAACCGAAACTCAGCGTATGCTTCACAGGCATGATAAATATATCTATATATAGAAAGCTTGAAATGTCTTTAAACGAAAGAATTCAAAAAGTAAAGAAATAGGTTACTCTCTAATTATGTAATCCATGATGTGCATTTCTCTCTGTGAGATGGCGATCGCTGTCAAATCTGTCAAATGACGGAGATCGCTGTCAAATCTGCCCCTGGGAAAAGTAACGTTTCGCCGAATTGAAAAAGAAACTACATTTCGTTACCAGATTTTCAGTAGTAGCGCGTTACACTACTTTTTACCCGAGAAAGTAGCTGCATTACACACACCACTGATTGTGATACAAAAGATAAAGAAAAGACAACCATTTTACAGTACATCTTAGTTTATTAATTCATCATTACTTATATACTGACAAGCATTTATGGTAAAATGAGATTTTTTATTTAATCAGTTTAAAGTTACAGGGACCGTGCACATTAATAAACGCTTACGTAAATGTGCCAGTTTAGCCAACTTGGCTAATTTTACACTTATACACTTGATACACTTATTTTACACAAAACAAACTAATAGTAGTTTATAATAAGTAGTTTAATAGTAATAGTAAAATGTAATATGACTAACTAATATGTAGTTTAATAGTAATAGCAAAACAAACTACACAAAACAAACTAATAGTAGTGTGTGGAAAGATGAACAGATTATGACTGGTTAAATTTAGAATTTAATGGCTATTTTAAAGTCTATGCATCAGAGAACCAGTGTTTGATCAACGATGAAAACGACTGAGAAAACTCTGCTTTGACTCAGAGCACGACTTCATTATGAAACTAATCAATGTTATTGTATACTATTCATTACTATTGTTATTACTAGAAACTGGATAATATTCTGATTGTTGATGAATTAATGAATTAATATATTTGAACGTTATCCACTTCTAAAATATGTATCCACTCAAAATCCAACTTAAATTCGATGGGTAGATCAAGTCATACAATATAAAAAATAATAGATTAACATCATTTTTAAAGTTGTTTTAAAACAAAAAAAGTTGTGTAAAAATGTATTAGCAATAAGCATATGTAGAAATTAACATTAACCAAAATTAATAAATGCTGTATTGTTAATTTATGATTACGAATTAATTGTAAAAGCCTGTTTACTCTTGTTGTTTCTGCTCCTTCAGAAAAACAGTGTGTTGACGCGTGCGGGGGAGCAGAGACGGAGGTGTCAGTCGATGAAATCGTACCCTTCGAGTGAGCTACGCAATGTGTGTGATGAGCAGGTTGTTGTGGAGCCGGCGGAGGAAGGGCATGACATGCTTCAGCAGATGCTTGAGAGGAGGTCAGTTGGATGAACTATGACCTTTTACCTCCAGAATTATTATCGCCCTGTTCCAAGTGAAAAGCATATTATTATGAGAACGTTGAACATTGAGACAAGATGAATTCATATAACAGTACTTTGCATGCATATATTGTTAACACTTCAGTCCTCTCTTTTACACTTGGATTTTAACATTTTTTTTGTTGCTCATGTTCTTTTAAATCCTCTATCATATGTCAAAGGGATCATATGTTAAAGGGTCAGTTCACTTTGAAATTAATTTTTGCTATGTTTTAGCTTACCTCAAGGGCATCCAAGATGTAGTTGTCTTTGTTTCTGCAGTAGTTTCAATTTTGATATTTTTAGGTCAAACCGTTCTTGTCTGTCAGTCATATAAAGCAGGTCTATGGTCACCACCTCAAAGAGCATGCACAGAGAAGTCCAAATTAAACATGATTTAATGACTCGTAAATGTAAGTACACATGGATGGCCTAAGACACGAAACGAGCGGTTTGTGTGAGAAAACGAACAGTATTTATAACGGCTGTGGTTACAAGAGATAAAAACTATATAAATACTGTCCGCTTTATCACACAAACCGCTCGACTGTTCGTTTTCTCACACAAACCGCTCGTTTCGTGTCTTAGGCCGTCAATGTGTACTTACGTTTACGAGTCATGTTAAATTTGGACTTTGTGCTCTGTGCATGCTCTTTGAGGTGGTGACCATAGACCTCCATTATATGACTGACAGACAAGAACGGTTTGACCTAAAAATATCAAAATTGAAACTACTGCGGAAACAAAGACACCTACATCTTGGATGCCCTTGAGGTAAGCTAAAACATACCAAAAATTAATTTCAAAGTGAACTTTGGAAAATGCTGAACCTTTAATACGCTGCTATTTTTTATTGAATGTTTTGCTGTTTATTTTTAATTAATGATGTTGGTCTTCTGGGGAGGAGCTGTGACAGTATTGCGCCTTTTATTTAAAAAGAGCCAAGGCAATCTATTTTTCCACATGAGCCCTTTACATGAGACCGCTGTGTGTTGTTGATGTTGGCAGGCATGTGCCGTACCCAAACCTTTACCCGGACCAGTCTCCCAGTGAGGAGTGGACCATGGAGGAGAGGTTCCGCCCGCTCACCTTTCACGGGCTCATCCTGCGTTCACAGCTCGTCAACTTGCTGATCCGCGGGGTCTGCTATGCTGAAAACCAGTCGGTCAGTGTCATTCAAACGCTTCCTCCCGTTTCCCTTCTCCTTGATTCTTCTCTCTTCCTGTCTCTTGCCTTCATTTCCCAACTCGATTTTCTGCATATTACTCTCATCATTCTTTGAGACGGTCAAATCATCCCTGTAGTCCCCTTATGTGCATGCCTTATAATTACTTGAAAGTGCACATTAAAATTAAATTTAAATTTATGGTGTTTATTAATAATTGTTCTTGTTTTTTTAATAATATTTTATTAAAACTTTATAGCTTTCTCCACCATTTGGCTAATCAAGGCAGGATAATCAGGGAAAAATATTATTATTAACCACTCTCATTAAAGAGTGGTTAATAATATCTTTTTCTTAGTGTGTAATGTTGCTGTTTGAGCATTAAAAAGGTATGCAAAGTTAGAAAGCACAAATCCAATCCAAAGGGAGTTATTCTCTATATCAGTAAGCACAGTTTCCTAACTCTCTTAAATGTCTCCATGGTAGGTAGCCTTGAGGTTTCTTCTGGGAACAAAAACATCACAATATTCCTCATTTAAAGGGGTCCTGTAATGCTCTTTTACAATGTTTTATGATGCTGTTTTGGTGTGTACTTGCATATGCTTTCATTCTTGGTTGTTCAAAAAGCACATTATTTTTCACATATTTTACATTCGTTTAGCTCCTCTCTCCCTAGCTCGAACGTGCCGTATATTTCCGGTTTCGATGAAGCGCCTCCTTCCTAAATAGGAAATGTGCAGTTATTAGTTGGCCAAGTGTGTTGTGATTGGGGTTAACAGTGTTTAAAATGTATCCAGTCAGCTTTAGGAAACGGGGTGGAAAAAACAGCATCTCTTTGACATAGCGACAGCACTGTCTTCAATAATGCAGCTCATCCAGGCCTCGTCCACCCTTTTTTTTTTTTTTTTGCGTATTCAGTGGGCCGAGATTATTTAAACATTTGACTTAAAGCTCTGAAAAAAATGCATTGTCTTTTATGCTCAACAGCAACATTACAGATTAACTAAAGTTGGAAAAAGATAAAAAGCATAATAGGACCCTGTAAATCGGTCATGAACTGGCTTTTAAATTTTATTATATTGTTGTCTGAGGTCAACTTATGACATTCGCTTGGTTTTTGCATTCAGAATCATCAAAATTAATAAGTAATAGGCTTTTTTCTACCCTAGTTTCGAAAATAAATCCTTAAATCTCAAAAATGCTCAGTTTTTATGGGCGTGTCGCACTGAAGACTTGGAAGTAAACGCCCACTGCTGTGAGTGGATAACAGTTTTGCATATTATAATGAGTAGGGTTGGGAACCGAGAACCGGTTCTTTTCCAGAACCGGTTGTGTTTTTGAAAAAATACCGGAACCGTTCAAAATTCCTAAGTTTCGGTTCCGAAAACGGTTCTGATGCCGATGCGATATCATCATGTGGGCGAAGTGCTGGGAGTAGAAGACGCCGTCTTATTCCTAAATGACAAAAACTTCACCACTGAAGTTGCGATTTGCTCTCACACGCGCTGCATTTGTCACACACAGACACACGCACGCTGCGCGCGCCGACCGCCGAGTCACTATTCAAATCTGTTTGCGCTGAGAGAGAGAGAGAGCAGTTGTCGATATGAAACTGCTTTACAATCACACAGTCTCAATATTTATTTGTTTCACATATTCAAATGATTTCCGTTACAGAGTTAGTGAGATTATAGTTTGAATAAACATTGACGGTAGTGGTCAAAACAGATGCAGTCCGTATATTTTTTGTGTTCAGAATTTACAAAATATATACAATGAGCGAGTGCATCATAATGTTTTTTTTTCAAACCGTGTTTTTGTCTTATCTTGAATCACTACGTAAAGCCTGTAATAAGCGTTAATACTCGGACTTCTTTAGACTGGCCGGCGGATCGCAGCTGCTGCGGAGTAGCCCAATGCCTGCGTGACTCGTCATGGACATAAACAGAGAGAAGTAGCTCCGGCAACAATGTTCTTCCGCAAGACGCATGCAGTTCTGTTTATTAAAGGCACACTATGCACTCTCTGTTTTTTTTTGTAAAACAGTGACCTCTAGAGCCGCTGTGGTGTACTTGCACTGTCGTAAATAACCGTTATTCCCCTGTTACTGCATGTACTGTCAAGTGCTAGACTGCTTTTTAATAATTAAGTTGCCTATCGCGTTTGCTGGCTTATAGCGTTTTTACATGATTTCTGCAAAATCAGAAGTAAATAGCCTATAGTGTATAGGCTACTGTATAATTTCATTCATGTTTTTTGATTGTAATGTTAAAATTACAAAATGTCAGATGACATCAATCAAATGTACGTCGCATTATTTCATAACATTGGACGTTATGATTTAGACATGATTACAATTTATCATAATAGCAAATTGTGTTCAATTATTTACAACCTCTAGGCTTATATATGTCCTAATAATTATGTGAGATATTGACTATGTCCTCATGGTAATCGCAAGAATCAACATCAACAGCGTCAAGATTTGATTGATTCATAATCAACACAACTTGAAGTTACAGTCGGGAAGTGTACTGTTAGTCAGATAAACTTGATATAACAGTAACTTACACACGTCATAAGAAATCCGAACCAGACACAGGACTAAAGATACGTGATAAATACACATCACAACACCTGAGTTCAGCTGGCAAACTAGCTCTTGTGGCAAGCTCGGCAATAAAACATAACGGAAAAAACAACAAGACTAAGAGAAACGACTGTTTTTAGGAAGTCTGCTTAAAGCTCTGGTAATCGAAAGCTATAGACATGTGAGAATTATTGAACTGGTCTTATTATCAACAACGGATGAATGAACAGCACCGTAAAAAATTACATACCACAAGCCAGTGCAGCAACATACAATATAGAAACAACTAGTATAAAAATACAAACAAGTTTATAAATAAGAGATTTACTTACAAGTCCATCAACAAGATCGCCAGGTCAGCATCGCAGTTACAATCCAGTGCAGCTTTTAAGCTCGCGCCAACGAGTGAAAGCCCGACCGAGTGGACTCTTGTCCGGTTTCTAGCACGGTCCGATTCTCGTTTCGAAAGTAGCTTCATACAGTATGATGTTGTTGATGCGTGTGACGTCGTTGCCGTAAACCATTTCGTGATTCTCACGCGCTGTGTCAGGGGCGCCACTCTCAAACTTGCATGGCTGGTTTTTCCGGCGGCGTCCCCCCCAAGCTTTCCTACCAGGATGATTCGCCCTACTATGACTTTGTTAACCACCAAAACGACTTTGAAGCTGTTATATTAAGGTACAGATCTTGCATAGAGTGCCTTTAACTGCTAGAGCGCCGATTTATCCAGTAATGAAATAAGTAAAGTCTTTATGAATCAATCATTCAAACCGTTTTAAAAAATAATCTGTTCTACACACATATGCGTGTTAAAGCATATACTATTCCTTCTGAGAGGGTATTCTTCACTGTTGGAGATACAATAAAGGAGAGGTCTAAATTATTATAGAGAATGCAGATTTTTTTAATTTCCTTTATATATAATTTTTTTTTTTTTTTGCAAAGATTGCTTAATAATATTTTGAGTTTGTTTACATTACCAGTCTGTTAAACTAATTTGTCTAAGAAATAAACATAAAAATGATTGTGGATTTTTCTCTTACTAATATTTTTAATTGAATGGGAACCGGAACCGGAACCGGAATCGTTTGGCGGAACCGGAATCGGAACCGGAACCGGAAAATTTCTCACGATTCCCAACCCTAATAATGAGTTTCAACTCACTCGTCGGTTCCGGTCACGTGGGGGAAATTGTTTTGAAAACGTCCAATGTTAACCGGAATGATTCGCCCATACATGTTCGACCCAGAGTTCGTGTGTTGCACCATTCCTGTCAGATCCAATATAGACGGCACAGCACCGTTCTTTACTCTTAATCGGTCTGCAAATCCAGTCTTGTTTACAAAACAATCCTCAGTGAAATGAAGCGAACAGACGGACAATGTTTTACCCCATCAGCTGGAACGTCATTAAAAATAAAGTTTATCCATGCAGTCCTATTTGAATCCAGAGGAAGTATATGCTGCGACTGTCTTCCACAACCAGGCACTGCACAATATTCTGTATTGCTCGCTCGGTAGCTTGATCCGGTTTATCATCATAAGGTAGCTAATGTTCTTTAGCTATATGTGTAATGCGCGAATCGGTGGGCGGGGCTAAGCTGGCCGTGTTGAAGTAGGCGTTGATCTTCTTCTGCAGGGGTGGTGTTTTATCCTCTTTGACGTCATAGTTCCCCACTTTGAAAAACGATTTGTTTGCTGAGGCTGGTGTCTAACAAGGACGTTTTCAGTTCTGAAACTTACAGGATATTCTTATAATATGATGACGTCGTAGATGTCAAAAGCTCAAGGAAAATTTGATTTCTCAGTTCATCACCCCTTTAAATAATTTATGCACAAGGCATATGTAAAATAAAGGGGCGAGGCCGAGTTGAGTTGTGATAGTAATGTGTTGGAACTCAGTTATGGTAAGGGGCATGACCTTTCCCAAACAATCTGAAAGTGGTTGACCAATCACAACACACTGCCAACCAACTAACCAGGGCACATTGCCCTATTTGGAAGGAGGGGCGTTCATAGAGACCCGAACTATACAATTACTGACAGACTGGGAAGAGAGGCGCTGCAACAATGTAAATGTTTTTTGAATGTTCAAGCATGAAAACGTGTTCTAATAGTAAAATAGTTTTTAAAAACTTAGCGGTACATGTAGATATTATGTCAATAAAATAAAAAAGGCCACTTAAGTGTCCTTAAAGAGAATGCTCTTTCATGACTTTCACACAATTCATTTTCTGAACTTCACTTTGATATTATGTCAAATAAAAAGTTTAAGTACATTTTAAATCATTGTACTTTTGTTATGCACATGTAAAGTAGTTATGATTTTATTCATTAGTACATTTAATATATTAGTACATTTAAATATTACAAATGTGTAACTAAATAATTTAAATGCATGACATTTATTTTTCAATAGAAATGACATTAGTGTTTTTTTATTTGACCAGAATTGCTTGCCAATACACTATAACCATATATTTAATGATGAATTAAGAAATGAGGATTAATGAAGTACTTTAGTTCTACTTGTCAAAAAACTAATTGCATTTAATAAAAATATTAACTATAATATATTTTAATTTAATTCCAATTAACCAATAAGGAAACATTACATTCAGTTCACACTTGAGTATATTTTTGAAGTATGTTATTTTCATACTAAGGTTTCTAAAATGTTTATAACTCCCTTTAGTGGAATTAGCAGCAAACAAAGTTAGGAACTTTGATACTTTTTGCCTTTGCCCTTGTTTAACTTGTACAGTATCTGGTTGATTCGTATAGTGCTATGATCATGTCAACCAACCTATCTCTCTCTCTCTCTTCCTCCACTCTGTAGAGCGCCTCACAGCCACGGCTCTCTCATTCAGAGATGACTGAGGACTACCCACGATTCCCTGACATCCACGATCTCGACCTGGCCCTTCTCAATCCACGCATGATTGTGGCAAGTCCTCTGACCTATAAAACTCATCAGGGAATGCTGTGACTCACAGCAGTCCATAAACTGCTGTATATCAGTTATACATAATCTGTGCATAATGACTATTAATTGGTGTTAATTGGAAACGTTGAAGAGCTCTTGTTGTAAAGTGAGCCATGCAATGCAGTTTGTTCAGTGGTCTCTCTCAGACATAATTAGCCTAATTTGGTTTTTCTTTGTTCTTTTTTTTGCAGGATGTGACTCCTTACATGAACCCCTGTCCGAATACAGTCTCTCCAAATACACGCGTCTCCCAAGTATTCAATCTGTTCAGGACCATGGGGCTTCGACACTTACCTGTAGTGAATGCCGTGGGAGAGGTACGTCTTAGACTGAGGGGGACGTTTGCACTACACTGTTTTCAACTAAAATTCTTTATGCATTTTGACCGTTCATTTACAAACCCAATTCCATAAAAGTTGGGACACTGTACAAATTGTGAATAAAAACAGAATGCAATGATGTGGAAGTTTCAAATTTCAATATTATATTTAGAATACAACATAGATGACATATCAAATGTTTAAACTGAGAAAATGCATAATTTTAAGGGAAAAATAAGTTGATTTTAAATTTCATGGCATCAACACATCTCAAAAAAGTTGGGACAAGGCCATTTTTACCACTGTGTGGCATCCCCTCTTCTTTTAATAACAGTCTGCAAACGTCTGGGGACTGAGGAGACAAGTTGCTCAAGTTTAGGAATAGGAATGTTGTCCTATTCTTGTCTAATAAAGGCTTCTAGCTGCTCAACTGTCTTAGGTCTTCTTTGTTGCATCTTCCTCTTTATGATGCGCCAAATGTTTTCTATGGGTGAAAGATCTGGACTGCAGGCTGGCCATTTCAGTACCCGGATCCTTCTTCTACGCAGCCATGATGTTGTAATTGATGCAGTATGTGGTTTGGCATTGTCTTGTTGGAAAATACAAGGTCTTCCCTGAAAGAGACGATGTCTGGATGGGAGCATATGTTGTTCTAGAACTTGGATATACCTTTCAGCATTGATGGTGCCTTTCCAGATGTGTAAGCTGCCCATGCCACACGCACTCATGCAACCCCATACCATCAGAGATGCAGGCTTCTGAACTGAGCGCTGATAACAACTTGGGTTGTCCTTGTCCTCTTTAGTCCGGATGACATGGCGTCCCAGTTTTCCAAAAAGAACTTCAAATTTTGATTCGTCTGACCACAGAACAGTTTTCCACTTTGCTAGAGTCCACTTTAAATGAGCCTTGGCCCAGAGAAAACGCCTGCGCTTCTGGTTCCCGTTTAGATATGGCTTCTTTTTTGACCTCTAGAGCTTTAGCCGGCAACGGTGAATGGCACGGTGGATTGTGTTCACTGACAATGTTTTCTGGAAGTATTCTTGAGCCCAAGTTGCGATTTCCATTACAGTAGCATTCCTGTGTGTGATGCAGTGCCATCTAAGGGCCCGAAGATCACGGGCATTCAGTATGGTTTTCCAGACCTTGACCCTTACGCACAGAGATTGTTCCAGATTCTCTGAATCTTTGGATGATATTATGCACTGTTGATGATGATAACTTCAAACTCTTTGCAATTTTTCTCTGAGAAACTCCTTTCTGATATTGCTCCACTATTTTTTGCCTCAGCATTGGGGGAATTGGTGATCCTCTGCCCATCTTGACTTCTGAGAGACACTGCCACTCTGAGAGGCTCTTTTTATACCCAATCATGTTGCCAATTGACCTAATAAGTTGCAAATTGGTCCTCCAGTTGTTCCTTATATGTACATTTAACTTTTCAGGCCTCTTATTGCTACCTGTCCCAACTTTTTTGGAATTTGTAGCTCTCATGAAATCCAAAAGGAGCCAATATTTGGCATGGCAATTCAAAATGTCTCACTTTCAACATTTGATATGTCATCTATGTTGTATTCTAAATATAATATTGAAATTTGAAACTTCCACATCATTGCATTCTGTTTTTATTCACAATTTGTACAGTGTCCCAACTTTTATGGAATTGGGTTTGTACACAACAATGGAGTTTTGGGGGCCTGAATATGCAAACTTTTAAAAACTTTTGAAAACGGTGACGTCATGCGCATGTGTACTGTGTGTTCCGTCTATAACGTAGAAGTGACTTCGGCAACTACTGGCCTGTAATGCGTAATGCAGCGTTTTTAGTCCTTTTCGCGGACCCGTGTGAAAGGGGATCGTTTTCAGAAAGGCAAAAGAAAAACGTTCCCGTTTTTAGTTGTTGTGTAAACACCTTTAATAAGCACACACATCTAAACACGATGGAAACAAAGTGGCAAATAAATATAGAAGAAACCTTCTGTGTCTTCATTCATTTTTAATTTGAAAGGGGTCATATGATGCGATTTCTTGTTTTCCTTTTTCTTTAGTGTGTTATGTAGCTGTTTGGGCATGTATAAGATCTGCAGAGTTACAAAGCTCAAAGTCTCAAACCTAAAGAGATATTCTTTGTAAAAGTTAGGGTCAGTATGTGTGGGCAGAGTTTCATAATACCGGCCAAATGTATACGCAAAGAATGAAGGCGTAACTTGTATTCTCACTGTACTATTGTTGCCGCCATGTCGTGGAGACGCTTTTTGTTGCGAAAGCCGAACTACTTAGTCTGGCCTTCCAAAAGAGGACACAATTAGGAAACAGTGGTTAAGCTTTATTTACAACACAGAACAGTACAACTGAAAACATTCGACTGTTTCCAGAACCTGGCTGGCTGTGCACAAAGGCTGATTTTGAAATTGGTGCAATCCTATCTTTGCATTCTGGCACTTCTGGCACTTCTGACTCACAGACACAGTAGCAAATTCTTAAAATATGAAAACATACTTACAGGCTGACTATAGAGGGAATGCAGCCTGCCTCAGCCTGACTGAGTGGCAAAAGATCTGCTGCGTGACTGGATTTAACAGGGGAAACTGTGAAAATGCGACTAAAACGAACAATTTTATCAATTTAAAACGTTGGACTCAATATAGTGTTCCTTACAACTTACTAAAGATCCAGTGATCCATGGATATTGACATGCAGCCAGGAATCGTGTTGCATGACATTTAATGTTTGCCTGATTTCGACACCGGGGAAATAAAAGCGAAATAGACCTAAACATAAAGCACATTTGCCTGTGAACGCAGAGCCGGCCCGAGCCTTTTGGGGGCCCTAAGCAGAATTTGATTTGGGGGCCCCTCCACGACGCGGAGTCACCTGTGTTTGACGATTATTGACACAAATGTCACGCAATAATGATGCATTGTAAATGAATACACATAGGTTATGGATTAGGCTACAACAAAATTAATACTTAATAAAAAAAAAATAGATGCCTACTTAAATAAAAAAAAAGTTTTAACAGTCTTAAAACAGATAAAAGAAATTATTTGCTAAAATTATGACAAAACTGAGAAACAAAAGAGCTATTGTTGAAAACCAAAAAATATTTGGCCTACTATTTCTCATCTGTCTCAATACAGTGTAACTGTCCTCAAAAGCTTTATTATTATTATTATCGTAACAGGCTTTGTTAGATATTACATGACATAATCCAACAAAGTCTGTTACTATAATACCTGTAATGATGTTCTGGCGCTCGTTGTATGTGTGTATGCAATGTATTTTTCCCCTCGGGGCTTGCCGTAGATGGGTAGTGCGCAGACTGCGCACTTGGTAGGTGTGGGTATAATGTGTGGTATAATATAGTGGAGAAGAGTTCAAACTGCTGTGTTTATTATTTATTCAAAATGCTACCCTTACACCTTGAAGGTTAAGTTCCCCTGCGGGCTGTTTTCTCCAATACCGATACCGTGACTAGACGCAGTTGCGCACAAATTGTTATGCACGCGCGAGGTGTCTAGAGGATTATGCGCATGACTTAAACGCTGGCAGACACAGCAGCAGTTGTAACTTGTAGGCAGGTATATTGATCATTAACCCTTATGCTGCATTAGGGACATTTTTGGTCTTTTGCAGTTTAATTTCTTTGACCATTTTGGCTGTTTTAATGCAAATGGTATGAAATTTTCGGCAAAATTGTGACTTTTTGGATACATGTAAAAAATGTGATCCCATTTTGCAAAATATGTATAACACACACTGTGTAGATCAAATAGTAACACTCAGCACCATAAAGACCAAAAATGGCCCATTGAAACCCATTAAAACGTTGTTTAAATCTGAGGCTGTCAGTAATACATGAAACATGATTTTTGCACAAACATCCTTTCATTTTAAAGCAAAAGCATTATATTTGCATTATATAGTGTATTCCACCAGATGACGTCACTACATATTTATTCCCTATGGGTGGAAATGCACCTTATTTTAGGCAATAGGCAATGTTTAATAGGTGGCCATTTTTGGTCTCTAACGCGCTAAGTGGGATTTTTTTGCAAAGTGGGACTGTGATAATCCAAATCTAAAGTTTTCTCTTTGCATTTAGTTTATTGAAAATAATTGAATTTTTGTGTTTTTTCCTCTTATACAAATCGATGGTTTCGCAAACAAAACTGGTAATTAAAGGGTTAAAATCCTGAAATTGAATACATTTTTGGTAGTTATAATGAGGACTGATGCTGGTTAAAAGATTTAACTTGGTAAAAGTGGAAAATAATAATAAAAGATAATATTTTAGGCAATGTTTAATATGTGGCCATTTTTGGTCCTTAATGCACTCAACGGTGTTAAAAATCTAATGCAGCACAAGGGTTAAATCAGAGTTTTGTTGTCTTGAATGATTCATTCAGTCATATTCATTCATTCATTGATTTATGTCACTTGTTTAAGTAATCTAAAAAAAATAAAAATAAAAAAATAACCCCGATTAGGGGACCCCCTGGTGGTAAATCCGGGTGAAAATCAGTGTTAAATATATATACATCATCATATCGTCCAGCCCTAAAACTTTATAGTTTTTTTTTTTTTTTTTTTTTTTTGGTTAGTGTTTAGTAAAAAAAAACATCCAATAATGCAGAATATGCAATGATAAATATTTAATTGATGAGTTGTTAATATACAGTATATAACAATACAAATATATATGGGTATGGTTTTACACCTAAATTCAGCATATTGACACAAAATGATAACTGCAAATCCACCTTTCGCTGACTGGAGTCCAGTTGTTTCTGTGAATTGCAGCGATCCATTTGCTCCTCTTTCTATAGCAGTCTGTAAAAATATACCTCAGTTTTTTTGTCAAATCTAGCTGTACAGTCAGTCGCAAAGCTCTTTCCCACTTTATATGTGTTGTGTTTGTTTTTCGCAGCATTCATGCTGAAAACATATACAGCCGCTCAGTCTTTTTGCCACTCACTGTGAGTAACTGCAGGCACTCCGGCCGATGGTGACGTCACGCGCATACCCTCTATTCAAACATTCAAACGTTTTTATGTTTACATGGTGTTCCCCCAACCCCATAACTTTAAAAGACAGTATACTGTAAGTCATTATAATCAGTAATTATCCCCCCAATGAAATTCCCCCTTACCAATCTGATAAGTTCTGGTCCAGTCGCGCTGGCAAACTTGATCAATCAGGTTGGTCATCTGCATCAGATTCGGGCTCGAAACTGATAAGGTAGTACCGACATTATCACCTGTCATTATTGCTTTGGTAGCTGATGTTCCAAATATGGTAAGGGGCGTGACATTTCCATCACACGCTCCAGGTTTTCAGGCCAATCACAATGCACTGAATTGTTGGCCAATCAGAGCAAACTGCGCTTTTCAGAAAGATGAGCTATGTAAAAATCAACGCATTTCAGAAAGGTGGAGCAAAGAGGAGCAGGTATGTGTAAAATAGTGACTTTTTGGAACCTAAAACCTCAGAAACACATTAAATAATCATATGACCCCTTTAAAGGAATAATTCAGCTAAAAAAAAAATAATTCTATCATCACTTATTGGTCTTTATGGTGTTGTGTGGAACACAAGAAGAGAAATTTTATACAATGTTCACGCTGCTTTTTTTCCCATTCAGTGAAAATATATAGTGACATGGGGCTGTAAAGCTCCAAAATGAACAAAAAAAAAAAGCAAAACATAAAACAAACCATATTATTGAGGGTGAGTATATGACAATAGAGTTTACATTTTTTTGGATAAACCTTTTCTCTTTTTTTTCTCAGAATATATTTTCTTGGATGAAGCTTAGTGAACTGTAAAAAATGGTTTCATACATTTGTGTTTTGCTGTTTGTTTCTCTTGCAGATTGTGGGAATAATCACCAGACATAATCTCACCCATGAGTTTTTAGTTGCTAAACTTCGACAGCATTACATCACAATCTAAGACTCCTCTGGCGCCGTCTGCGATCCATCGAGTTGGGGCTCGCTTTGGACGAGACGAGATGAGCCGAACGCTCCAGGGACCTGAGACCAGATCGCCTCCGCACCTGAACCTCTGCTTCAGGTCGACCCTTAAGCCATTCCTAGAGTTCGGTATCTGACCCGTCCAGGCACAAACACACACAAACACGCACTAATGCAGGTGAGATACCATTAATCAACACATTTCAGGACAGCATCCTGATTTCCTCATACTGACCATGTTCTCTGCCCTTGCTTTACCAAGCTCACTGTAGCACTTTTAATTTAGTCTCTAAGTTGTGAATGTTTTAAATTGTGCTGACCATTTCTGTGTATTGATGAATGTTTGCTTTTGCACAAAGAGTGAGATAAACCACTGACCACAGTCCCTGGTCGAAATCTTTTTACTTAAAGGGTAAATATTATGAAACCAAGAACATGTCTGTGTCATTATTCACCCCAGAATCAAAAGATATATTTGTGTGTGTATAAAGATTTTTTTTTTTTTTTTTTTTTTTAGCATTATGGCATTATGATAATGAAGCACATTTCCCCCAAAGTAATATTTCAATTCTATTGCCATCATTTATTCTGATTTCGATAAATTATTGTATTAGAATAATACAGATATTTGTTTTAAAATTCAATGTATTTGTTGATTAATGAAAAGGGAGTCATCAAAATATAAATAATTAGAATTGCTTAAAATTCATAAATGGTACATTGTTAAACGCATTGTTAAATAAGGCTTAATTTACTCTAACTTTTTTTTTTTTTTTTTTTTTTTTGATTTGGGGTGCAATTTGGCATTTTCATGAAACCGTTTATAACAAGTGGAAAATTGTAATTGTGGCATTAGCAATATTTTTACTGTTATTAGTGCATCTTTAAATAGTCATTATGCCCATTCCATTGACATTTCCTGACATTCTTGATGCTTTTTTGTCAGGGAAGAAAGTTCTCAGGGTGTGTTTGTATTAATGAACCAATCAAACCACCATCAAGGCACTAAATTACAGGGATTTATGTATTTATGTAATATTCTTGTTTTTTGTAATCTGACATCCACTGTAATGTACAGTCATGATATCAGTATCATAATGCGACTGGTTTGATTTCAAGGGACTTATAAGAGCAGACTAAATAGTATTAGAAGAAATGATGGCACATTTGTATACTACACATTCCTTCTTTTTTTTTTCTTTGATTTATTTAAGATGAATTCTCTGAGGAGATTTTGTCACATACAGTTTATGCTGCAAATTATGCTTTAAAATGTAATTTATCTATTGCAGTTTTTTTATTGTGATGTGAAACCATCACAGTTTTATTTGATGCGTCTTTTCAGAAGTATGTTTTATAACCATACAGATTATTTGTTGATTTAAATATGTGCTGCAGGACTGAACACCATCCGTCTGTTATAAGAGCTTCATAAAGTGACATGCAAATGTTATGTGAAAATCATCTGCAATCTCAATGCTCCATTCTAGTGTCATGTATTCTATCATTATGTTTTTTCAGGTGAATGATACAATGCAGTATATTCAAAATAAAATTCCAGTGTAAGCTTGCTTGGTAGAATGGGTTCTGGTCGGAATTTCTTCAGCATTCCTAATAGGATTTTTTTAAACTGTTCTTTTTGCATAAAATGTTTAAAGGAGTATTTCACTTTAAAAAAAAAAAAAAAAAAAAAACTTTTGCTGATAATTTACTCACCCCCATGTCATCCAAGATGTCCATGTCTTTCTTTCGTCAGTCGAAAAGAGATTAAGGTTTTTGATGAAAACATTCCAGGATTTTCTGCATATAATGGACTTCAATGGGAACCAAACGGTTCAAGGTCTAAATGAGAGTTTCAGTGCAGCTTCAAAGGGCTTTAAATGACAATATGCTAATGTGCCAAAGACTTTTGCACAGTACTTTTAAATTGTAGTGTATTTGTATTTGCCGTTCTAGATGTAATCCATATACACGCATGTGTATTACTTTTATGACACTAAGGGGCTTAGAGTGTGCCAAGAAAATATCCCCCACACTACCCAGCCTGCACAGTGTTAACAAGGCATGATGGATCCATGTCCTCATTCTGTTTACTCCAAATTCTGACTCTACCATCTGAATGTCTCAACAGAAATCGAGACTCATCAGACCAGGCAACATTTTTCCAGAGTTTAACTGTCCAATTTTGGTGAGCTCTTGCAAATTGTAGCCTCTTTTTCCTATTTGTAGTGGAGATGAGTGGTATCCGGTGGGGTCTTCTGCTGTTGTAGCCCATCCGCCTCAAGGTTGTGCGTGTTGTGGCTTCACAAATGCTTTGCTGCATACCTCGGTTGTAACGAGTGGTTATTTCAGTCAAAGTTGCTCTTCTATCAGCTTGAATCAGTCGGCCCATTTTCCTCTGACCTCTAGCATCAACAAGGAATTTTCGCCCACAGGACTGCCGCACACTGGATGTTTTTCACTTTTCACACCATTCTTTGTAAACCCTAGAAATGGTTGTGCTTGAAAATCCCAGTAACTGAGCAGACTGTGAAATACTCAGAGCGACCCGTCTGGCACCAACAACCATGCCATGCTCAAAATTATTTAAATCACCTTTCTTTCCCATTCTGACATGTTCAGGAGATTGTCTTGACCAGGACCATACCCCTAAATGCATTGAAGCAACCGCCATGTGATTGGTTGATTAGGTAATTGCATTGAGAAATTGAACAGGTGTTCCTAATAATCCTTTAGGTGAGTGTGTGTGTGTGTATATATATATATATATATATATATATATATATATATATCCATCCAATTGATTACTTAAGGAAATTATTTGGTTAAATTAATAATACTATGAAAGTGATATTGAGGAGTGAAACTTAATTGTGATGTAGCAATCACATGATTTCCATCTATGTAAATTGTGATTTTTATGTACTATCCAGCATTAAGACATGTATGATGAGTACATGAAAAGGCACATTATAGCAGGGATGAGCAGTTTTAAATGAAAAAAGAGTCCCTGCACCTGGTTTTCAGTCAGTCATATTTACAGTCCAGTTCAGTGGCGGATTCATTAAGTTCTTCACGGCGTTTAACTGTGTGGAGTTAAACACACTCTGACACATGCATCAAACCTCCTAATATAGGCTGATGTGTCGGACATGGACTATTTCAGCACAGATATGATTTCCACCAAGGAAACAAGGCTCATAAAATGTTGAGAGCTAATTGTGGCTTTCCTCAATGGCAAATTAGGACGTTGTCATTTTGTTTTTATTCCAGTTCACATCTGTGATTTTGTGCAGAGAATAAATTTATAGTGTTAAGGGAGGGAAAATGTTTGTGACTTGTAAAAGAATTGAAAATTCCACAAATATGTTTTTTTTGATATGTCACTGACACAGACTTGTAATAAGACTATTATGTTTAAAACTATATGATGATCTAAAAAACTGTCTTGCATTCGTGGCATCATTTTCATTAACAATTTTTACCACAACCTTTTTCAAAAGTTAGTGCACTTTTTTACCAAGGTGCCAATATTGTCAGTGAACATACTTGAAATTAAATATAAAGTGCGATTTGTGAGTAAGGCATTTTTGTCAAATTATGTAAAAAGAGTAAATATATGCTAGCTATATGCAGAAAAGGTAAATACGAGTAGCTACTGAATAAAATCTCAATTAAACTTAACCCTTATTATTATTATTTGCAAGATATAAAATTCTAGCCATGACATTTTATTCCCCGGGGACAGTGCCTCTGGGATGGCAGACCGGGGTGGTGGTCCCTCTTTTTAAAAAAAAAAGGGGGATTGGAGGGTGTGTTCCAACTACAGGGGGATCACACCTCTCAGCCTCCCTGGGAAAGTCTATACCAGGATACTGGAGAGGGGAATACGGCCAATAGTGGAACCTCGGATTCAGGAGGAACAGTGCTGTTTTCGTCCAGGCCGTGGAACACTGAACCAGCTCTATAGGGTTTATGGGAGTTTACCCAACCAATCCACATGCGCTTTGTGGATTTGGAGAAGACATTCAACTGTTTCCCTCGCCTGTGGAGGGTGCTCCGAAAGTATGGGGTCCGGGGTCCTTTGCTAAGGGCTGTCCAGTCCCTGCTTGACCGAAGCAGGAGCTTGGTTCGCATTGCCGGCAGTAAGTCAGACTTCTTCCCGGTGCATGATGGACTCCTGCAGGGCTGCCCTTTGTTGCTGGTTCTGTTCATAATTTTTATGGACCGAATTTCTAGGCGCAGCCAGGGGCCGGAGGGTTTTAGGTTTGGGGACCACACAATTTCGTCTCTGATCTTTGCGGATGATGTTGTCGTGTTGGCCCCTTCAGACCAGGACCTTCAGCATGCACTGGGACGGTTTGCAGCCGAGTATGAAGCATCTGGGATGAAAATCAGCACCTCCAAATCTGAGGCCATGATCCTCTGTCGGAAAAGGGTGGCTTGCCCACTTCAAGTTGGTGGAGAGATCCTGCCTCAAGTGGAGGAGTTTAAGTATCTTGGGGTTTTGTTCACGAGTGAGGGAATGATGGAACGGTGCAGCTTCTGCAGTAATGCGGGCGATGTACCGTTCTGTTGTGGTGATTTACCGGTCAATCTACGTTCCTACTCTCACTTATGGTCATGAGCTTTGGAAAGGACAAGATCCCGGATACAGGCAGCTGAAATGAGCTTTCTCCGCAGGGTGGCTGGGGGATCCCTTAGAGAGGGATTAAAGCCGCTGCTCCTCCACGTTAGCTCAGGCATCTGTTCCGGATGCCTCCTGGATGCCTTCCCGGGGAGGTGTTTCCCGGGCACGTCCCACTGGGAGGAGACCTTGGGGAAGACCTAGAACATGCTGGAGGGACTATGTTTCTAGGCTGGCCTGGGAACGCCTCGGTGTCCCCCTGGAAGAGCTGGAGGACGTGTCTAGGGTGAGGGAAGTCTGGCTATCATGGCTGTCTTAACGAGCCGCAATATAGTGAAGAGCAGCTGAGGCTGATGGAGGAACAGGAGGCGGCTGCCTGTCGCGGACGAGGAGCACGGTCTGGCTCGAGCTGGGCGGACTGCTGGTCCTTGTGCTCTCGGTGGGCCTACGAACATAGCTAGAGTCTGTCTGCTGCAGAGAATTTCAACAATGTCAATTTCTCCAGGACAAAATCTCTGAATCAGACGAGCACATGGACGTTTGTGTTGTGATGTGAACCATCGTAGTTTCGCCAGACTGAACATCCAGGTATCATGCAGTAATTCACCATATAGAAAGAAATACAAACGAGGAGTAATTTACTAATGAGTTTGCCAATGTAACGAGGTTCGTTTTGTGGGAAAGAAGAGCAGGAACCGGCGAATATTTAAACATTTTAATAGTAAAATGAACAAACACAAAACAAAAGTATAAGCCAGCTGCCCCTCTGTGAAAGATGCGTCTCACAGGTAACTTTTGCCACCTGAATTTGAAAAATGAATTTCAAATTCAGGTGGCAGCTAACGTTAGCCTTGTAGACAAAAGAGTGATTTCTCTGAAGTTTGCGCTGTTCCAGATTAGTGGGTGTGGCTTGCGGAGCTGTGCAATGTGGTGCACTGTGGGAGTTGTTGTCTTAAATAAAAATGCGCAAAAGTTATTTTCTGTCTTTTTTTGGTCAAGAGGGCACCAAATTCAAAAAATCTTTTACATTTTGACTACATGATCCATGAGATTAATGTTGAAATGGGTGAAATGCTCCTTTGAAGCCAAAAATGTATCCTTAATTTTGTATTTATTGTCAACGCAGTTGCAGCAGCTAGCAGACCTAGAGCAGGCTGAGCCCGACGTGACATCACGTCCAATTAAGGGCGCTCACGGATGGATTGTGGCTGCTGCTCTTGATTATGCGTCGAAAGGTCTACAATGCCCCTTGGGCATCAGGGCTCATTCCACTAGAGCATTCCACTGCCCAACCCTTCACCTGCCGATCGACTGTCCTGCACATCTCCAACCCTAATTAAGCACACCTGCCTTTAATTTCCAAGTGACCCTGAAGACCTTAATTGGTTGCTTCAGGTGTGTTTGATCAGGGTTGGAGATAAACTGTGTTGGACAGTCGATCGGCAGGAGCAGGGTTGGGCACCCCTGGACTAGAGGCAGGCCTCATTGTGGGCGTGGTCCAGCGGGATTTCTATTGACATATGTGTGAAGGCGGGCTGGGCCTCCCCGTCCACATTTGTCAGGTTTTATAACCTAGAAGTTCCCTTTCTGCAGGCAAAACTTCTGTCAGTTTAAGTGAGACATACGTTCTGTCCAGATATGATCATGCGCAGGCTACTCTCACGTGTCCTAGCTCTTCTGGTTGAGCTGCACTAATGGGTATGTGCTATATGGTTATACAAATTGGCGGCGCCGCTCTGTATTCCCTATGAGTGCTTATGTACAAGTACTGGCCTGCGTTGCTGGCCGCCTTATTTTCCCACTTATCTGGGTTCCCCGGGAAGCCCTGGGACTCATGAGTGGATGCTTGGCACACGGCGTTGACAAAGTGTTCCCGTAGCGTAAGCTAACATGTGCAATACAAGAGAACTTTTCATAAGAGAACGTATCGGTTGCATAATGTAACCTCGGTTCTCTAGAAAAGGGAATGAGTATTGCGTAACCTTCCATCCTCGCGCCACGAGCCATACTGACAGGCTATGACGCTGTGAAGGCGCGAGCGCCCTTCATTGTACATGGTGTCAGGCGTCGGGCTCAGTGGTAGGCTCGCAGGGCAGCCTATGAGTATGCTAGACAGCCTGCTCTAGGTCTGCTAGCTGCTGCACTGTGTTGACAATGAATACAAAATTAAAGATGATTTTTTTGGCTTCTATATCTAGAAAAGATTAATCTTCCCTGTAGCGTAAGCTAACTTGCGCAATACTAGTTCCCTCTTCTAGAGAGAACCGAGGTTACGTTAGGTAACCAATACTTTTTTTATTATATAAAAGTTAACAGAAACAAAAGTGCCCATAAGCTGAAGACACTATAGCGTATGGTGGAATTGAGTCACTTTTTGACAGTCATCTCAATTTACCTGAATTGATCAGATACTCCTGTCAATCCCTTCATTCCCTTTAAGGTCAGTGGGTAAAAAATCATATCCTAATAGGTCCACCCATTAAAAGCACAAGAAAGTATAAAAAAAAAATGATTTAGACACCAGTGGGTGTAAAATCCTGTCCTGACAGCTCTACCCAGTAAGTGTATTTCAAAGTATAAAAATGATTGTCCACTTCCTGGAGGACATTTTCCCAGTGCTCATGCATCAGTATCTGCCACTTTATCTTTCAGTGTAGTGGATTAACCCGTTGGCTAACACCAATCCTCACCTTCAGGAATGACATGAGATTTCCAAGCTCGTCTAATTGGAGGATATTGAGGTCTGGACTCGCTCGTTCTCTTGTCAGTGCTATCTAACTGTATTCACACTAGACCAGAGAAATCAGGCTCTGACAGTCTGTTAGCAGGCCTGTGTGACGCACTCACAGAGGAGATCTGAAGTTTCTAATGAGAGCCGTCCACTGCTGAAATGGAGGCATTATTCATGCAATCAGCAGAGACCCTGGTGAGCTTGTGTAATAGGATTAAAGCTGACATGGCTGTAGTTTTAAAGGCTTAGGGCAGGTGTTGATAAGCTCAGGAGTAATAACCACCTGCAGCTGTTCTACTCATTAAAGTGTGTCCTGTAATGAGTCCGATAATGGCCATTAGAAGACATGGTGTGGGTGTTTGAATGAGGGAAAGGGGTTGATGGCGAGCTTCTCTGTTTCTATGGCTATGTTTACACGGAAATGATTCTGAAGAGAAAACGCAAAAGTGGCGTTGCGTCATCACTTTTATTATGCGTTTAGACGAGCGTTTTGTGTGGGAAATCCGCGTGCAAACGTTGACGCAAAAGTGTGTGAAGTTCAATGTAGTATGCACTTTAGGCGGCTAGGAGTGCATACTACAACAACACCAAGTCCACGCGCCTGCGTACAAACTTCACAGTCAAGCAGACTTTTGCGTTTTTACCGTTTACACGGGAACGCGGCGGTGGAGCCTTTTTAAGATTTCCACTCTGGAGGGTATGTTTTTTTTTTTGCATTTTTAAGCCTCAAAAACGCCGTCGCCGTGTAAACAAAAGGCACATCCGTAAAAATATTTTTACGTTTTCACCCACGAGCGTTCTCGTGGAAACAGGGCATGTTAGCCGTTGAGTTTGTGTGCTTCAACTGTTAAAGAAATACTAGAGAAATACTTTTAAACCAGGATTTTATTAGCATTCAATACTACACCTCAAAAACCTTACAACCTGGGATCTAAACATCCCGTTCTTGAAACAGAAACGACGTGTGTTTTATATTTTATTTCCAAGTACAGTTTCAGCTGTAGAAATGTGACACACAAAAAAGAATAACAGAAGTGCTACTTGTATAAAGCCAGCAGGGATATTAAAACACCAGCAGGAGTATTCGAATCTCATAAACCTCATAAATGAATGCAGAATGAGTAAAGGATTAATAATGCACATAATTATACCATTATGTATTTCAACACTCCGATTAGCACTCAACTACTTGTACATAATAAATATATCAACCACCAGATATAATATAAAGCAGATGTCATAAAAGGGATTGCAAAATATTGGAATTGTGTTTGCAACAGTCTTGTTGGTTTCATTTCCACATTTTACATTCGTTCATGTTTAAATATCTCACACAGTTTCAGTTTAACATACACTTTGCTTTCATTTTTACACTCCTACAAATTACATTTCCATGTTAAACATAATTACTACTCATGCAGTTTTTATGAGCTCAGATACATTGAAGCAATACAAAAAAGGTCAGATACATTGGGCAATGTAATGTCATTTTCCGTTTTACATGGGTAAATGAAATGTCTGGAAAATTAACGTAAAATGTCCTAAAAGAAAATTACCAGTATTTTGCCACTTTTTTTTCTTCAGACATTTTTTTTTCTTACAGTGCACATAATAGCCTAATTTTACTTTTTCTTTGTCACACCACAAAAGCATTAATATGATTGAAGGCAAATGTAATTGGAAATATGGGGAAATTGTGTTAGTTACAGATCTTTAGATTTAAATTCCCCTTCCCCCCAGAAAAAAGTTAATGGACGACTATCCACATGTAAAATAACTTACGTACCATAAAAATACATTGTAATTTGAATGTCACTGTATATTCAGTCGTCATAGCTAACCTTTTTTAGAGTTGCACCCGAGGGTGCTGGATGACCCTATGCGATCCAGCCTTCCCCCAAAACAGCCAGACAGGCTTTTGCTCCGGGTGGACATGAGAAGATCTATAAGGCGGTTTCTCTGTGTCTCGAATCCATCTGGGAGGTTGGTGTCCTCCGCGGGAGCTGCTTCGTCCTCTCTGTCTCTGTCCCAGGACGTGGAAGCGGGGCTCTGCTCCAGCATGGTGTTGCTGTCTTCATAATCTACGGCTCTGTCTTCTGTGGCCAGGGCCTCCTCAAACTGCTGCAGTAAGCTCTGGTAGAACAGCACAGGGTAAACTGAGTTGAATATAATTGATTTTCCATTTAAATATTTTCTTCTTTTAAAATCTTTATAACTGATTCAGTGCATTTAATATTATTATATTATACACTCTTAAAAAAATTACGTTTCCAAAGGTTTTTTTTTTGTATATTAACCATTTTGGTTATTTTATTTTGATTGTCCACTTCTGACATTCTACTACATGTCAACTAACTCTCAGTAGACTATTAGTAGACTGTCTGATTAATATCTGCAAACTCTTAATTTTGATGCTCCTCAACAGACAATCTACTGACTATAAGTAACTGCATGTCAATTTATTCTCAAACCCTTACCACTAACCCTAACATAACGGTCTACTAATACTCTAATGAGAGTTAGTTGTCATGTAGTTCGAATGTCTAGTGGGCAGTGTTGTAGTACTCCAGACTCGGACTCGTCTCGGACTCGGTCTCGAGACCATATTTTATTGGTCTTGGTCTTGTCATGGACGTGACAACCACCAGATAATCCATTTGGACTCGGAATTGACTCGTACTCGAACCTTTTTTTTTTTTTTAGGACTCGGAATTATTCCCGAGTCCACTCGAGTTCAATTAAAAATATTTTTCATGATTATTAATGTATGTTAATAAAATATTTCTTTAAATTGATTGACACGCCCAGTGATTGGTGATTTTGTAGTGCGCAACTGCGCATGACAAATTGTAATAAAATTACTTAACACCACCTACTATGTGGCCTTTTTACCCGAAACTGATCATATTTTTTAAACTTTAAGTAAATTCAGTAAAAAAAAATAAAAAAAAAAAAGGATTTCTCTAAGTAAATAAAAGTAAATTAGGTAATCAACCCTCACTGGTCTCGGTCTCGACTCGGACTCGACCGTCTCTGGTTTCGGACTCGACTCGGACTCGACTCTCTATGGACTCGGTCTTGACTCGGACTCGACTCTCTCTGGTGTCGGTGTCGACTCGGACTCGAGTGAGGTGGTCTCGACTACAATACTGCTAGTGGGCATCCATGTCTAATGGAAGTGGACCATCGAAATTAAGCATAACCCAGTTCATTAATAACCATTTTTTTAACAATGGCCCCTTTAACACATTCTGTTGTCTATGAGAAACTTTGCAACTACATGTCTGATAACCCTCATTAGAGTGTTAGTAAAGTATTAGTAGACTGGTAGGGTTAGATTAAGTTGACGTGTAGTTTCAGAGTTAGTTACAGTATAGTCAGAATATTGAAGGAGCATCACGATAAAGTATGAGCAGATATTAAGCAGGCAGTCTACTAATACTTTACTGAGAGTTAGTTGACATGTAGTTGCAACGTCACTTCTAGTTGGTAGAATGTTCAAAAGGGACCATCAAATGACCATCAAGTGTTACCGTTTTTTTTTTTTTTTTCCTTAGAACATTTGAATAATCTGAAGAGCCTTTTTCCCCTCACTTTTAAAGAACCTTTTGTGCAATGGAAAGGTTTGGTGGATGTTAAAGGTTCTTCACGGAACAAACCTTTATTTTTAGTTTCTTGTCTGTTTAGCTCACAATAAATCTGATTTAATTCAAGGCCTTGATGAGTAAACAGATCCAAACGATCTGCTTTCACAGCAAGTTCTCTAGGTTTTGAAGAAAAGGGAATCAAAGCAGAAATACCTTCAGCTTGGCCATGTTGCTGGCAGAACTGTGTCTGCTCAATGTATGCGCTTGTACATCCATCCTGTGCCAAAGCAGGACTAGTAGTCCTGTAAGAATGAGTTGTCTGATCATCTCTGGGTTCCTCTGGACGCTGTTTCTTGCCCTCTGAGCTGGCCGTCTGCCTGCTTCACTCTTATATAGGGACAGTTGACTGTCAGGAGCTCATCTTTGTAAACTGTGTGAAGTGCATTCCAACACCTCATCTCTGATAACGTTCCTGGACTAGATTTCCTTTTAAGTGGCTGTTTGGTGCAGTGTGATGTGCCTTGCCGGAGAACTCCTGATCTGTGTTGGGTCTGGTAACTCGGACACAAACAGTGACTTCAGGCATCATCGGGAATGCATCCGCTACACGAGTGTCTCACATGGTTCAGCATCACCTCAGAACTGATACAAAAGTATACCATAGGGGGTTAAAGCAGACGGTGGTCTATATATAGCCCAATGATGTTGACTGAGAAGATGACTTTATGGAAAAACAGTAAATAAAGATACACCTTTACTTTTACCCCTGTTGCGCAAGCTAAACTAAACTCAATTTATTTATCTTAAATGGTTATAGGCACATTTTAATACAGAAGGCGATGTAAAAACTTGAGGGATAGTTTCAGTGCCAAACATGAAATGTGGAAAGATGCAGTGTGGGACTGGTTTATTTATTTGCTGTCTTATAACTCAAACTAAAATAATTTGTTGAAGAATAAATATAATGGTTTTGATATTATATGGAGTGGCTGATTGAGGAGACGGTGGCTACTTGTCAAATATTTGACTTAAGGGGAAATGTGGATGAGGTCAATGTACTTTGGCTTGACAACAAAAATGGTTTACAGTGACAGGCAATACCATGAAATATGTAATTAATATAAGATAATATATAAATATAGAACACTAATAATATCTAAAGTATTTCAAATGTCTGTATTTCAAATGTATTAAACAATAAAACAATTTTAAAATATAAAAATTCAGGAAAAAAAGAAAAGCGTGCGATGTACAAGAAAATAACAAACCAACAGAAATTTTAATTAATTATTTGTACTTGTCCCGATTTGGCAATTTTGGTTTGGAGGACAACCTTATGGTTAAATAATTCAGTTTTTCCATATTTAGTTACATAATTAAAATGGCCTCCATGCCACACCGCACTGAAGCAGTCATTTCTGCAAAAGGATTCCCGACCAAGTATTAAGTGCATAACTGAACATAATTATTTGAAGGTTGACTCTTTTTTTTTATTATTTTTTTTTTTTTATTAAAAACACTTCTTTTATTGGTCAGATGAAATATGCTATTTTTGAGACAGGAATTTGGGGTTTTCATGCGCTGTAAGCCAAAATCATCAGGATTGAAACAATAAAACACCTGAAATATTTCAGTTGGTGTGCAATGAAACTAAAATATTTGAAAGTTTAATTTTTATCATTACATTATGGAAAATAATGAACTTTATCACAATATGCTATTTTTTTTTTTTTTTGAGAAGGACCTGTAACTTTGGACATGGTTTGCACATTAAAAACACCACATAGACATTAGACGCTTTATTTTCACCACAGGTGGTCTTTAACAACCTCAACTGCAAGACTCTTTGTTCTCAATTTCACCGCCAAACCTTGTGACAACATACAGTAGGTCTTATAGTATTATAGTAGCCAGGATTATGATCTTGAGTAATGTGAGGCGATGTCGCTCTCCATGGTGCTAAAACAGGTTGCATTGATATGATGGCCCGAGGGTGGACTCCATGGACAGTTTGATCACAGTTTTATCAATCCCCTTAAACTCTTAAATAGCTATATCTTTCAGTGACCTTAAGCTTGGGAAAAGTGCTTTATAAATTATAAATAGCCTATAACAGGCTATATATATATATATATATATATATATATGTAATGATTACATATAACTGACGTCTTGGGACGTCTTTTGACTATACTGTTGTGTATAAAAAGGACGCTGCGTCAACATCCGCCTTTTTAGGGTACCCTTTAACGTCGGTTAGATGACGTTATCGGACGTAACCCTACCCAAGACCTAAACCTACCCCGTCACCTAACTGACGTTAAAGGTAAAGCGTCAGTTTTATGACGTCCCTGGATCGTCATGTAACTGACGTTACAGGGTACCCTAAAAAGGCAGATGTTGACGTATGGTCAAAAGACATCCCAAGACGTCAGTTATATGGGATGAGACTGTGTTACCTTAAAGAAAGCAGACCAGAGTTCAATATAACCTATTCACATTATGATGTAAATCTTGATTATGTATTGTAAAAACTCTTTCTACGATAATATGCATGGGTTCTTAAAGAAAAAAAAATAAATAAAATTGAATGAGAATGAAAGATGTCCAAAACCAAGGCATGTGTAAACATTTATTGTATATTAAAGAGGGCATGTACAGTACAACTGATTTGACTGACAATTCAATTAAAGATGCATATAAATATATAACTCCACTATTTAAATAATTTAATAAATAAATATGTATAGTTAAGAACATTTTTGGAGTCTTACAGATAAAAACACTATAAAAATATTTTGTCAGGTAACCTAAGACGTGCTTCAAATGGTAACATTTATTTTAAGTTGTTTTTTGTTTTGTTTATTATTCATTATGACTGACTCAACCTGAATGCACTAGGTTACACCAAAAAAAATCATTCTAAGGTCAGATCAAGTAAGTAACAGTTTGATAACATTGATAACAGTTTCAATGTTTACAGTGTAGAAGCTGCTAATCATTCTTTTCTTTTGGGATCTGAAAAAAGAAAAATAGAGAAAAGTGCAAGTTAGAGGACCATCATACCATTATATTGAGTCAGTATTTTAAGAGAAAATGCACGCATTTGTCCAAAAACTGTTCATTCATTTTTATTCAACGTATTCTATGTTCCTATTAACTGTAGCTGTGCGATTTAGAAAAGAAGTCGTTACCTGACCGCCGGACAGTGTTACATCCCAGGGATGTCTTGGAACCGATTCTGTCTAGTCTGCCCCCAAAACACCCAGAGGATCTCTTGGAGTCCTGTCGGACTGTCCTCAAGTCCTGAGCAGACAGATAGTATCTCACGTCAGTCTTGGGATAAGTTTCAGCGATGGTTTCTTCTCGTGCCGCTTCTTCTTCCACTTTCGCCAGTATTTGGTCTTGAGGAGACGCAGGAATGGACTCTTCCAGTCTCTGTAGAAGAAACTGAAAGGGTGGCTCATTAGTCACTGTTAGTGCGAGCATTGTGTCCCTCTCTTATTCCTGATTTTGTTCTTACCTTTAATACATCCATGTCCTCTGTGGTTAAGGCTGAGTTTTGTAGCGGGTGTGCGCCTGTGAGCTGAACGCTGAAGAGTAAGATAAGGCAGACCAGAGGAATGTCAAACGATTTCATGTTTCCTGACTTTTTTTTTGGGCTGATCTTCTGTCTTCTCTGTGTCGTTGTCTGTATACTCTCAGTTGAGCCCCAAGCTCTTTTATACCGAAAAGTTTGACACGCCAGTAATGTGAAGAATGGCTGCTGCATTCCAACACCTCAGTCTGATAAAGGCTGCTGTCGGAAATGACTCCTTTAAAGCTAATAGATGAGTCCAGTGACGGAAACTCCTAAATGATTACATTGTATTCTCTTCCCTGAAATCATTCACGTCAAGTGTCTTGCAATTGTGCTTTAAGTTACAGTAGGCTACTTGGTTTTATGATAACACTTTGTCTATTAGTCTGTCAGTAACAAACACTGCAGGCCTAAAGTGAGCAGTTTAGGCTGAAAATATATTGCAACTATAAATTGTTGACATTAACCAACAACTCTTGTACAAAGCAATTCATACAATCGAGGACGGAGCTTGTGCTTTTTTAATCGAGAGTTTTTGTCTATGAATCAAATTGTACGATTTCATATGAAATTGCCAGAAAGAAAAAAAAAATTCTCATGAGAACTTTTAATGCACTTTTTAAATGGATACTTGTCTAATAGAATAATCTAATTGACCCTTTCGCAGGGAGCTTGATTGACAGTTGATCAGACCAATCATATTTCGCCATCCGCCATTTTGTCCGACAAAGCCGTCAGGAAAGTTTATTTGATGCTATAGGCTAAATGAACTAAGGAAGAGATGATCGGTTCACGAGCAGCTTTAACTGATGCTCTACAGCGATCTGTCTCGACACATTAAAGTGCACATTAATTGTTTAAATTTCTTTAAAAGAATGAGCAAATTTGAAAGGTGAGACTTTGTTTAAAGGGGTCATGAACTGGCTTTTTAAATGTTATTATATTGTTGTCTGAGGTCAACTTAAAACGTTCGCTTGGTTTTTGCATTCAAAAACATCAAAATGAACAAGTAATAGGCTATTTTGTACCCTGGTTGTGAGCCTACCTAAAAAACAGTCGGTTTTTATGGGCGTGTCGCACTGAAGACTTGAAGTAAACACCCACTGCTGCGAGTGGAGAACAGTTTTGCATATTATAATGAGTTTAACTCACCCGTCGGTGTACGTGGGGGAAAACGTCCTATGTTGTCAAATGGCAACCGGATTCGCCCATACATGTTCAACCCAGAGTCCGAGTGTTGCACAATATTCCTGTCAGATCCAATATAGACGGCACAGCACCGTTCTTTACTCTTAATCGGTCTGCAAATCCAGTCTTGTTGACAAAACAATCCTCAGTAAAATGAAGCGAACAGACGACGATGTTTTACCTCATCAGCTGGAACGTCATTAAAATAAATTTTATCCATGCAGTCCTATTGGAATCCACAGGAAGCTTATGCAGCGACTGTCTTCTTCCACAACCAGGCACTGCACAATATTCTGTATTGCTCGGTAGCGATCCAGTTTGTCATCACGAGGTAAGCATGTACATGTATGATACTTATGTGTGTAATGCGCGAATCGGTGGGCGGGGCTAAACCTGCCGTAGTGAACCTGCCGTATTTTTCACTGCATGAGAACGTGTGTGTGTGTGTGTGTGTGTGTGTGTGTGTGTGTGTGTGTGTGTGTGTGTGTGTGAGCAGCGTAGCTTGTCTTTGCTAACGATCAATTAAGACATTTGTAGAGGATATGAACGTAGGGGAGGAAAGCATTTAAATAAAAGTTTATAAAAACATCTATTACAGGTGAAATGTGCTATGTAAGGCATAATGTACATCCAGCTGCGGTTGTTATTTCCAACGCATTCTCACCCCAAGGCATCACCTTTGACCATGCTTCAATATTTGACGTTTTAGGCGCCCTTTAGCGTCACTTACATGACGCAATCCTACGGAGTCCTTTAGCGTCAGTTAGAGGACGCGGTTAGGTTTAGGAGTGGGGTGGGGGTAGGGCACACGCGATCCTAGGGCGTCATCAGCTAAAGGGCGCCTAAAGCGTCAGATATTAAAGCATGGTCAAATGCTTCCCAAGGCATCAGTTAGGTGACGCCTTGGGGGTGAGAATGGGCTGTTATTTCAGAATAAATGGAGGGGTCTTGCATCAGGCTGAAGGGGTTTATTCTGAGATAACAGCCGTCTGGATGTACATAATCCCACTTATTACACAAGGACTGGCCACATACGTAAATAATTAGACAAGAAATATTGATCTGAGTTGAAATTTTTATTTTATTAGGTCTTTAAACTCAAAGCTCCATGGAGAGAGCCGTTGTGGCAAGTTCAAACTATATGTTTAACCGATATAGTCATACCACTTATTACATAGAATTTCACCACATAAATAATTATGGAGATAAGAGGTATTGAGATATTGAGATTAAACCGTTTTAAAATCATACCTGTTTGTTATCCTATAATCCAACCGTGTGCAAAAAATAGTCACAAAATGGCAGCAGCTGCATTTGTATTTAACAAGAGAGAGCGAGTCAACGACACTGGATGGCATGATTAAATAACTGTATGCAAAATATTGATTCTGTAATGCTTTATTAACCGGTTGTCCTGCATCCTCAATAAACAAGCTGCAATTAGTACAAAATGCAGCTGCTAGAGTTCTTACTAGGTCAAGAAAATATGATCATATAACACCGATTTTATCATCTCTACACTGGTTACCTATTAAGTTCTGTATCAATTACAAAGTACTACTATTGACCTATTAAGCCCTAAATGTTTTAGCTCCTGTGTGGACCTAATGGACCTTCTTTCGCCCTACAATCCATCACGTTCTTTAAGATCACTAAATTCGAGGCTTCTGGTCATTCCTAGGATATCTAAGTCTACTAAAGGAGGGAGGGCATTCTCGCATCTAGCTCCAAAACTCAAAATATATATATTTTGTGGCCAAAAGGGCATCAATTAATCTTGGAGACTAGTGATACAAGTCCTTCACAGTGACCAGAGAGATTCTGAGCCAGTGGCTGGGTCACTATGCGATTCTGGTGGAGGAAAATGTTTTCCTCCAAAATACCCTAAAGTGGCTCAAAAATATTTCTGGTACCGTGTAAGCCATGGGAGATGTTCAACTTCACTTTCATGTTAATCAAAGCATTGTCACGATTCTTGCTGTGTATATTCAGGGTACAATGTTTGAACAAAAGGAAAGGATTGGTTGTCCTTGGCAGTGATGCGTCCATCAAGCACGGGATCTCATATTGCAGCCCAATATCACTGATAAACCCTGTGCTTCACTCTGGACTCATCAGAGAACAATTCATATTTCACTTTGTCCACAGCCCAAAATTTGCACTGCTGGCACCATTGAAACTAACATTTGGCTGATTGACCACAGGTTTGTCTATGGCAGCCCGACGGTGAACGTTGACTCTGTGGAGCTCCCGATGAATAGTTTTGGTTGAAATAGAAGAGTCAAGGTGTGCATTTCATTCTGCTCACTGCAGGCCTCTTTGGTTTTATGCTTTTTGGAGACTATCTGGGTTAGTACCAGACATCTCTTTCAGACAGCTTCATCTTGCGTCAACAGATGTGTTTGTGGTTCATCTTCACTTTAAAAATAAATACGTTATATCTAATGAAAAAAAAAAATTGCCAACAGATTACAAGCAATATCATTAATTAAATTCAACAAATTAGAATTGAGTAATAATTAATCAAATCAATTTATTAATAGTTAACCATTTAAAATGAGTAAAATTGACACAAAAAAATTAAACAAAAATATCTGAATAACAGACAGACGTCACAGATGAATTAAGAACTCTTTATGTTATATTGCCAACATTGAAGACACCTGATGTTAACAAGCAGAATCACTAAAGGAGAAAAAAGTAATTTAAGTCACCACTATGATGATCAGTGTTTGTTTTAGTTGGGCTCTTGACCCAATAAGTCATTAACTTTAAGGTTTGTTTGGCTGCTGTACATGAGTTAACCAGATGAACAAATAGAAAGGGTGATTTGATGGTGTTGGTTATGTTTTAACATAATCATTAATTCACAATCATTTGATCTGAATCACTGAATCACTCCTATAGAGGCCAATTTCTGAGTTAGGTTTACTTTAGCAGCACTGTCCTTATTATACAGCATAATATTTGTAACTTTTACTTTAACTCTGGAATGGTCTTCCTAGCCTTGTTTGATAAGCAGACAGGCTCTGTCAGTTTAAATCTAGATTAAAAACTCTTTCACCTGGCATACACATAGAACATTATCAATTTATATTATTCAGATCAGTTAAATGATTGTTAGACTGCATAAGGTAAAACCGGAAACACTTCCCATGACATGTCGTAAGAAGAATGGCATCCACGCTAATATTAGTCTGTCTGTCTCATCCTTATCCCGAGGTTACTGTAGTCAGTGGGATCTGGTCCGTATCCAGATCAGATGGTGGACACGCACCTAGACACGACCACAACACAGCCCTGAATGTCAGCAGAGACTGTGTCTTCTAGCCCCTGTGAAGGCCTTGTTGGCACAGATCCACATCATAGACTAAAAATAAAAAATATGGACAAAGCGTCTGTGACATCACCCATAGTCTTTCTGAAGACCAGTTCTGAGGCTGTTTATGGGGGGTATGGGCGGCACCATACTGGAAAATCTTGGGAAATACAAAATACAAATGTTCAGAAAGGATACAGAGGTGGTATGATGTGTTGTGTCAAATCATGGCCGAGACGTCAAATTCCACTCGGCGCAGCCCGTTATCAGCTGTCAATCAAAGTTAACCGCCCTTATTTGTCATACATTTTTTATCTAAATATGATCTAAACGAGTTAGAAAAAAAATCACCCCCTTCACAGTTGTCAGGCACTCGGAGCCTATCGAAAATTACAATAAAAGTCCATGGGACCAAACTGTAAACATATGAATTTATGCTGTGACGTCTCTGGATATTTGCTCCCTTTTGGGACCGGCCTCTAGCAGATTTTAGATGTATTGCAGTTTTTCGCACTTCCGGGTAGGCTTCATCTTTCAGATTAGAATGTTGCCGCTTGATCCACATGCAGAGACCAAAGGAACCAGACAGGTCCTTCACACAGACCCTATGGTCACCTTCAGCTCAGTGTGATGAATCATAATGACACCATGTTCGTTCGTGAGCCAGAGGAGAACTGAACTCATTCTGTCACCTGATGGAGTTTGAGTTCCTTGCTACTGTCGCCTCTGTCTTGCTCAGTTGAGGAAATGTATTATTCAGCAATATTATGGATCTGACGTAGTTTTTTGAGAACTGAATTGAGCTGGACTTTTTTTTTTTTGTAGAACAGCTTTATTAAATGAATTAATTTAATAATTAATGATCTTGGATCTGAATCAACACTGCTGAATTGACTTCAGCTGAACAACGTTTTTATCACTGTAAAGCTGCTTTGAAACAATCTGATGCATAAATAAAGGTGATTTGACTTGACTTGAAGATTGACCACCGGCCGCATATAAAGGTGTGAAACTGTTGACCAGTGTTTTAGTTTCATTGTCAAACCCTGGAGGCCGACAATACATCTCATATCAGTTCTGTTTGAAAGGTCTCAGCCTTAAATTCCAAATGTTTCATTTCATTTGAGGTTTATAAAGGAAAACCTCTTTATAAAGGAAGACATTTTCCTTGAGGAAAAATAAAGGAGATCGACAGAAAGATGGTTAGGTTTATTACTTAATATGAATGAATGAATGAAGGAAGGAAGGAAGGAAGGAAGGAAGGAAGGAAGGAAGGAAGGAAGGTTTAGGAAGGAATGTGAAGGAAGGAAGGAAGGAAGGAAGGAAGGAAGGAAGGAAGGAAGGTTTATTACTTAATGTGAAGGAAGGAAGGAAGGTTAGGTTTATTACTTAATATGAAGGAAGGAAGGAAGGAAGGAAGGAAGGGAGGCAGGGAGGAAGCTTGCATTGGTTGTGGGAATTACCAATAACTAATTATTAGCAATTACCAGTTACAGAGTTTTTAAAGGTTGTTTCTCTCAGGGAAACATTTCAGTTTGTGCTCAAACAGTCAGTTTCCAGTTTTCAGCTTGTTCTGTGGTCTGTGGATCAGGACTTTCGGGCACAATCAAGTTTTCAATTGAGGAGTTTCACAACAGTCATGTAAAATAGCCCATACACTATGTACCCAGATTTTGTTTCTAATTAAACTTACCAGTGACCATTACTTTTTAATTTTTTATGTTTCGTAAAAACCTGCTATCATCACAACATTAGTTGTTTGTACTATTTAGCTGAAAGAGTCATCGCTCTAATCAGGTTTAGCAGAGATTACTTGATTTGTGTGGTTCAAACACGGCACAAATCAAAAGGCAGAAACCACTGGTATTCAAAAACATCCCTGGTGGTCACAGGCCTCGGCAGCAGACGGTACTGAGAATTAACAGAGGTTTGTTAATGAATTATTGTTTCATTTAATTAAATAAATAGTCAGTGTGTTGGCTTTAGGGATCTTGCCCTTGACAAATGAATTTCATTATTCACTGCTTGCTTTATCTGTGTGTTTAACTAACACAGTCTCATCCCAAAAAGTCATATAACTGACGTTTTGGGACGTATTTTGACCATACGTCAATATCCGCCTTTTTAGGGCCCCCTTAAACGTCGGTAGATGGTGATCCCGGGCCGTCATACAACTGACGCTTTACCTTTAACGTCAGTTAGGTGACGGGTTAGGTTTAGGGTTAGGTTTAGGTATGGGGTAGAGTTAGGATCCCATAACCTCATCTACCGACGTTTAAGGGGGCCCTAAAAAGGCGAATATTGACGTATGGTCAAAAGACGTCCCAAAACGTCAGTTATATGACGTCTTGGGATGAGACCAACAGGCATGATACAGTAGCAAAGAAGCTAAGAGTAAAATGTTCCGATGATGACTGCATTAATGTTGTCATCAATAAAAATTATGAGTCATGCAAAGTAAAAAAAATGAAAAGATTCATTTTGCAATTCACGCTATTATAGGCCTATAGTATAGGCTATACTCAAAACATGTGAACTAATGATTTTCAGTAAACCCTACTAATGTAAACTTGATTTGTCTATTGCATGATTATGTTAATATAACTCAACGTTTTGTTTCAGCTTGTGTAAAAATCAAAGTGTTTCCACGCGATTTGCGAGTAACGTTAACTATTCTGGCTTTTACAGTTAAAAATATAATAATAATAATAATAATAATAATAATAAGGTCAAGTATATATGCAAAAGTAATATTAATGCTCCGTATTTTAGTTATTAGGCTACTCAAAATACAAGTAAATCAGTCTATGGGCGCGCATAAATTCAAAAGGCTATCTCTCACATGGACAATATGGATAATAACTTTATTCTAGAGCTGCTGTAAATCCCAAACAATCTCTGTTACTTTAATTTCCTATTACTGTAAAGCTGCTTTGAAACAAACTATATTATTAAAAGCGCTATATAAATGAAGGAGACTTGAGATATTTATGTCAATAAATTAATCATCAAAAACCCAAATGTTTTAGTCATGCAACAGCTAAAAAAATATTTTATTTGTCAAAAATCGACTGATTAAATTAGATACAAAGTTAACCTTTTAGTCACATCGAATCACTGGTTCGTTTTGAAAATCACTTCTAAAAAGTATAATGAAACTCTTGGAACATCATTCTGGGAGAGAGAAAAAAAGCCATTTGAGTTTAGTTTTGACCTCTGCCTTTTCTTTCTTTCAATGAAGCAACTGAACATACGCAGTCAGTTCATTGTCAAATTACTCAGTTTTAGACCACACTGACACACATGTTATATATGCAAAATATTTATTTTGCAGCAATATACATTATCTATTCGAGTGAATTTAGAGAGAACATAAACAATAAAAATAAATAAATGAATAAATAAATAAACAGATACAACGGTACAAATCAGCAGTCTTCAAATACAAACTATTTACAAGTCTAAATCTTTAATAAATAATGACCAACACGTACAGTATCACTTGAACACAAATCTACGGTAAACTTGCAGTCAACACTTCTTTTTCTCAATAGAAGGTATGCCCAGGTGTGTCAAGTAGCTATCTCATGTCCCAACGTGCAAGAAGTGACATGACATGAAGTAATAAGACATGACTTAGTTTATTTCTAATACGCGTTTGAACAATTTCCAATGTTTAGATCTCATCAACATCTCCTAAAATACCTTTGCTTAACAACCGAGCCCGCTAAAAGACCCGATTCTTTCGAGTCTGACCCCAAAGCAGCTCCTCAGTCCGCCTTTCTTGAATCGAGTCCACGAGCGCTTGGAAGTGGACAGTAAGTCACCCAGGAGTCGCTCGAAAGCTCTGTCTTTCCCCGCCAGCGCGGAGTTGCGCGCGTCTGATTCCCACAGTTCCGCGCGCTCGTCCAGTGCGCTCTTCTCCTCTCTCGCATCCTTCTGCTCCATCGTCGACTCATCAGACTCCGCAAACGGCGTGTTGACTCCTTCATCTAACAACTGCTTAAGACTCTGCTGTAAATGTATATGATTAGTCAGGGTCGAATAATAAACGTTTAAGAGTAGTGAGCTGAGACTGAACAACTCACCTGTAAACTGGAAACTGGTTTGGCACCGACCAAGTTTAAAAGTAGAAGTGAAGACACGCAGATAATAGAGATGTTGGCGATCATGGTTATATTGTGGAGAGCAGCTCAGTATCTTTGTGCGCGGCTCTGTTTAGTCTTCGCTCGTACCCAAGCACCGTGTCCAGGTGCGCTCTTTTATTTCGCCGGTTTCGTCACGGTCACCCAGGAAAATCCAGCCGACCCTACGGGGAGGGCTCTTCATTTTCATCAAGATCCCACCTTGTTCATCACCGATCATTAAATTGGTGACGTGTGCCGGAGCCTCCTTCAAATTGGACTAGTATGTCAAGCGCAAAGAACATCATCTCGTGTCTTGTCATGGAGGTACACTAGCCTTAAATGCGCACACACGCTTAAAAATAAAGGTTCCAAAAGGGTTTTTATTTACCCCCTTACAGTGATGCCATAGAAGAACCATGATGCCAGTAAATAACCTTTATTTTACCACACAAAAAGGTTCAGTGGGGTTCTGTATATGAAGAGTTCAGATGCAAAAGCCTCTAAATGCCATTTGAAATTTTCTTCTTTAATGATGATTTTTATCAAGCTTGTATATTTAAGTTCAGTAATTTTACTTAAATGGCAATGATAATTACCTATTAATTGTTATTTAAGTGAAATTACTGAACTTAAATATACAAGTTTGATAAAAATCATCATTAAAGAAGAAAATTTCAAATGGCATTTAGAGGCTTTTGCATCTGAACTCTTCATATGATCAAAGAATTATTGCGTCGATTTTAAAGAACAATTTTAAAATTGAGTCAATAACTCATGGGCTCTATAGATCCCCCACTGAACATTTTTGTTGTCCCTTTAGGGATGTTATATAATTATATATGTCATTTTGTTTTACATTTTAGTCTAAAGATGAACCTTTATTTTTAATAGTTTGCCCATCTAATTCCAGTGTTTTATGCAGAAAGCTAAACCCAAATCAGTCTTACTATCCAATTCATTTAGTTCAAGACTGTACAGAAATTGCCAGAAATAAGTGAGCGAATGTTCTACCTGGAAGCTGCCAAGTGTTTGGTCTTGATATGGTCAATAACTATTTATGTTAATTAGACATGAAGCAAAACATCCATAAACTGGCTAGCTAAACATTTTGACTTTACGAACACAACAAAAATGTTTTGTGTGAACTGATAACACTGACAGGGTTTGGACGCAGCATGTATCCTTCGTTTATGAAATCCCAGTCCTGTGTGTGTTGGTTGGTGGTGAAAAGAATAAAAATGGTAATGTAATTTTTTAATCAACCTATAATTTAATTTCTACAGAACAAAAAAAAAATCATTATAGTTGAATTTGTTCTGTCGTCTTTGATGAATGAAAGCGAGGGACTGTGAGGGATGGACACATTTCTGAGTTTCTGAGTGAGTTTCAATGATTAGATTTCAATGATTCAATGTTTTTTTGGATTGCTCTGCTGACGAAAATGCAAAAATATCACTAATATTTTTAAAGTATTTCTTTAAGATTTATGCAATTGCATTAAAGGGATAGTTCACTTTGAAATAAAATTTTGATATGTTTTAGCTTACCTCAAGGGCATCCAAGATGTAGGCTAGGTGTCTTTGTTTCCACGGTATTTTCAATTTTGACATTTTTCGGTCAAACCGTTGATGTCTATCACTCATACAATGCAGGTTTAGGGGGTCCACGTCAAAGAGCATGCACAGAGAAGTCAAAATTAAACATGATTTAATGACTTGTAAATGTAAGCACACATTGATTGCCCAAGACACGAAACGAGCGGTTTGTGTGAGAAAATGAACAGTATCGTTTTTACCATGTGTAACCACAGCCATGTCCAACTGATCTGAATCAGTTGTCCAATGTCCAACTGAACCATGTCCAACGTTCAACAGGAAGTGATCTCTCGCACGTCTACGTCACTCATTGTTTACACAGAGATGTCGGAAGTTTTACCTTTCACTGTGAAGATCTAAACAAGATCTTGATCTAAATGTAAAACTTCCGAAATCTCTGTGTAAACAATGAGTGACGTACACGTGCAAGCGATCACTTCCGGCGGAATGTTGGACATGGTTCAGCTCGGTTCAGTTGGACATTGGACACTGATTCAGATCAGTTGGACATGTCTGTGGCTACATGAGGTAAAAACTATATAAATACTGTTCGTTTTCTGACACAAATCGCTCGTTTCGTGTCTTAGGCCATCAATATGTACTTACATTCGCAAGTCATTAAATCATATTTAATTTTGACTTCTCTGTGCATGCTTTTGACGTGGACCCCTAAACCTGCATTAATAGACAAGAATGGTTTGATCGAAAAATGTCAAAATTGAAAATACTGTGGATACAAAGACACCTACATCTTGGATGCCCTTGAGGTAAGATAAAACATATCAAAAATTAATTTCAAAGTGAACTATCCCTTTAATAGTAAAAATTTCATCAGAATTGAATTGAATAATCTTTATGTATTTTAATTGAATAATTGAACAATCCATAATCAAAAACAAAAGCATTATTCAATTTCCAAGAGAGTCTTTCCAAGAGATTTCAGTAGACAAAGAAAAAAAAAACACCAGACAATATGAGCTGTGGAAAACTAAAAGTGATCTAGGAGCTTTATACAGCTTTTTACAGCGGATACCATTGAAAACACAGTACTTCTATCCCTCACAGTCTTGCTTTCATACCTGTCACGGCGCTGCTCTGAATAAGGTCTATATAAAAGTAGAAATATGTTTTCAAAAAGCTTCAAACAATAGAAAGGAACACACATTTGAAGTCTTGTGTTAAATTTTCCCATATGAGTGGATTTGTGACCACCTTTTTTTTTGGTGAATGTTTTAATTACATTGAAATACACATAATTCCAACCACTAACACAATTAATACACAATAGCAAGCAATTTCTCAACACTAGCTGAAATATATACTTTTTTAATCAATGTTACTTTCTCCTATTTCTTGAGAAAACTTTAAGTAAGCAATTTGGAGGTTTATTTTCCTCAAAACTTTGCGGTGCTATCAAAACAATTCTCTGTGTATTTGGTCCTGGCATAGCAACATTGTCTCAGCCAATGGCGAGAGCTTGGGGCGAGATTAAGTGACCAATGGCAGACAAGAGAATTGTTTAGGAAACCTATTTGAAAACAATCATTGTTCTTACAGTTGCTTTTGGTGACGCCAGTGGCTCCGAAATTACACACTTCAGCTTTAACCCATCTTTGTCTCTCATTACCATCATATTGTCTATTGGCTGCGTTTATTACATTCTCTCATATATCATTTGGGAAGCTCTTAACTTCAAGCACGGTTCACTGAGCACTGCTCTTTCCCTGATGAGAAGCCGATGGGGCTAATTAAGATTTTAATGACAGGCTTGCACTGCAGTCTGTTTCAAATGTCATTTATTTGCTAAAGAAATCATATTCGTGGTGTACTATAATAAATGTGTTACAAATAAAACAACTACACTGCAAATCATGATTAGATAGTTCATTGTCATTGTATTTACTTTTATTGTCCTTTTAAAAACTTGTAATTTCAAAATCAGACATTTCAACACAACAATTAAATACTTTTATAGCCACATCTCATTAGACTTGCAGAGGGAAAGATATCTTCCAGATGGCCTCCGACCTGTTTTCCTAATAGCTGCTCTAGATGCCGATGGCCGCTAAAATGCTAATCATTCCCTGTTTGCCTTCATACTGTGCTCCAGTGGAAAGCTTGCAAGAGATCATCAGTCAAGCCCTTGCCACCTGTCCTCCTCATGCTGGGTGGAAACTAGCCTCGGGGCTTTATTGGTTTGAGCCAGCCCTCTCTTGGGGTTCAACCCAAACGTGAATAGCCAGCGGTCATGTTAAAAAGATGAGATACATTTATCTTGAAGTTTCTTGCCCTACCTTGATCTTGGCATGATACGCACACAGGCTTCATGTTTGAGATCACCGTTCACAAAAGTGGCCTAATTTAATAGAATGTTCTGAGTTAAACTTAATCAACAGTATTTTTCTGTTACTAGCACATACAATAATTGGATTGACGTGTCTCTTGTTTCGGTTAGTCAGCTATTTTTTTTTTCCACACTAAGACCATGTCAATGCTACTAATATTGTTTAGTAGCAATGAGCATTTTAATGTTTAGGTCAGCTGTGCTTGCCAGAATAATTCTGTAAAAATACAGTAAAAATCTTTACAAAACAAGTCAAGTCACATTTATTTATATAGTGCTTTTCACAATACAGATTGTTTCAATGCAGCTTTACAGAGATAACAGGAAAATAATGCAACAAAGTTTGTTTCCAGAAGAAAATAGCGTCATTATATTATATTTATAATATTAATAATATTGTTGAATATTAAATTAAATGTACCCAAATAAGCAAGCCAAAAGCAAAAAGAGTTAAAAAAGGCGACAAAAGGGGTCAGTGGCAAGGAACCAAAAACTCCATCAGGTGATGGAATGGATAAAAAAACCTTGGGAGAAAACAGGCTCTGTCGGGGGGCCAGTCCTCCTCTGGCCAATGAACGAGGGAGTGAGCTTTGTGGCTGAGAGTTTCATTGATTCTGTTCTGCAGTTATCTGTATGTGTATTCTACAAACCCTGAAGTAGCTCTCCAGAGAGTGTTGGTGAGACGGCGCGTCAGCGGTGGTTGCCATTTAAAGAGCATTTCCTCTGCATTCACTGGAGTCTAAATGAGTATTTTCTCGGCATCCACTGCAGTTGAAAACTAAAAGAGCTTTCTGCACACTGCAGGCTTTTAATAGTCCCCTTCACTGTGCCCTGACCTTGTTCCTATGCCCAGCAGAGGGCTACTTCAGTGAATACACAGGGTGACATGAGGATTACAGTGGAGGCTACACTACTGAGTCAGCAATGGTATCTTGGGGCAGTGTATGCTGAACAGCAGCATCCAACCCTAGAGCCTTTCTCACCGGTGGTGCATGAGGAGGTTGCAAAGTCGTGGAAGGCACTTTTTTCTGCCTGAAACCACTCTGGCTCCTCCTCCGCTCTCACTGCCCTCGATGGTGGAGTGGCCAAGGGGTAGGTGGAGATCCCCCCGGTGGACCGTGTGGTTGTAATTCAATTGTGTCCACAAAGTGCTGCCAGTAATCCGCTTCTCCTATCAAAGGTCTGTAAGTTCACATGTCCTCACGGCCAAGTCTTACAGAGCCACTGGACAGGCCGCCTT